AATCAATAAGGTTATGTTATTAAATTAAAAAAAGTACTTTTTCAATTTTCTGTAAATTTACTACTTTCAAAGTGGGTATAAGGTAAAAGATAATTAGTTGTTGCATCCGTCACCTATTACCCACTTTGAAAGTAGTAAATTTACAGAAAATTGTAAAAGTGCTTTTTTTAATTTAGTAACATAACCTTATTGAATATAGTAATTTTACAAATTTTAACACAAATACAAATTGTGAATGTACAATCTCAAAAAAGATTTTTTACAGTGTATATGAGAGATTCTTTTTCAATCGCCCCAGCCCAAAAAGTCAATGTTCTGGGATTGGCTTCATACTTTGGTAAATTGTTGTCCTATATGATAGTAATAAATCCCTAAAATATAAACTCATTAAAAAAATATTTGTAGAAAGTAGAGGGGGTTGAAGTTTTGACGTTAAGGGTAACATTGTCATTTTCAAATCCGTATAACTATGACAAAAGTTAATGGATTTTAATTTATCTATAATGAATTTTATTGCATTTTTCACGTACTTTCCAAAAATGTATACGAAATTTAAAAAAAAAATTTTTAACCCCTTTTTTTTCAAAAACAACCCTTATTTTTCGATTTTCACCCCTTCGGGTATTTTTTTTTTTTTTTTTTTTATTTTCATTGGAAAGCTGAGGTTTTTTCCGATGAGCTATGTAAATATGAAAATGGGACAACAATAATTTTGTGAGTAACAGAATATTAAAGTAGGCGGTGCCGATAAGGGGTGTACCTGGAGATCATCTTTGAGGATTTAGATAGGCACCGCCTAATTTAATATTATGTTTCTCACAAAATTATTGTTGTCCCATTTTCATATTTACATAGCTCATGGGAAAAAACCTCATCTTTCCAATGAAAATAAAAAAAAAACAAAAAAAAATTCCCGAAGGGGTGAAAATCGAAAAATAAGGGTTGATTTTGAAAAAAAAGGGGTAAAAAATTTTTTTTTTTAAATTTTGTATACATTTTTGAAAAGTACGTGAAAAATGCAATAAAATTCATTATAGATAAATTAAAATCCATTAACTTTTGTCATAGTTATACGGATTTGAAAATGACAATGTTACCCTTAACGTCAAAACTTCAACCCCCTCTACTTTCTACAAATATTTTTTTAATGAGTTTATATTTTAGGGATTTATTACTATCATATAGGACAACAATTTACCAAAGTATGAAGCCAATCCCAGAACATTGACTTTTTGGGCTGGGGCGATTGAAAAAGAATCTCTCATATATATATATATATACAATATTTTCTTAAAAATAAATAATAATATCTAATAATATTATTATGTACTTATTGAAACAAATTAATTATATTTTTGCCACTTTGAAACATTAAAAGTTACTGTTGAAAGAAAATTGCTTTATTTCAAAAATTAAAAATATATGTATCGATATTATTGATATAGGTTACCATAACCTAATAATTTTATACTGATTTTTAATTTCGGAAATTTTTACTCATCATTCAATAGCAATTTTTTTTTTTTTTAATGTTTCAAAGTGACAAACTTTTTTTGCCGACTAGAAGAAATTGAATGTCAAATTTTTTGTTATTATTCAACTCTGAATAAGTCAGTGAACAAAAATATCATTTTCAATGTGAGTGAAAAATGATAAAATCACTTATAGGGGATTTTATAGAAAAGAATCCTTCATCTCAAACGAAGAATATTTTTTTTTGTCAAAAATTTTAAGAATATAATTCTTATTTTAAAAAAAGAATAATATTCTTCTTGATTTATTTTTTTTTTTTTATTTATACAAGAATAATATAGTTGAAATAAAAATAATAAAATTCTTTAAATCAGAATAATTTTCTTGAAATTAGAATAATATTCTTAAAATAAGAATAATTAAAAATATGAAAAATTTTTCTTGAAATAAGAATAATTTTATTGAAAAAAGAATAATATTCTTAAATTAAGAATAACTTTTCAGAAATAAGAATAATATTTTTAAAATAAGAATAATTTTTATGAGAAAAGAATAATATTCTTGAAATAAAAATATTTTTCTTGAAAATAGAATAATATTCTTAAAATAAGAATAATTTTATTGAAAAAAGAATAATATTCTTAAATTAAGAATAACTTTTCAGAAATAAGAATAATATTTTTAAAATAAGAATAATTATAAATAACAATATAAAAAAGTAGATAGATAAAATTCTAGTGGATCAAGTAGAATAATATTTTTCTTGATTTACCAAAGAATAATATTCTTGAAATAAGAATAATCTTCATCAAATAAGAATAATATTCTTAAAATAATTAGGATCAGTTAGGGTAAATGGGGACAAAATCGCTATTTTTCACAAATTACATAAGTTTCTTCCCTTAAAAGGTAATATGTATTTGCGGTTTTATTTTTTTTTTAAGTTGTTATTTAGATTCCCAGGATTAATTTTATGGAGCAGAAAAAAATTTAGATAAGCTTTAAACGCATGAAACTGACTGTCCCCATTTACCCCAAAAATTAAGAAAATTTCATAAAATTTGGGGTAAATGGGGACAACATAGTTTCTAAGAAAGTTTTCAGAAAAAAGTTTCCTTAAGTATATTACTGTATTAAGGGATGAAAAAACATGAAAAAAATTTGTAGTAGATATATAATAGTTGAACCAATTGAAATTTTTTTATTTTTCTTTATTTCAGTATTTTGTCTCGCATTTAAAAAAACAGTCTTAAAAATCACACCAAATTTTTTTCTTATTCCTTATGACTCCCATAACAGAAATTCACTTGAATTTTTGATTTTTGTTAATTTGGTTAATAATGACAAACTGTCCCCATTTACCCCAAAAATTTGAAAACTCAGGGTAAATGGGGACAGCTTGTCATTGTTAACCAAATTGACAAAAATCAAAAATTCAAGTGAATTTCTGTTATAGGAGTCATAAGGAATAAGAAAAAAAATTGGTATGATTTTTAAGTCTGTTTTCTTTGAAATGCGAGACAAAATACTGAAACAATTTGACTTTGATTTTAAAGTTTTTATGCATTAAGCAATAATTTTTTTTATCTTGCTGCCAATTGTCAAGATAAAAGCTTGGCAATACTCAAAATCTCTCGCAGGTAATCTGAGGTTAAAATATTGACGTTGAACTTAATTTTAAAACTGTAAATTAAGCTCCAAAACCTCTTGTCCCCATTTACCCCAACTGACCCTATAATTAATTATGTAATTAATTTTTTCTTTTACAAAAACTTAAAAGAAACGAAAATGCATTTATACAATTTTTTGGCATTAATCGTATAGTGATTTTTTTAATACAAAATATATATAAAAAAAAAGAAAGTCCATATATTCTTATTGTCGAAAAACATCAATGACATATGTTTCTATATCAGGATGTCTTCTTTTTTGATGAAGTCTCATATTCCACGCTTGTTTCGAACGAAAATTACAAATATTACATTTGAAGCGAGGAAAAACGCCACACTGAAAACGAAGATGTTTTTGTAAATTGCCCTTTCTTGAAAAAACACTTGTACAATTTGGACATGGTATTTTAAATTCTTCTCCAGCTTCTTTTTTACTTTGTCTTCTCCCCCGATAAGGATAGTAGTCTTCAAAATATTCTTGATAGTCTGCAAAAAAAAAAATTAATTTATTGATTATTAAACAAAATTTGAAAATTATTAAAAAAAAAAAAAAATTATATATATATACAAATTTCTTATATTACATTTTTATTAGTGAATGTGGAAAATAGCCAACAATTATGTGTGAATTAATCTTTATTTTAGTAAAATTTTTCTATAATAATAATAATAATAATAATAATAATTATAAATAGAATTTATAAATTTCTATCTAGTGTAACTATTTTATTCTTATGTTTAAAATACAAAAATTTGAACTGTCAATTAATTATAAATCATAAATAATACGTCTATATCTAATGGAACGCATGATTATGTTCTAAAAATTATTAGTTAGAATTTTCATTTTATGGAATTTTATTTGTCATAATTATTTTTGAGCCGAATTTTTATTTGTTCAAATTAGTATATTTTGAAGAATTTTCATCAAAACGTTTTTCTATATTATAGAATTTTTATACAACCGAAAATTCACTTCACAGAATTTTTATTTGTTCGAATTTTTATTTGACAGAATTTTTATTTGCTCGAATTTTCATTTAACAGAATAGGCATTTTAAAGAATTTTTATTGGGTAGAATTTAATTGCATAGAATTTTCATTTTATTCTTTCAGATGAATTTTCATTTGTTCAAATTATTATTTGATATAATTTCTATATAATCGATTTTTCATACTATAAAGAATTTTTACTGAACTGAAAAATCATTTAACAGAATTTCTAATTGATAGAATTTTCATTTGTCCGAAATTGCAAATGACCGAAGCAACAATCGATTTTGGCGCGATTTCTAAAATCAACCAATCAAAAATTATCCATAAAATTGTGATTGGTTGATTTTAAAAATCGCGCCAAAATCGATTGTTTGTTCGGCCATTTGCAATTTTGGACAAATGAAAATTCTATCAATTAGAAATTCTGTTAAATAAATTTTCGGTTAAGTAAAAATTCTATGCTATAAAAAATCGGTAATATGGAAATTATATCAAATAATAATTCGAACAAATTAAAATTCATCTGAAAGAATAAAATGAAAATTCTATGCAATTAAATTCTACCCAATAAAAATTCTTTAAAATTCCTATTCTGTTAAATGAAAATTCGAGCAAATAAAAATTCTGACAAATAAAAATTCTCACAAATAAAAATTCTGTGAAGCAAATTTTCGGTTATATAAAAATTCTCTAATATAAAAAATCGTTTAGATGAAAATTCTACAAAATATACTAATTTGAATAAATAAAAATTCGACTCAAAAATAATTATATGACAAATGAAATTCCATAAAATGAAAATTCAAACTAATAATTTTTAAAAACATAATTCCCTATCAATAATGACAAATATGAGAATTATTAAACATTTTCTTGCGGTTGATACATATCGACGAAATATACTTTAAAATCGGGATGCTTTCTTCTAATGTGAGCGCGAGCATTTGATGGATGTCGCGTTTTATATTCACAATATGGACACAAAAAACGTGGATTTTGACCACATTTAAATTTCATGTGATATCGTAAATTATCCTTACGACTGAATACACTCGGACAATTTGGACAGCCAAATTTTCTCGTTGAATCTCTTGATGTATTTCTTGCATTCAACATTTCATAAGACATTGCACCATCATTTCCATAATAGAGATCTGAAATAAAAAAAAGATAAAATATATTTCTATTGATTCTGAAAAAAAATTTTGTACATATAAATATGGAAAAAAACACAATTTTTTAAAAACTATATTACAATTTTTTTTTTAAAGAAAACATTTAATATCATTCAAATATAATGTGTAAGTGTAAAAAAAAAATATTTACAAATACAGAAGAAATTATTTACAAAATTTGGGACATTACAAATTTTTGTATTTGAAAAAAAAAAATTCGATTAATAAACATGATGATTAATAATTTGTTCTTTATTTACGAAAGTCTATTTAGTCTTTTACAAGATAATACTTATTAATGATGAATATATAATATATATTTTTTTTTTTTTATTAAAGATGACAAATGTCAATAACACGAATTTCTTCACCGGGATGAGTTCTACGAATATGTTTTCGTGTATTTGAAACATGTCTCGCTCGATACGAACAATAACTACAATAAAATCGTGGCGGTTGTGAACATTCGAATTTTTCGTGATATTTCAATCCACCTTTATAGCTAAAGACACTTGTACATTTTGAACAGGGGAATTTTTTATCTTTTTGTTTATCTTCAGTGAAGGCGAATGTCGGTCCACTTGGCAGTAATACTTCATGAAATTTTGTATTCACATCGAAACCTGTAACAAAAAAAAAAATTTATTAGTCCAAAACAAAAAAAAAAAAAAAAAGAAATGAATGTCAATTACATCGAAAAATAAATAAAATCGCAATCCTATATTTTTGCGGCCTATAAAAATGGAAAAAAATATGTTATGTCGTATTTTATATAGCGATGAAGAATATTCTGAAATTTTTAAAATAAATAGTTATTTATGTTTACATATATGTATATGTAAATATTAAATACTATTTTAATTATAAATATTATACTCTCTAAATATGAATGAGTAAAAATGTTTACTAATTTGAATTAGTGACTCACTTTTTGCTTCTGAATTAGTAAAATTTTACTAATTATTAGTAACTTTTACTAAAAATTAGTAAAATTTTACTAATTTAGAAGCAAAAAGTGAGTCACTAATTCAAATTAGTAAACATTTTTACTAATTCAGATTTAGAGAGTATAAAAATTAATTATATAAATTACAAATTAAATATTTAATATGAATTGATGAAAAATTTTTAAACTTTTATTTGCTTACAAATGTTTATTTGCAAATATATATATATATATATACAATTTGGTACAACCTAATGTAGTACAATATTTTATGAAAATTATTCTACAATATAAAAGTATAGTTCACTTAAATATTAAGAAACTAAACGTTCGTGGAAAAAGAATTTTTTTTCTATGAATTCTGCTACTAATTTTCTGTCGTTGATTGAAGTCAATTTGTCATTTTTTAAACTTATTTATTTTAGTAATTCATCACTGAGAAAAAAAATTTAGTATTTGCAACAAAATTGTTTGATTAGGCAATTTTGGTTCTTGTAACCAAATTTTGGTAGGCTGAAACAAAGTCGTAGAATTATCTCAACCAAACATTTGGTTAGGCCAACAAAATTATTTGGTTGAACATTTTTAAATTCTAACCAAATTTCGGTTACGACAACAAAATAATTTGGTTAACACAACAAAATAGTTTGGTCTAAAAAATCAAATGATCGTTTGTTGTCCTAACGAAAATTTGGTTGCGACAACCAAATAATTTTGATTCGCTCTCAGCTCATAGCTTAAGAGAACAGTTAGTTTAAATCTCTCACAAAGAAGGGTAGTACAGTGGTCAGAGCTCCCGATCTTCAGTTTTAAAACAGAGGTTCGATCCCAGGCGGAGATGAGATTTTTCAAAATCCACAAATATTTCAATTGGATAAATATAAATTCAATGTCAAATTGATAATAAATAAATAATGAATTAAATAAAAAAAAGATAAAAAGAAAAGAAATAAGGTAGAATAAAAATTTTAATTTTTCAAAAAAAAAACTGTTTGTTTGATCAATCAAACATTTTTGTTGACCTAACAAAAAAAATTTGATTGAGCTAACCAAACATTTTTGTTATGCCAACAAAAAACACTCAATCAAATTTTTTGGTTGACTCAAACAAATAGTTTAAATACCAACAAAATTTTTTTGTTGACCCAACCAAATTTTGGTTGCTCTGACTAAACATTTTTCTCAGTGATTTTTTATAGTTTTTTTTTTATTCGCAATTATTTTTTGGAAAATTATTGATATTTAATTGAAAAACGTTATAACACTGGGAAATTATTTTCCGTTTACCATGTCACAACATAACCTCAAATGTCGTAATATTGTAAACTTTGTATACTTTGAACACTTTAATTAAATTCAGGTTGAATCCACAATTAATAGACAACTTTTTTTCTTAATCGTTGAAAAAAAGATCGAAATCTAAAAATTCGAATTATTAAAATTTGGAATAATCAAAAAGTCGAATTTTCAAAAATTCAAATTTCTAAATTTCGATCTTTTGATAATTCCAACTTTTGTGAATAAATTCGATTTTCTGGATCATTTAAATTTTAAATAATTCGAATTTCTAAAAATTCAATTTATTTTGTAATTTGAATTTTTAAAAATTTAAACTTTTGATAATTCGAAGTTTTAAAAATTTCAATCGTTTGGTTATTTGATGTTATATAACAAATTAGATAAAATTCGATTTTTTTGATAATTCGGTCTTTTAAGATTTATGACAAAATAAGGCGAGTCAAAAATTCGTCTATATTGCGGTGTCAACCTTACAGCAGAAAATGTGAAATTCTATTACCTATGTAATTCTCTTCATCTAAAAATCTATTACTTTAACCCCTTGACTGTCTATGGCCCATATTGTATAGCCAAAAAAAATCGTGCCACCTTTGTGATTTTGGACATATATGTCCACATTAGAAAAAAAAATACTAAAGATAATTAAAATTGAGTGTCAATGTGTATACAAAGGTTTTCTGGGTCGCTGAATCCAAATTAAAGGTCAGATTTAAAAAATTCAAAATGGCGGACCCAATATGGCGGAAAATTTTAAAATTGATTCGATTCGTTCAAAATTCGGTAGTCGGGGGTTTTTGGGGTTGATGAATCCAAATTTGATGTCAGATTTAAAAAATTCAAAATGGCGGACCCAATATGTCGGAAAAAATTTTTAATTGATTCAATTCGTTCAAAATTCGGTACTCGGGGGTTTTTAGGGTTGCTGAATTCAAATTTGAGGTCAGATTTGGATTCAGCGACCCAAAAAACCCCCAAGTACCGAATTTTAAACGAATCGAACCAATTTAAAAATTTTTCCGCCATATTGGGTTCGCCATTTTGAATTTTTTTTAAATCTGACATCAAATTTGGATTCAGCAACCCCAAAAACCCCCGAGTACCGAATTTTAAAAGAATCGAATAAATTTTTAATTTTTCCGCCATATTAGGTCGCCATATTGGGTCCGCCATTTTGAATTTTTTTAAATCTGACATCAAATTTGGATCCAGCAACCCCAAAAACCCCCGAGTACCGAATTTTGAACGAATCGAATCAATTTTAAATTTTTCCGCCATATTGGGTCCGCCATTTTGAATGTTTAAAATCTGACCCCGAATTCGGATTCAGCGACCCCAAAAACCTTTAATATGATGATATAAAATTTTTTTGGAATCTTTTTTTTTTTGACCGTTTTGGGCCTACAAACGATTTTTCTACTCGACTACAAAGGGGTTAAAGGAAGTCTACAACTTATGATCAGCCTTAATTTTTTTCTGGTAAATTAATTAATTAATTAATTAATTATTTCTATTATTACTATTTTCATTTAGATTCCTATAGAGATATAATTCTAATCAATTTTAAATAAACATTTTTTATAAAAATTATATTTCTTATCTGAACAATTCTTTCAGATTTATTGAGTATTATGGATAATAATACCGTTTTTAATATATTTATTTATATGATTTTTATTGTAATATTAAGAAGGCTTTTAACACTCAGTATATATAATATGAGCTAATAAAACAATCGTCCGAGTAGGTTTAATATTTTCATTTAAAAAATTAGCGCTTTTTACCCGGTCTGTCAGACCGCTATTTTTTGCTTTTTTAGTGACTTTAACTTATATAATGACAATTGTCGTATATATCATTTGTTTTTTTTTACACTGAAAAGAATAAATAATTAAACTATATATTTACATGGTTACAGAATCACAAAAACGTCAAAATAGTTGGAGGTTATGATGACTGACAGAACAATAGTTGCGCGTTTAAAGGTAAATTTTTTCTTTTCATTATTGCTCTTATAACTGCTTGTTAATACTTGGGCGATTATCCAAAAAAAAGGGCATTTTCATGTTGTGATATAATTTATAAAAACTATAATTTTTTAAGTGAAAAATAACATTTAACAGCTGAAAAATAGCATTTCGTCGAAACAAAAAAAAAGTGCCCCTTGATGCTACGTGTCTGAATCACTAATTGAGGTTAGTTTCTCGTATTTTAGTTTGACAGTTGAAAGATTCTTTATCAGTAAAAGTCTTCTGCCTTTAAAATAATTTTGTGATCACTTCAAGTATAACTCTATATTTGATGCAAATAAATAGAAATTGATAAAAGAAATCGAATTTCCAGTTACTTTTGTTTTTAAATTTCTCCCTCGAAAATTTCTGGTGAATCACCCGCACATATCAATGACTATATTCAGTGATATTTCATTAAATATTTAATCTGTTTTTTAAATAAATATATATAAAATAATTTCATAAATATTAAAATTCTATTCATGTTCTGTTTGTACACTTAAATTTTAGTCCTAAATTTAAAATTTCTTTTTTTGTATTCTTTTTCGCATGTTATTCAGGTGAGTTTTTATTTTCTTTTTTTTTTAAATTTGTTCAAATATATTTTGTTCTAAAAAATTTACGAAAACGCCTTCTGGATGAACTACAAATAATACTTATAGAGAATTTTGTTTCGTAAATTGTAATTTTTATAGATAATATAAACATATATATATATATTATTTAAAATAAAAATTCCTATAAATAAAATTTCAATACAATAAAAATTTTGTCACTGATATTAATTATAGTATAGAAATTTAAAATTCGAGATTGTTTTTAATTTTAAATTAAGAAAAATATTAAAATTTTTATTATATAGTAATAAAAATATAATAAAAATAATATTAGGTGAGGCATGACTAATTTATAATTATTCTAGAAACAAAATGCATCCGATTAAAGTCCCTTTTACTCTGTAAAATTTTCATATATGAAATAAATATCACTTACGAGGTTTAAGGTCATGTAATTGTTGTGACTTCACATGTAAATGTTCTCCGTATAGGTTTTTTCACAAAATATTTAATAAATAATTGAACTAAAATTTTGTGGAAAACTCAAAAATAGTAGGCAAAAAATTCATATAGGCACTCTCACAGCTTTTTGGCTGCCTGCCTGCCTGCAGGTTACCATGGCAACGTACGAGTGTGAGTGAGACAGAAAATTTGAATATTCAAATTTTTAAATTTTCTGTCGCACTCAGTCTCATGCGTTGCCATGGTAACCTGCAGGCAGCCAAAAAGGTGTGAGAGTGCCTTATTTGAGGAAAATTTATAGTAAGGCGGCAATATATGATTTTAGTCATTTCTCCAAATATGTAATTATTTAATGAAATGCACCACCTTTATTTTAATCCGTTTAAATTTTAATCATCGCACGATTTTATTTTATTGTATTATTTGGGTCCCAAAAACATACAAGGTGATAAAAGAAAATCTTAATTTTTGAAAATTTTAGTATTTTGTACATAAACACACTGAAAAAAAATTTATTTGATTCAAATAATCGGTTGCTTGACTATTATCAAATAAATATTTACTTGAACCAAATAAATTTTATTTGAATTAAATAAATTGTACTTGAACCAATAATTTTTGTATTTGAAACAAGTGCCATTTCATCAACTCAAATAATAATTATTTGATATACAAATAAATATTTATTCGATTATGATCAAATAACCGATTATTTGAATCAAATAAATTTTTTTTCAGTGCATAAAATTAGAATAAACTGACAATAATTTCCAAACAATTGAATTTTAAAACAAAATGCCACTGTATTGCCCATTACTAAAATGTTGCCCAGGAATAATATCAAAACATAACCTTAATTATGGATTTACTCTGCTCAAGAATTGTGGTGGACCAGTTAATTATAACAATTCTTGAACAGAATACATCCATGATTGAGGTTATGTTTTGATATTATTCCAGACTACACTACACGATCGCGGATCGCTCCACATTTTTTTCCTCGAATAACGATACGAAAACAAAACAAAGTGACAGCTTCGGCAGCCATGTTTACTTTGACTATTATACACAGGGTTGCCAGAGTTTCAACGCGCCGAACCGCGGATAGACGGCACTGACGTAGCCCAAAAACCGCGGGAAGCTTCAAATATTTACAAATTTATAAAAAATTTGTAAATAATTTTTTTTTAATAACAATTTTATATATATATATGAAAAAATAGATGTAAGACTAATTTAAAAGTTACTTTTTTTATTTCTTTTTATTATTATGCTAATAAAATTTTTATTTTTATATATTAAATAACTTTAATATACAGGTATCGCAGGTATTAAAATTTTTCAATAAAAACTGAAACAACATTTTAACATGAACAGGAACGTAAATTTAGAAAAACGTAGCACTGGCAACCGATGAACACTTTTCGAAGTGATTTTCAAACAAATTCACTACAAGGCGCCAATTGACAGTTTTCATACTTTTAATGATTTACTATTCGATTTTCTAGTATTGTTAAAAAAAATGTCCTAGTAGCCCAAAAAAGCAATTTTATAAGAAAAAATAGCCCAAATTGCTACTTTTAGCGAAACTGAAATTTAAGCCGCGAAACATTCCCAAAAAATAGCCCAAATCGCGCTTTGTAGCCCAATCTGGCAACCCTGATTATACATATATGTATATAGGTATAGTGGATACTGTCAGTAGTGGCGCTGTAAACTAACATGTTAAACATTTAACCGGTCGGTAACATAGAAAACTATAAAAAATTTAATTTCCAAATTTGACAAAAATAAGTTTGGCATCGACATTAGATCGAAAGTAATCGAATAACCCAAAAATCTTGAAAATATTACTTATAGTTTTAACTTCAAAACTGAAAAATTGTTTTTTTTTTTAACAATTTAACGCAAACAAAATTATGATTGAAATTAATTGAAACCAATTTTAAAAGATCTTGTTATGCATTTTGCAGAAAAACGATGTTGATTGAAAATCTTTTTTTAAAATAATTATTTTTTTAAAAATTTTAATGTTTTTTCTTTCAGCTCAGACAAAAATCATAATTTTTATCTAATTTTAATAAACAACTAAAATTAGTTGCAATTAATTTTAATCGTAATTTTTTTTTGCGTTAAATTGTTAAAAAACAATTTCTTAGTTTTGAGGTTATGTTAACGGGTACCATTCCTCCTTAAGGAAGTTGAACCCATTTAACATAACCTCAAACTAAAACGTAGTTTTTGACAGAACTAAAAAAATGTTTAAATTATCTACAACAACAATTCTATTTATTTAATTTGGTTAATAAATATTTTGTTAAAAAATTATTAAATAAGTCAATTTTATTTATTTAATAATTTTTGAACAACATTTTTTAAATTAAATTCAACAAACAGGCTTTTAGAGAATTTTTCGGAGAATAAAATGATTTTGTTAAAATTTGTTATTAAATAATAATTATTATTTAACAACAAATTTTAATAAAATCATTTTTTTTTGAAAATTGTACAACTGGATCTTTCGAAGTTGGGTGAAATAAATTTTAAAAATTATTTTTGTTTTGTTAAAAACTACTTTGTAGTTTGAGGTTATGTTAGTGGATTTTAAAAAATTAAATTTTTTTTCCGATTTCAAATTGTTCACATTTTCTTTATCAAGGAAATGTAATTTAATTTAGATTAATTGAGTATTTTTACATAAAAATGTATCCTATTGGGATTTAATTTCAACAGAAATAATAATTAATATTTCAGAATTCATTTCATATATGAAAATTTCTGATGCAATTATAAATAAAAGTACAAAAAAAAAATTAACGTCTCATCTTTTAAAGAAAATTATTGACAAACTGTACAGTATTTATAATATCGATTCTTGATTCAGGTCAGAGTTTTAGTATTTTTTTTTTTTAATTTTTATATAAAAAGATAAGAAACAGGACATCCTTGATGTTTTCGACGAACGTGTTTTTGAATATTACTAGATTTTTTAGAAACATATTCACAATAGGGACATTTGAAATGTGGTTTTTGACCACATTCAAAACGTTGATGACAAACAAGCCCTGATTTTTGACTAAAAACACTGGGACATCCTGGACAGGGAAATTTTGTTGTCGATTGATTTTGATCTCCTGAAACCACATAAGCTTTTGATGATGATATTGGAGACATTTGGAAGCCCCATTTGAAACCTGAAACAAATAAATAAAAATATTATCAGAATTATTAATTTGGATTTTATTTTATTTTTTCTATTTTTAAAGAATCACGCAATTATTTTAAATACTTTAAATTCATAAATATTGAATTTAAAACTACAGTTATAAACTACTTGATTTAAATTTTATTGAAAGTCAAAAAAAAAAAATAAATAAATAATCTACGCATCCTTTACGCACTAATTTACATAATAAATTTTGTTCCTATCTGAATGGAAAATTTGTAAAAATTATTTTTATTCGTTTCTTTAGACTAGAAAATATGATTTTGAAATTGTTTTAATTTTGTAATGCATATCTATTAAATTTTGAAAATAAATTTAATAGAAATAATTTTTTTTTAATTATTGCATTATAATTTCGACTTAATAAAATAAATGAAATTATTCAATGAATATATTTTTTTTTATTAATTTTGATAATATTACATTAACGCAAAAGTGTTTTAAACAATATGTTTCGTATTATAGATAAAAACTAAAATAAATCTAATTTTTATTTTCAGAGAAAAAGAAAATGTATTTTTGAAAAATCAGCCAAAAAGGTGAAAGTAACAAAAAATATTGTTTAAAAATTAATTAGAAATTTTAAATAAAGAATATTTTTTTAAATATTTTTAAATATTGTTATTGTTTCGTTTAATTTTTGGTAATGTTTCAAAAATATATTTTTCTTTTTTTTTCAATGAAACGATAAAAAGTTGTAAATTTCGATAATATTAAAAATTAATTAATCGATTAATTAATAAAAATTAACATTCGATGATATTGATAATAATTAATCAATTAATTAAAATTGACATGAAAATTTACAGAAAAAAAAATATTTTTGTCATTAAGTATATACACAAATATATTAAGTAATTGACTGTTTGACATTGCATATAATATATAAACTATTTTAATATAGTTATTAAACTTTTAATAAATTATAATTTAGGCCAATAAAACATTGACTTTTTATTATTATTATTTTTTTCAATTTTTGAATTAAAATTTAACAGATTTTCTTTTTATACGAATTTTTACAATAACAAAATTTTTAGCTACCGAATTTTTGTTTTGCAGAATTTTTATTTTACAATTTTTTTTTTTTTTTATTTTCTTTACGTGACTGTTTATTTAAAAGAATTTTAATGTTATCGAATATCAATTTAACATAATTCTCATTCAATTGTTTTTTCGGTAATTTGAAATTTTGAAGTCTTAATAATTCTATCAATAAAAAATTTGTACAAATTAAAATTCGGTGAATTGGAATTTCTGTCATTTAAAAATTCGAATCACATAAAATTCGATTGAATGAGAATTCTGTTAAATTAAAATTCGATTAAATAAATGAAATTAAAATTCTTTTAAATAAAAAGTCATGTAAATTAAAAATTCTGCCAAACAAAAATTTGATAGCAAAAAATTTTGTTAAGTGAAAATTCGTATTAAAAGAAATTCTGTCAAATGCTAATTCGAGAAATGAAAATAAAATTCTTTGAAATGAAAATTTTAGTTAATGATTTTAATGGGATAATCATGAGCTCCAAACAAAAGTTTGTAAAAAGTAAATTTAAGAAATTTAGGAAATAAAATAAAAACTTTAATTAATTAGTTTTCAATTATTTTTTAACTCATAAATGAATAACTTTTTATCGACATAGATTTAGAGGAGAAAAAAAATATCAAAATAATAAAAATTAAATGTTTTTTTAACTGAAAATTAAATTATTGTTTATAAACATAAATTTCGACAAAATCTCTGTAAGGTAACGATTTTAAATAATATTGCATATTCTGTAATACATATATTAATTAACTTTTAATTAAAATAAACTAAATAACTATATAATGACTGTCATTTTATAAATCATTAAATTAAATTTCACCTCAATATCTTTAATAAAATACGAAGCTGAAGTAAGTAACGTTTATATAAACAATTTTTAAAGAAATAATTTTTTAAAATGAAAAATTCTATAATCTTTTGTCTAAAAAATATTTTTTTATAGTTTGTTGATTAATGAAAATTACAAGAAATATTGTTTAGGCAAAAAATTATAGAATTTTTCATTTTAAAAAATTATTTCTTTAAAAATCGTTTATATAAACGTTGCGTACTTCAGCTACGTATTAAAATACCAAATAATTATAATTATAGTATATATAACGAAAATATTTTCATATTATAAAAAATTATTTTATATGTAACAAATTTTCATAATATGTTCTTTTTTTCTTTTTTTCCCCTCCACAGTTAATTTTTAATGAAAAACTTTTTAAACTAATAATGAATATTATTTATGTTTAATTAATTTTAATTTTGATCGGATTGTAAAGGATCTGTTCTGTTCATCATTCTTGTTTCTTCTCTGGTTAATCTCTGTTTTGCAAATCTAAACCATTCAGCGGCAATAGCTTCAAATTCTGCCTCAGTCAAGTGTGGAAAAGTTGTACAAAATGTTTCTGAAAAATTCAAAAATAATTGTAAACTTTTTAAATTGATAAAATATAGTATACACAAATTGAACAAAATTTAACAGTACGTAATTAATGTTATTAATTTTATTCTTAACAACATTTTTTTTTTCAAAACCTACTTATAAACAAAAAATTTTCAAAAACATTTGATTTCTAAGAGAAATTTTTGGTTTTAACAAAATAATTTTAATTTACATATCATAAAAAACAACTGATAAGATTTCTGTAAACTTTTTTATAAATAACTGCAAATTTTTTCTCTGTAATTATTTAGAAAAAATGTTACAATGAAAAAAATTTTTTTATTTGATTTAAAATAATCGGTTACTTGACTATATTATCAAGTAAATATTTACTTGAATCAAATAATTTTTATTTGAATTAAATAAATTGTATTTGAATCAATTAAATGGTATTTGTTTCAAATAAAAATTATTTGGTTCAAGCATACAATTTATTTAATTTAAATAAAAATTATTTAGTTCAAGTAAATATTTATTTGATAATATAATCAAATAACAGAGTATTTACATGAAATAAATTTTTTTCACAGTAGAATAAAAAAAAATTTATCCTTAAAAGTAAATATTTATAAATGGAATTTCATTTTACAAAAAATATGACATTTTATTTTTAATTGTTATTTTAGATTAATATTTATTAACTTTTACCTTTCATAATGCGCATAAATGACAAATTTGACACTTTGAAATTATTCTTTCTTCCCTGCCAAGAACATTGTATAGCACATGAATTGGTGAAAATTTTTCTCAATGATCTATAAATGCAATCTTTGACAGATCGACCACCAGTTTGATTTAACATTTTTCTCTGCAAGTTTAATTTAATATTATAGGATTTATATTAAATTTAGAAAAAAAAATAGTGGATAAAATAATTTTTATTTTATTATGATTTATTTATTGAAAATATACGAACAAAGCCCATTAATTTATAAAATTTAATCTAAATAAAATATTCTTCTTTTGGAATGCATGAATACATCATTTTAAAATTCATTAGTTAATTTTTTCATTTCAAAGAATTTCATATTAGATTGAATTTTCATTTGTTCGAATTATTATTTGATATAATTTCCATATAACCGATTTTTCACACTACAGAATTTTCACTTAATCGAAAAATCATTTAACAGAATTTCTAATTGATAGAATTTTCATTTGTCCGAAATTGCAAATGGCCGAACAAACAATCGATTTTGGCGCCATTTTTAAAATCAACCAATCACAATTTTATGGATAATTTTTTATTGATTGATTTTAAAAATTGCGCCGAAATCTTTCTGTCGACTGTTTGTTGGGCCAATTGCAATTTCGGACAAATGAAAATTCTATCAATTAGAAGGCAGCCAAAAAAGGTGTGAGTGCGCCATTAATGGTATCATTTTGGAATGCAATGTTTTGATTCAATATAAGGTATCAAATTGATCCAAATATTTGAATCATTTTCAAGAAATGATCCAGAATATGGGATCATTTTTTCATACCTGAATTGGTATCAAAGTATAACTGTCATGGCTGGCATGCTCTTATTGACAAGTTTATTAATTAATTTATTCACTGCACTGAATATTCAGATATTAAAAATACTTTTATTATGAATTTTAAGAAAGAGAGAAGCGAAAACTTATAAATTGCGAGCAATTAAATAAGAAAAAATTTATTTCGAAATAAAATGAAATACACTAACCTTTATTTATGTTTATCACATAAGATTTAAGTTAAGTTCACAATCACAACACTTGAAAATTTTTAATTATTTTTATGGTTCAAATAATTATCAATAATTTATTTATTATAAATGAACAAAATTTAAGCAATGCACGCTTGATAAATATTTCTAATGCGTTGTCAATTAATGCAATTAATAATTTCCTATTACACAATATCATAATCGACATATATGACATTTGTAAACAAACAGGGTTGGGAAACAAGAGTCCAAAATATATTCGTTCAAAGCGAATTTCAAGCCTACCCAACTCTGCTTTGGACGAACATATTTTGGGCTCTTGTTTCCCAACCCTGTTTGTTTACAAATGTCATATATGTCGATTATGATATTGTGTAATAGGAAATTATTAATTGCATTAATTGACAACGCATTAGAAATATTTATCAAGCGTGTATTGCTTAAATTTTTTTCATTTATAATAAATAAATTATTGATAATTATTTGAACCATAAAAATAATTACAAATTTTAAATTAATTAATAAACTTGTCAATAAGAGAAAAATCGGTTTTATGGAAACTATATCAAATAATAATTCGAATAAATAAAAAAAATTTGGCTCAAAAATAATTGTGACAAATGAAATTCCATAAAATGAAAATTCTAACTAATGATTCTTAGAACATATTCATGCGTCCCGAAAAAAATAGAATTTATTTATGAGTAAGAATCTCTCATCGTTTTAAGTAAAAAATTGTAGAGAATTTTAAATTAAAATTTTTAATTTTAAAAGAAGAAACATCCTCTCTCAAAAGTAGAATTTTTTTTTTTCAGTGAATAAAACATAAAAAAATATAGGGGTATCCAAATATAGAAAAAATGATACATAAAAAAAATTACGAATATTAATTTTACACTTACAAATTGAATAACAGCATCATTGTCGGTAGTAATTAACATCTCAAAATGATTAATGCTCATAATATTATTTACAGGAATAAAATGTGAAAGAATCGTAAAATCATTGGCCGTTGTTGAGACTTGTGTTCTTTCTGAATTATCCAATTTTTTATCAATATTTTGTAAATTATAGTGAATAATTGTAAATAAACGAACAATTTTTTTGAAGTATTCTGCAAAATAATTTCAATTAATTAATTAATAATTATTTTTTTATATAAATATTATAAAATATATAATTTATTAACTATATGATTAATTAAATTCCATTTAAAATTACGAAAAATTATTTATTATAAAAAAAATTCTATACCTTGTACAATTGAGTCAGACGCATCATCAGAAGGCTGATTTTGATTTTTCGATGCTGAAACACAATAAAGAGTTTTTGGTTAGAAATTAATTTTTTGCAATTTTAAAAATTTTTCCAATTCATGAAATTTGTTAATTTTTATTATATAAAATATAGATTATATAATTGTATATTGAAAATTTATTTTTAAAAAATATTAAATATTGAAAATATATTTGAGGATAATTTTTTTTTTTTTTTTTTTAAAAAAAAGTATTTCTTAAACCTAAAGAAAAATAAATTTTTTCTTATAAATTACCTCCAAAAATATTTTGATCCTTTGTTGAAATTTCCTGTTTATCACTTTTATTTAAAAATGAAGTTTCCTCAGAAGTGAGATTTATTAGTTCATAAAACATTGAACTGCTTTCAGATGAAGGTCCAGCGTCATCTATAAATATGGAAAATTATTGTAAAAAAAATAAACAAAAATTAAATATTATTATTATATTAATTAATTAATTATTAAATAAAGTATATTAATAATATTTATTATTATGCTAATAAAAATAATAATAATAATATGTAACGAAAAAAAATTCAAAAAAAAGTTCTCAGTTTCTGAAAATAATTATTTATCTTACTTCCAAGAGATGATGATCGTTGAATTTTTAAAGATCCTGTAGATTTTTGGCCTAGTGTCAAAAGACTTGACGTTGGTTTTGCACGAATTTGACCTGAAATTTTAATAAAAAAAAGAAATATCACGTATTATATTTTCAACAATTGTTTATAAGAATATTAATTAATAAATATTAAACTTAATTAATAATTAGTATTAGAACATGCTTTTTTGATTTTTTAATATTTTTATTATATTTTTAATTTATACAGTATATATTTTTTCTAGATACAAAATTTTCTGTTTTTTTTCTTTTTCCCGTATAATTTTTTGTCCATTTATATAAAATAAAATCAGTTTTAAACGAACATCAAAATTGTATTTAACATACATTATGAATAAAAGCTTTAGAGAATATGCAATTATTTACGTAAACGATTTTTTTTTTTCAATAAAAAAAGACATCAATTCATTGTTTTAATTTTTTATTCGTCATATTGTAATTACTAACACAAAAAATCATTATAATATTACAAATTATATTTAAAAAATAATTCAACAAATTGAATACTAAGAAATTTTACTTTCAATCACATTACTAAATTTAATATATAATTTCTGTGGAATAAATATATTATAAGATTAATAATTATAGAATACAAGGGGGCTACGCCATTCTCTAGAATTTTCGAGACAAATTCTGAACGGTACGTGAATTGCATGGTGGGCGAGTACAGCGAATTCCAGCGTAGTGTCGAAATCCCCCCCCCTTCCCTCTATCCCTCCTTTTCCCCTCCCCCCACCCTAAATTTAGAGGTTAAGATCGTTTCAAGACTCTGAATATAGCCGCAAGTTCCCCCCCCCCTCCCTTCTCTTCTACCCCCCTTCTCATGACTTGCGGCTATATTCAGAGTCTTGAAACAGCGGCGGCGTTGGCGGCGATATCTTTTTGTAATATAGGTAGATATATAGCTTATAATTATAAAATATATACATAGTATTATATTATATTATACATAATATGTTATATTTCGTCAATTTTATATTAATTATTTTATCTGATTAATTAAAGAACCTATTTCTTTCATATATTTCGAAAAAAAAAATAAAATAAATGGTTTTTATTTTTTAATTACCTATTTACTATTTTCTACATAATATTCATTATGTTTCGATGCTAAATGATTTTTCCACTCGTACTTTCTGTAAAATGCTTTAGGACAATGTGGACAGAACAAATTCTTTTTTTTACCACAATGAAGTCTTTGATGTCGCCTTAAATTATCCATCCACTTGTAACCTTTACCACATTCTCCACAAAGAAATTGTTGATCTTCAATTGCAGTTGTATATCCACGAGATGAATTTGCTTCTTCAAATAAATTCACTGGATTTAAAATAACCTCGTTTCTATTTGGATCTGCAATGTATAAATAATAAAAAAAAATATCAGTAATTTAATCAATTAATTATGAAAAAAATTGCCATTATAGCTAGTTAATATTATTAATATTTATTATTTTATTTTATAATAATTGTTTTTTTTAATTAGTCTAAAAACAATTTGATGATAAAACTGAAAAGTTCATGTTTTGTCAACAATTTTGAGGTTATGTCATATCGAAATAGATATAAACTAAGTTTTTTTGAAAAAGGTCATTTAATTTTATTGTTATAATTAAATATTTTGTTGTGCAAAAATTTCATTGACTTTTTGAAAAAAACTTATTTTAAATATTTCGATTTGACATAACCTCAAAATTGTGGGATGCATGATTATATTCTAAAAATATCATTAGTTATAATTTTCATTTTATGGAATTTCATTTGTCATAATTACTTTTTGAGACGAATTTTTATTTGTTCGAATTAGTATTTTGTAGAATTTTCAACAAACGAAATTTTTAATATTAGAGAATTTTTATATAACCGAAAATTCACTTCACAGAATTTTTATTTGTTCGAATTTTTATTTGTCAGAATTTTTATTTGCTCGAATTTTCATTGCATTTAAAAGAATTTTCATTGGGTAGAATTTCATTGCATAGAATTTTTTTTCAGAAGAATTTTCATTTATTCGAATTATTATTTGATATAATTTCCATATAACCGATTTTTCATACTAAAGAATTTTTACTTAACCGAAAAATCATTTAACAGAATTTTTAATTGATAAAATTTTCATTTGTCCGAAAATGCAAATCACCGAACAAACAATCGATTTTGGCGCGATTTTTAAAATCAACCAATCACAATTTTATGGATAATTTTTGATTGGTTGATTTTAAAAATCGCGCCAAAATCGATTGTTTGTTCGGTCATTTGAATTTTCGGACAAATGAAAATTCTATCAATTAGAAATTCTGTTAAATGATTTTTCGGTTAAATAAAAATTCTGTAGTATGAAAAATCGGTTATATGGAAATAATATCAAAATAATAATTCGAACAAATGAAAATTCATTTGAAATAATAAAATGAAAATTCTATGCAATGAAATTCAATAAAAATTCTTAAAAATGCCTATTATGTTAAATGAAAATTCGAGCAAATAAAAATTGTGAGAAATAAAAATTCGAATAAATAAAAATTCTGTGAAGTGAATTTTCGGTTTTATATAAATATTCTGTAAAATAGAAAATTGTTTAGATAAAAATTCTGCAAAATACTTGAACAAATAAAAATTCGGCTCAAAAATGAATAAAATTCCATAAAATGAAAATTCTAACTAATGATTTTTAGAACATAATCATGCGTCCCTAAAAAACTTATTTTATATACTTTGATCTGACATAACCTCAAAATTGTTGACAAATATGAACTTTTCACATTTAAATGTTAAACATTTTTAGATTACATCAAAATTTTAATCTGATGAAGATGCAGAATATTGTATAATATAATATTAAAATATATTATAATTTTTATATTACAATATAATTAATATTTTTATATTTAAAATATATTTAAATTATAACATAAACAATATAAGCAATAAGAAGCACAACAAACGAATATAAAAAAGTAATTATAATTTTGAGAAAAGTACATTTAATCATTTTTAATGATGAAATTACACTTGTATACAATAATATTTAATTGCTTTTTCTTTCTTCAATTGGAAATTTTTTTTTTTTTATATAACACTATTTTGAAAAAATAGTTATAATTATAAAAAATACTTTTATAAGATAAATGTTTTGATGAATATTCAATTATTGCGTTTTTTTTAAAACAATATTTAAGTTTTATGTTTTGTTGAATAAACATCGATAATATATATATGTAATATATAGTTTCAATTGTCATACATGACACCACTTCGAGTTCTTTTAAAATGAACATTAACTGCACATTTAGTGTGACGACTTTTTTGATGTCTCTCAAGTTGTTCCTTGGAAACAAAACGTTGTTTACAACCATAGCATTTAATTTTACCAAACGAAGAACTATAATCTACGCCACATATTGATTGATGATAATTAATTTTTTTCAAATATTTATAAGTCTTTCCACAAAATTGACATTTCCATAAATTTTCAGCAGCGTGTGTTCCATTACTTGTAATATTGCTGGCTTTTAATCCAAATGGTACAATAATGAATTTACATTCATCGATAATATCCATTTCATTATGATCTGTTGACAAAAAAAAAAAAAAAAATAAAAAAACAAATGAAAAATTACAATTAGCTAATTATATTATAAATATTTTCCATTATATATTTTATATTTTCCATTGTTATATCAAAAAAGATAAATCAATATATTGTATAATTGAAAAAATAAAAAAGAAAAAATGTGGAATTTTGGTAAAAAAAAATTTTTTTCTCCAATCGTGCTCAAACTTGGGTAATTTCCAGATAGCACAGAAACTTACAGCAAGTTTGCGGCAAGCTTACCGTGCAAGCTTGCTGCAAGCTTGTCTGAGCTAGCGAAATGTCCCACCCGCAAGCTTGCTGTAAGCTTTCCAGGAAAGGTTGCTGAAATCTTGCCATGAAAGATTGCTGCCAGCATACTAAGAATGATTGCGGCAAGCTTGCTGTGAAAGATTGCAGTAAGCTTGCTAAGTAAGGTTGCAGGAGAATTTCAACAAGCTTCTGGAAAGGTTGCTGCAAGCTTGCTGCAATTTTTAAAAAATACATTTTAAATTTAAAAAAAATTTATTTGTTTTCTAAATTTGAAAATCCTTGTGACGTTTATTATTATTAATTATGTCCTGTTTATTTTCATTTGGAAACTTAACGAGAAAATTTTCGGAACAAATTTGAGGGGACTGGGAATTGAACCCGGGTTCGACAAACACTAACCAAAGACCCTAACCGAGAACCTACTCGACCAACTATCAGAGAATAAAAAAATCTTGCTCTTAACGCTCGACTGTTTAGTGTTTAGTCCCAGTCCCCTCAAATTTGTTTCGAAAATTTTCTCGTTAAGTTTCCAAATGAAAATAAACAGGACATAATTAATAATAATACACGTCACAAGGATTTTCAAATTTAGAAAAGAAATAAATTTTTTTTAAATTTAAAATGTATTTTTTAAAAATTGCAGCAAGCTTTGCAGCAACCTTTCCAGAAGCTTGTTGAAATTCTCCTGCAACCTTACGTAGCAAGCTTACAGCAATCTTTCACGGCAAGCTTGCCGCAATCATTCTTAGTATGCTTGCAGCAATCTTGTAGCAATCTTTCATGGCAAGATTGCAGCAACCTTTCCTGGAAAGCTTACGGCAAGCTTACCCTGGATGGGACAGTTCGCTAGCTCAGATAAGCTTGCTGCAAGTTTCCGTGCTAACTGGGTTTATTTTATGATTTACCTATTCTTCGTATAAATAAAATAAAAGAGAACAAATTTATAGTCATTTCTATAATATTGTTAAAAGCAAAGCCGCGAACATTCCAGCCAATAAAAAGAAAATCACATTTATAGTTTTTTTTTTTTTTTTTGTATTTTCATGCAACAGCACAATTTTAAAAACAAAAGAATGAGATCAAGAATAGTAATAGAAAAATAAAGAAAATAATAAAATCATGTATTCTTGGTATTATTATATTTAAGGGTTATAAATTTTCGGAAAATAAATTTTTTAATTAAAAACTATGATTGTTTATATAAGAAAAAATTCTAGACCGTTTTCACAACACTTTTGCCATCGGTTAATCAGCTGACAAAAACTGCGCTCGTCGCTCCCTTCACGATACATATATTTATGAAGTGCTCCGTCCATGCTTCTGCCATCTGACGGTGGCAGGACGTAATGAACCTGTAATTATATTAATTTCCTACTTTTCCTTTTTTTAATCGCGTTTTTGTATAATTAGTCAAATTTAACTATTTTTTCAGTTTACTTTTTCCATTGAAAATAAGTTACTTTTTACTAATTGTTGTAGGATAAAGTCAGACAAAATTTTATTAAGTTATTTTTAACTAATAAAATTCAAAAGAGAGTTGTATCATAAAAAACATTGTTTTGACTTAAAAAGTTAATTTTAAGAAATTAATTTTTTCTGAAACTTTATTCCCATAAATATAATATTACCAATTAATAAGAACGTGTCTTCTTTAAGTGTCAAGAAAAATAAATCGTAAAGTGAAAATATTAATAAAAAAAAAAAGAAATAATGTTTATTCCATTAAGTATTACAAGTATATTTATATTTATTTTATTTTCAATAAATCCAACGGTCAAAGAACCAATTACATAATTATTGTATATAATTATCAATTAATAATAATAATTTATTTCTATCAATAACGGCTATGTAAAAAGTCACAAGTGTGTAAAGTGATCTTTTTCACACAGTGTTTAATAATAAGTTACTTCACACACAGTTTAGCGTGTGCAAAATTCAACTTCACAGGTGGGCATAGCATTAAAAAAAAATTAAAATACAAAATTGTATGCTGCTTGGATTTAAAAGAGTATATGTAATTTACACTGAAAAAAATATTCTTCGTTTAAGAATATTATAATGGCAAGTACTAATGTTATTCTATTATTTCCATTCTTAAAATAATATTTCTTTAAATAAAAGAATAAATCAATTTATTGAAAAATAAGGGACGCAAGTTCTAAATATTATTAGTTAGAATTTTCATTTGTCAGAATTATTTTTGAGCCAAATTTTTATTTATTCAAATTAGTATTTTGCAGAATTTTCATCAAAACGATTTTCTATATTACACAATTAGTCGGTAAGGTAGATTCCTGTGTCGGTAATTTTTGTATTTTTATTTTTCATAAAAAAAACTATTTTACCATCAGTCGGTAAGGTAGATTTTTGAGTCGGTAAAAATTTGGCTCAAAAATAATTATGACAAATGAAATTCCATAAAATGAAGAATAACTAATGATTTTTAGAACATAATCGTGCGTCCCAAAAGTAATACAAAGGGATTTTTTGGATTCCGTAGGATTCTTTTCAGAAAAAAAAGAGAAATCCTCTCAAATGAAGAAATTTTTTTTCTTTGTAATATATTTGCAACAATTTCTATAATATTGTCCATTGCATATGAAATATTTCATTTCTAATTAATTTAAGAATTAGTTTAATATAATTAGTATAATAATAATATTTTAAATTTATCACTCAGCGGTATTTAATAATTAAGATGATGATATTTTATTATTTTTTTTAATTTAACCTAATTCGAAGTGATCGATATCATCATCTTAATTATTAATATAAAATTAGTTATAATACAAAACTATTTTTTAGTTTTTTTGCGTCTATTTATGAATTACACACTATTATATGCATTAGTGAAATAAATAATAAAATGAGTACATATTAATGTTTAATGGCATATGTCATTTCGAGAAATGTGATTTATTAATTACACTTTTGTCATAAGTTTTAATAGTAATTGTCCATGATGTTTGTTTTTAGTTGATCATCGTCACACTCAAATGTCATATGTTTTAATAGAGATTTTGCCCAATGACATCGCTTGCCACATTTCGTGCAAATCCAGAAACTTGGATGAAAAGTATCTGAAAAAAAAATATTTTTTTTTTTTTTAGTACAAGTAAATATATAAAATTTCTATTCGTCTAAAAATTTCTAAATATCACACACTATTCAAACGAAAGATAGACATTTTTTTTTGTTATTAAACATTCTCTATACATATACAAAGAAATTAAACTTGTATTTTTAAATATATACATTAGACATTTATTTTATTTACTAAACTAAGAAAAAAATGATTTTGATTCAAATAATCGTTTACTTGACTATTATCAAATAAATATTCAAGTACTTGAACCAAATAATTTTTTTTTTTTAATCAAATAAATTGTATTTGAACCAAAAATTTCTCTATTTGAAACAAATACCATTTAATTGATTCGAATAGAATTTATTTAATTCAAATAAAAATTATTTGGTTCAAGTAAATATTTATTTGATAATAGTCAAGTAACCGATTATTTAAATCGAATAATTTTTTTCAGTGTATTATTATTTTTCATTTTTTGCAAAAATTTTAATTCAATTTTTTAAAATATTTTTTAAATTCAAAATAGAGGGAAATTTTTATACAGTGGTTGGTGTAAACATCTTTTATAGATAAAGAAGCATTTTGTAAAATTTATATATTTATTATAATAGTGTAATAATATAATAATTTAATAATAAAAATAATAAGTAAATATAATTAAAAATAATAATATAATAATATATTATAATAAAATAATCATAATAATCATATAATAATGATATTATTATTATTATATTAATATAATAATATTAATTATTATATAATTATTTAGGTTAAATATATAAAAAAAAACCGTTTATATATTACAGAAATAATATTTTACAGACGTAATATTGGCAGACAGTAATCATGTAAGTTTAAGGACATGCGTGACATGTGACATCACAGCTGCATGTCCTTAAAAGTCACTTAATTATTTTTTATAAATATTTTTTTCGACAAAATAATACTTTTAATTGTACCTACTAATTAAAAAAACACGAAAATTTAACAAATTTGTTGAAATTTTATCACATTACTCTTTTTTTGAACAATTTTTAGAAATTCTTTAGCTTATAAACTTTTCAAGGATATAAGTTTGAAAATCAAAAATATATATGGGTGATTCTCCAAAAAAGATAATAAATATTTGAATGCTCATAACTTCCTTAAAAAGGCATTAATTTTAAAAGTCTTTTTTATTCAAAATGTGTGTTTTTAAACGTACTTTTCAAAAAAAAAAAATCGAAAATTTTTTCAAAAAAAATACTTCTTTTTACGAAACTTTTAAGTCTAGCCCGATAATGGACAAACGATTTTTACAATATTTTCGGAATTTTTCAAAAATATTTTTGAATTTTTTAAAAATATTTTTGGTTTTTTTTATACTACGTACTTTTATGTATTTTGATACGTTGATTACGAAAATCATAGTGACAATACCCAAAAATTTGATTTTTATGGTGAAAACCGTAAAAAAGTCACAAAATTTATGGTTTTTTTCGTTTATTGGGTAAAATATGCAAAAATAAAAAAAAACGTTCAAACAAAAGTTATAGATCTTATTAAAGTACATTTTTTATATCTGATGAATTTTTTTTATTTTTGCATATTTTACCCAATAAACGAAAAAAACCATAATTTTTGTGACTTTTTTACGGTTTTCACCATAAAAATCAAATTTTTGGGTATAGTCACTATGATTTTCGTAATCAGCGCATCAAAATACATAAAAGTACGTAGTATAAAAAAGAACCAAAAATATTTTTAAAAAATTCAAAAATTTTTGAAAAATTCCGAAAATATTGTAAAAATCGTTTGCCCATTATCGGGCTAGACTTGAAAGTTTCGTAAAAAGAAGTATTTTTTTTGAAAAAATTTTGAAAAAAATCGATCAGTACGTCAAATGAGAAAAATGACTTTTTATCATTAAAACTCAAAATTTTTATAATAATATCGTTTAAAAAAAATTTTCGATTTTTTTTTTGAAAAGTACGTTTAAAAACACACATTTTGAAAAAAAAAGACTTTTAAAATTGATGCATTTTTAAGGAAGTTATAAGAGCATTCAAAAATTAAAAGTCATGAAAATTCTCCAATTTTCAAAATTCCATTACTCGAAAACGGCTTGCTAAAAAAATTTGAAAAAATTCATGGAAGCTAGTCTCAATTAGTATACTAAAAGAAAAAAAAAATCTCAAAAAAATCGAAGATGGAATCGCATCTATATATTCATATTTCAGTACCCCTTGACGTTACGTTCCTGGATCAATAAGTGAGGTTAGTTTTCCGTATTTAATTTTGACAGCTGATAGGGCTGAAAGTACTTTATCAATAAAAGTTTTTTGCCTTTTAATTTTGTTTTCACTCCAACTATATTTGATGCCAATAAATAGAAATTTTTTTTTAAAAAAATCGAATTTCCATTCCAGTTACTTTGAAAAAAAAATTTCTCCCTCGAAAATGACCAGTTTCTGGAGAATCACCCATTTTTTTTTCTATTTTTTTTTTAAATTCTTTCTAAAAAATTAGTTCAACAATTTTATCATGATTTATAATTTATTTGATGTTGACTTTTTAAATGAGATATCCAACGATGTTTATATTTAAATTTTCGATAACACACATAACATTGAAATTTTGGTTCTTTTAAACATTCAAAACGTATATGATTCTGAAGAGATTTTCGCCACCAGTAATTTTTTCCACATTGAAAGCAAGTCCATATTTTATCTGTAACATCTGAAAAAAATAAATTAAAATTTATTTTTTGTAATATATAAAAGTAAAAGAATTTTCTTTTCAGAAAAAAAAATTTAAAATACAAAAAATAATTTTTTAATCTAATCTAATTTATAAAACTCTGTGTGTTAAGAATATATTCAATATTTTTATTTATAAAAAAATTAATTAATTTTTATTTACAGAAATTCAATTTTTTCTAAATTAAATAACTTTTTTTATGACAATTAAAAAAAATAGCGTACATCATAATTTGTATACTCTTCTAATAATTATAGACAAATCTTCAAATTAGTATTTTATACATTTTATTTTCAATATTTTAAGAATACATGCCAATTTTCTTATCATATATTTATATAAATACAATTTTTAGAAAAAAAAAAAACACTTTTAACAAGCAAATGTATGTTAAACAGTTTATTAGAGTGTTTTATTCGATGAAAACAACCAACAATCCTTCATGAAAAATTCTAACATTAAAAAAAATATTGTTTAAAATTTTAAATAAAAAAGAAAAATATCATTTTTATTAATAGGGTGATCAAAGGCATTTTTTTTTTAAATTTTGACCCACGCCTATAAAGAAAACGTAATCTTATGGTTCTTTGTTTCTATAAAATTACGTCAACACTTAATTTTTTAAACAAAAAATTATTTTTTCCTCAGTAAAGAATATTAAACAAAAAAGAAATTTATTTGATTCAAATATTCGGTTACTTGACTATTATAATTAAATAAATATTTTCCTAAAATAAATAATTTTTATTTGAATCGAATAAATTGCATTCGAAGCAATAATTTCTGTATTTGAAACAAATAATTCAATTAAATTGATATTATTTTGAATTTATCACTCGGCAGTATTAAATAATAGAAATGAATTTTAGGAAATAATTATTTGATAATTTACAAATTTTTACAATAAAAAAATTTTTAGCTACCGAATTTTTTTTGGCAGAATTTTTATTTTATATTCATTTATACTTTACATGATTTTTTATTTAAGAGAATTTTAAAATAATCGAATTTTAATTTAACAGAATTTTCATTCAATCAAATTTTATATGATTCGAATTTTTAAATGACAGAAATTCCAATTCACTGAACTTTAATTTCTATACGAATTTTTAGACGCCGAATTTTCATTTGTCGAAAATTACAAATGACCGAACAAACAATCGACAAATAGATTTAAAAATTTTAAAATTAACCAATTAGAAAGTATCAAGAAAATCGTGATTGGTTAATTTTAAAAATTTTGCTGAAATCTTTCTGTCGATTGTTTGTTTGGCTATTTGTAATTTCGGACAATTGAAAATTCGGCGACTTATTGAGTCATTTGAAGGTTAGAAAAAATTGTTTTTTGAAAACCAGAAAAGACATTTTTGTGTTTTACAGTTTTTGCATGCTACATTGAGGACTTTTACAGGTAAGAAAAAAAGAATTATTGAAAACCAGAAAAGACATTTGCAGGGTGGAAAAATGTTGTAAACCTAGATTTCCATTAAAATATTCATTTATTATGAATTTATATAACAAAATAACAATTTTACAGAATTATTTGTAGAATTTTTATTTCACCCAAGTTTTATCTGATCAAAATTTCATTTAACAAAATTTTTATCTGGAAATCAGAGAAAATTATTTTGAATTTTTTGTGGCAACCGTGAAAAAATTTATTTTAGTACAAATAAAAGTTCATTTTCGCATATATACAAATGAATATTTATATGACGTAATAACCAAATAACCGATTGTTTGAAAATAATTTTTATTTTTCTTTAATGGAAATTAGAAAAATATTTTATTCTATGGATTTTAAATAAATTATAAATAACCCCGTATAGAAAAAAGTGAAAATAATAATAAAAAATATATATTTTTATATAACTTTATTTTGTATTTTTTTCATTTCAAATAATTAAATGAACATATATATAATAACGATATTTATTTAGAAATTATTATCATGATAATAAATTTTTTAATAATATAATTTTTTTTCAAATAGTTTTAATTTTTTTTAAAAAAAATTAAATATATATGCAAAATTATTTTTTTCCATCATTAATAACAATATTGTGCACTTTAATTAAATGTTTTTTCAACATCCATTTATGTCTAATTCGTGTTTTACAAATTGGACAGGGATGCTGTGGCTCCTTGCAACATTCTTCTCTTTTATGTCTCACTAGAGATTGCAACCATTTATATCCCTTTCCACAATTTTGACACATATGACGTCCCCAAGTTTTTGCATTAGTCTCAGCATCACTATAACCTAAAAAAAAAAATAAACAAATTTATGAAATATATTTTTATTATACATTTATGTAATATTAGTATATATATATATATGAACAGTTCCAGTGAAATAAATATACATTTTTGATGTTATTAAAATGAAAATCATTTAAATTAAAAATACAATCTTAAAATTAATTATATAGCCTTATCTAATATATATAAAATAAATAACTAATTTACAATTATATAATTACAAAAATTTATTAAATAAAACAAATCTTACATTTACAAAAAATTATTAAAAATATTGTATGTACAAAAAGAAAATTTTTTTTGTAAAATTATTTTCATTAATATTGAATTTTTAATGTCAATTAAATGTTTCTTGAAGATGGAAATTATTAAAATGTGCAGTGAGAACTTGTTTATGTCTAAATTGTCGATTGCATACAGAACAAGTGAATTTTGGTTCAACTCCACATTCAAATTTTAAATGTTTATTTAATGAATCCCTCCATCGATATACTTTTCCACAATTTCGACATTTTTGAACATTTATTTTTCCACATTCTTCACGTTGATGACGATAATATGAACTTTTCCAGTTGTAAGATTTACCACATTTGCAATGATAAATACGACGATTTAACCATTCTGAAAATAAAACAAAAAAATGCTTTTTGTATATAAATCGAAAATCATATACATCTCGATCAGAAATGGGTTTGAAAATATTTTTTTGTTCTTTAATAAAATATAATTAAAAACGAAGGCATATTTTTTTTTTTTTAATGATAATTTATATATAAAATTATTATTTGGCATCTTTTCTTACATTTTTAATTACAAAATCGACATCGAATATACAAAATGTATATAGTCTTTATTTTTCTTTTTTTTTTATATAAAAAAAATTTTAATTCATTACTATCGCAATTATATATATATATAGATACAATTTGTTTTTAAAAAATAATCGATTGTTAGTTTTGTATAAATACATGTTTGTTATGCAATAAAAAAAAAAATACAAAAATACATTTGCGGAATTAATTAATGATGAAAATTAATTATGATGATGAGTTAATAAGCTAACTCAATATTTAGTCGTTTATTTAAACGTTTTTAGAAGCACACAAAAATGTAATAAAATATTTTCTTTTTTTTCCTATTAAAAGTTAAATCAGATCATTGAAGGAAAAAAAGTTTTGTAAAATTTAAGTTTTTGTACAATTAGCACCGGTTTTATAATAATAATAATAATAATAATAATAATAATAATAATAATAATAATAAAATAAAAATAAAAGGAAAATTGTTGCGCAAGCGAAGCTAGCGGATATTTTTTCCAAAATGCCTTATAAACGCCACTTTCCGTACTTTTATTGAGGGCGAAAAGTATACTCTTGCCGCCGATTAACGACGAGCTAAAAAAAAACCTTTCTCGCCAGCTATTATTTTAGAGGTCATATCCACACAATTAATTTGTAATAAAATTATATTAACCCTTGCGTGCCTGAGCTGGGTCCCTCGGACCCAGACAATTTGCTTTTTTATCTACTTCTATTTAAGAAATTTTTTTTTTCAAAAACATCAAATTGGATAAGCTGATGCTATAACCTACATTTTAAAAAAGAAAGAGAATTTTTTTATGTAAAATTCTTTCTAATACATTATTTTATAGCTCTTATGTACTTCAACATATTCGCTTGAAAATCGTTACTCGGTGGTTATCGGGGTCGTTGATTACGAATCCGGTGTCCGTTTTTCAAAATTCAAAATGGCCGATCCAATATGGCGGAAGAATTTTAAAAAAAAATCGTTCGGTATCGCTTGAAAATCGTTAATCGAGGGGGTTTTTGGGGTCGCTGATTACAAATCTGATGTTACTTTTTAAAAATTCAAAATGGCGGATTCTATAATTATGACGAACAGGAAAATTAAAAATCAATACAATTTATTAATATCAGATTCGTAATCAGCGACCTTGAGTACCTCTGAATAACGAGTTTCAAGCAAAACCGTCAAATTAAAAAAATATATCCGCCATATTGGTTCCGCCATTTTGAATTTTTAACCCCTTCGCAGTCCAGTTAAAAATCGCTGGTGGGCCTAAAACGGTCCGAAAAAAAAGTTTCCAAAAAAATATGACTTCATCATATTTAAGGTTTTTGTGGTCGCTGAATTCGAATTTGAGGTCAGTTTTTCAAAATTCAAAATGGCGGATCCAATATGTCGGACAAATTTTTAAAAAATCAATCCAATTTGCCTGAAATTTGTTACTCGGGGGTTTTTGGGGTCGCTAAATTCAAATTTGAGGTCAGTTTTTCAAAATTCAAAATGGCGGATCCAATATGGCGGACAAATTTTTAAAAAATCAAACCGATTTGCCTGAAATTTGTTACTCAGGGGTTTTTGTGGTCGCTGAATTCGAATTTGAGGTCAGTTTTTCAAAATTCAAAATGGCGGATCCAATATGGCGGACAAATTTAAAAAAAAATTTTTTTATTCAGCGACTACGAAAACCCCCGAGTAACAATTTGTGGTCAAAACGCATTAATTTTTAAATTATCCGCCATATTGGGTTGCCATATTGGATCCGCCATTTTGAATTTTGAAAAACCGACCTCAGATTCGTAATCAGAGACCCCGAAAACCCTTGAGCAACGAGTTTCATGTAAATCTGATAAATTTTAAGTTTTCATGGTCGCCATTTTGGGTCCGCCATTTTGTTTTTTTGAAATCTGATTTCGAATTTGGATTCAGCGACCCTAAAAACCCCCGAGTAACAAATTTCAGGCGAATCAAATTAAATTTAGTATTATTTTTTTGCGATGGCCATATATGGCCACTTGCACAAAGGTGGCACGACTTTTTCTGGCCACATATGGGCCCTGGACTGTCAAGGGGTTAAAAAGTAACATCAGATTTGTAATCAGCGACCCCAAAAACCCCCTCAATTAACGATTTTCAAGCGATACCGAACGATTTTTTAAAAATTCTTCCGCCATATTGGATCTGCCATTTTGAATTTTGAAAAACGGACACCGGATTCGTAGTCAGCGACCCCAAAAACCCCCGAGTAACAATTTTCAAGAAAATATGTATAATTTTTGCAAAATTCGTCCACCATATTGGATCCGCCATTTTGAATTTTCCAAATCTGACGCCAAAATAAAATATTTTTTGCAAATAAAATTTGTAAAATATTATAATTATTATTTAGAATTAAAATATTGAATATCCTGATATTAAATCTATTGTTTTTTATGGAATTTAAGCAACTGGGTCCCTCGGACCCAGCACGTCAAAAAATGAACTCAGGCACGTGAGGGTTAAATTATTTAATTTTATGAATTATCATTATATAACTTCACTGAAAAATTTTTGGTGAAGGTTATATAGCCTTTTAACTTTCCGTTTTGTAAATTTACAACTTGATGACGCAATATTTTTTCTGCGTCCGCACGTGGTGACTTTTCTCCAACGTCCGACGTAGTAAAATTACACTTGGCATTTTTTTGTGTGCATGTAAAAAGTAAGGTTATGTTTTCAAATTGTTGAATTGTTTTTCACATTTTTTTTAAAATTATTTCATTTTTTCTCATTATTTAATAAGAAAGATGCGTGTAAAACAATTCAACAAGTTGATAACATAACCTCACATTTCACATGTTTCTTTCATATAGGAATTTATGTGAGATTTTATTTAAAAATATTTATCAAGTGATTCAGAAGAAATTTCATATGGATTTTAATGTGTGTGATTTCATAATTGAGGAATAAAAAAAAATTAAATATTTTTATATAATATGAGGCGTTTCATATGAGAACGACATATAAGATATAAGTCTCAGATTTTTATTAACTTTTGGATTTTGAGAGACACTTTGGTGTTAAATAAGTATGTAAATTTTGAATTAAAATTTTTTAATATTTTTAGAGATATTTGCATTAAAAAATATTTCTTCCTATATTACAAAAAGATATCGCCGCCTCCGCCGCTGTTTCAAGAATTCTTGACCTAGGAGGGGGGAGTCCCCCCTCCTAAATTTTGAGGTTATGTTCGTTTCAAGGCTCTGAATTTAGCCGCAAGTCCCCCCTCCCTCCTCTCATTTCCCCTCCTCCGCCAAAAATTGACCTAAATTTTGAGGTTATGTTTGTTTAAACAAAAATTATGTAAAACTTAACAACTGCCTAAAAAAGACTTTATAGGGCAGTTTTTTGCCTAAAAAATCCTTTTTTAGGCAGTTGGCCCAAACTGCCTTAAAAAGTGATACTTTATCTGCCCAAAACAGGCACAAAAAAGACACTTTTTCATGTCAATAACGAAAAAATTTTATTTTTAATCCAAAATCACAAACATAACCTCTAAAATTTTTTGCATTTAAGGTCTCTTTTCTCATGGAGCGTCACTTATACATTTTACGTAAAGTCATTCCTGTAAAATATTAAAAATATCTAGTCATAATTTATTAATTCAATTTTTACATAAATACGTAAAGTTATCAAAATATGTCAATTTTTATTATTATTATTATTATTATTATTATTATTATTATTATTTTACTGCAAAAATGTATTCATATTGATATGTTACTATGTACAATTATTATTATTATTATTATTGATTAGTGTTATTCCAATTCATATTGTGTACATTAACCATGTGCCTCATAAAGCTACTTCTTTGTTTAAATTTTTTTCCACAATAAATACAAGAATGTTTTGGCATTTGTCCACATTCCTCGCGTAGATGACGATTCAGTGATATTTTCCAGGCATAACTTTTACCACATTGGTTGCAGTTAAACGGTCGTTCAGAAATCGGGCAAGGAATTTGTATTTTGTAACTGTCATCTGAAATCAAAAATTTTGTTTCTCAAGTTTTATTCTGTTATTTTATTAGAAAAAATTTCAACCTTATTAACGTATCAACTACAAAAAGTTCAAAAAAGAAAAACAATTTTTTTTTTCAGTTATTTATAATAATGACAACACTAAATTTTTATTTACTACTCATCAATATATATATATATATGTAAGTACACATGATTTTTCACACAATTTTTGGAGTTATAAAAAATAGTTATCAGAAACAAAATTATACTTCAAATCTTCAAATTACTTACTTGATTTAGTGAAAATTCTAAAATTTTTAATTTTGGAAATTAAACAATTTTATTAAAGTTTTATTAAATTTATTGCAGAATTATAAATATTTAGCTAGAGTAAAAAAAAAATATTGTACAATATTAATAGAAATTATTTTTTAGTGATGAAATTTTTTTTCTCCTGGTTATTTTGAAAAACCTTCTTTTGAAAAAAACGCGCGAACCTTTATGTAATTTGAACTTCTTTGTACCTGAAAAAACAAAAACGAAACAAGTATTAAAAAAAAGTTTTTTAGCGCAAAAAATTTAATTTATACATAATTCTAAATACTCACCAATTTTGTTTTTGTTTAAATATAATTATTACTTGTTTATACAATTGTAATATTTTAAACAAATTTTCGTTTGACGCAGTGACCAATATTGATTTTTTTAGCTAAAAGAAAAATAAAGACAAATTAATATAATAAAAATCATTATAAAATAAATAGTAAAATATTTTCCAAATTTTTTTTTTCTGTAAAAAAATAATTATAATAAATTATAATAATTATTATTAAAAAATTTAATTATCTATATAATAATAATAATAATTAATACGCCAATTAAAAGAAATTTATAATAATAATAATAAATACAAAATTTAAAACCAGCAAAATTTCTTTAAATTTATTTTTTCTATACAATTTGTACATTTATAAAATAACAATAATAATTTTTCCACATAAGTGGAATTAAATTATTTATATATATATATATATATAATTTATTAGTTATAAATAATCCGAGCACAATAAAGTTATATTAAAAATTTGAAATTTAATAATAAAAACTATTATTTGGATCGTAGGCATGAACATTGGTATGAATTGTATGAACATTGGCTATATGAGGACGTAATTGATATTTGTGTTTAAATTTTTTTAAACATATAGGACAACCAAATTGTGGTTCCTTTCCACATTCAACACGTTTATGTCTGACAAGTCCTTTTCGATATTTGTAGATTTTTCCACAAGCGTTGCACAAAAAATGTTTTTCTCCTGCAATCAAAAGAAAGAAATGTTCGAAAAATATACGGATAACGGGATAAGAACAATAATTATAAAAATAATAATAATTGTTATTATTATTATTATCATTGTATGTTATTTAATTAATTTTTTTTTCCTACACTGTAATCCAGAGAAAGCACAATACAAAATAAAGCAACGTCAATTCATGCTTCATGTTTCTTTTTTTTTTATGTTCATGAAGCAAAAAATTTCAGGAAATATATTTTTTTTTTTTGAATTGAAGGAAAAAAAATAATTTTATAATAAAACGACCATAAGGGACATTCCATGTGAGATTTTTATTTGAAATTTTTTTTTGATTTTTTTTCTAAATTTTTGTAAAAAATAAGAAAATGTGTATTTTTTTATTTTTTGATTTGATAAAAATTATGGAAGTTATGATTTTTTTAAATTTTCTGTTTTTCAGAAGCCGAATACTTTTGAAATACATTTTTCTCTGTCATGCTAACAGATAAAAAGTAATGTTATATATGAAATTTGTTCGATTTTTATTTAATATTTTAAACATTATATTATTCTATAATATTAATTTGTAATATAATAATTATAATATACCTATAATTATAACATAATTATAATATACCTATTAATATAATATTATAATACTATATTACATTTTTTACCACATATTTGGCCAGGTCCAAGTGAGGCAGCGCCATCTAACATTGAAACTAAAATTTTGGAAAATTTTCAACAGCCTTTTCTTGAAAACAAGAAGGTAAAATGCTTTTTCCTTTATGGATAATTGATTATTGGCAAGATATACACCAGCTAAAACTTTTTTTGAGTTAAAATAATAAATAAAATTTCATGTCAATAAATTAAATATGAGCACTTTTTTCACAAAAACTGTAACAGTACTTTCTCAGAAATTACAATCAAAAATGCAATTTCCATTTGGAAAATTAATAAACGCTAAAAAATACACGACCTAAGATTTACCAATCACGAAAATAACAAAAAAAAGTATTTTAACATAACATATTTTACTCATTATGACAGCCGTTTGGCAGGTTATATATGTCACCAGACGTTTCGCGGTTTTGCCGAAAGGAGGAGATTGGCGCTGTTGCTAACCACCTGAAATACATAATCTACCAAAGGGCTGTCACAATCAGTAAAGCAGTACCAATATGTTAAATATTTAATAAAATTTTTTTTTGTTATTTTCGTGATTGGTAAATCTTAGGTGGTGTATTTTTTAGCGTTTATTAATTTTCCAAATGGAAATTGCATTTTTGATTGTAATTTCTGAGAAAGTACTGTTACAGTTTTTGTGAAAAAAGTGCTCATATTTAATTTATTGACTTGAAATTTTTTTTATTATTTTAACTCAAAAAAAGTTTTAGCTGGTGTATATCTTGCCAATAATCAATTATCCATAAAGGAAAAAGCATTTTACCTTCTTGTTTTCAAGAAAAGGCTGTTGAAAATTTTCCAAAATTTTAGTTTCAATGTAGATGGCGCTGCCTCACTTGGACCTGGCCTTCGAACGAATTTCATATAAAATCATGTTATCTGTTATCATGACAGAGAAAAATGTATTTCAAAAGTATTCGGCTTCTGAAAAACGGAAAATTTAAAAAAATCATAACTTCCATAATTTTTATCGAATCAAAAAATAAAATAATACATATTTTCTTATTTTTTATAGAAATTTCGAAAAAAAATAGTTCGGTCAAAAAAAAAATTTCAAATAAAAATCTCACATAGAATGCCCCTTATGGTTGTTTTATTATAAAATTATTTTTAACAAAAAGCAAATATGGAAAAAAAACATAATGTTTGCTCGCAAATGAAGTAAAATGGAAGGATATCATTGGAAAATAATCAACAACATTTGAAAGTTAAATTTATTTAAAGAAATTAGAAATTAATTCTTTTTTTTTAACTAAAACTGTAAATAACTGGGTTACTCTTCTTTTTTTTATATTATCCATCCTTGTAAAATAATGATGAATGAAACCTGAAAAATATAAGTAATTATATAAGTACAATAATCAGTTTGATAAAAAAAAAAAATTTTTAATGAAAATTTTTATTAAAAAATAAAATAAAATTATAATTTAGTGTATTAAAGGTCGTTTTTTTCTCTTTTCTAACAGTAAAAATAAATAAATTTTTATTATATAAAAAAACAATTCATGAAAAATTTGAAAATACTTATAATGAATAATGAAGTCAATAAAGTGAATATATTCTCGAAATTTTTATTTGTTGCGATAATAAAATACAAAAATTCATTTCTGATGAATAAAAATACATGAAAATAAGCAAAAAAAAAAAGAAAAAAATATATCTAAACTAAAATTAATGATTTATATATAATTATAAAGCTTGACAAAATGACGAATTTAAATAAAAGAATGAATATAAATTCGTAGTGGAAATACATATATTAAATACAAATCACTAGTTTATGTATGTAAAAAATAATTGAGTGAGGAAAAAATATGTATTTTTTTTTACTTATTCTCTGAGAGAATTTATTTCTATTAAATATACCATTATTTAAATATCTACTGGAATATAATAAAAAAAAAAATTTTTCATTAAAAGCATATTTTTGCCACACTCGGCGCGCGTATAATAAAATCATCAGCAAGTGCCACCTTATATTTTTATATTATAATATTAAATTTTTATATTTTAATATAATATTATGTATTTTAATATAATATTATAATGTTTAATGGATAAGTAATATCGGAAGGCACAATGTTTTAAGGCATACATTAATTTAACCTTTGACCATATATAATTATAAATTTTTTAAATTTTGTTTGACATTTTAAAATATTTTTTTTTTTATATAATATATATATGTTATATATCTCAATAAATTAAGGTTACATAAACAATTTAGAATCATTTTTGTTATATCTTAAAATATTAAAAAGCATTTTGTTATACAATTTTCAAATAATGTAGCAATAAGAAAAAACAATAATGTCAAATTTAATAAAAACAAACACCACTTTTAAAAAAAAAAATTATTTCTATAAAAACGAGCGCAATAGATAAATTAAAAAAAAAAAAATACAGTAGAATATAAATGTCGATATGCAAAATATGAATTGACAGTCACTGTGTTTTTTGTATGCACATTATATTCACTGAGAGAAATATTTTCTGAGGTATTGTTTACAATTATGGATAGTAAAAAATTGTCATTTTAATGCATTATCAAATTATAGAGCAGAATTAAATTTTTTGTTAATTTAAACAAAAAAAAATCAGTTTCATTGACTTGCTTTTTTTTATTTAAAATCAATTTTTCTTTGATTCATATGAAAAAATTTGTTTAAAAAAAAAATCCAAAAAACCAAAAAAAATTGTTTCGAAAAAAAATTTTTTTTGCTTCAAACAATGAAAAATTTATTTATTTCGAAAGAAAATATTTTTATTAAAGAAATTTTTATTTTTACATTGAATTTTGAAATAAATTGAAACTAAAAAATGAAAAATTTATTTATTTCGAAAGAAAATATTTTTATTAAAGAAATTTTTATTTTTGTATTAAATTTTGAAATAAATTGAAACTAAAAAAGTAAAAATTAAATTTATTTAAATTAAAGAAATGTTTTGTTTGGCCTTATAGCAATATTAGCGAATTTCTTTGATTTAACGAACAATTTTTTTTTTTGAATTCAAAAAACGTTCCTTGAAAGAAAGAATTTTTTTTAATAAAATATATTTTGTATGAAACAAAAAAAAAAAAAAATCGAAGAAAATGATTTCTTTAAATTAACAAAAACTTTTTTGTTTCTGTGTATAGCCAAAATGATGGAAATTGCAATTCTACATTTTTTTACTAATACTAACAAAAAAGTCTCAAGCATACTTTTATGTCTAATATCACTATGGCATTTCTTTCAGTGTTTATAGTATGTGCATCCATTTACATTATTACTAATACATTTTTATTTATGTAATATCAAATTAAAACTTAAATCTATTTATAATAGAAAAGTTCCCTGCAGTTCCTAAAAGCATTTTATTATTTAAAATTAAATACTCTCACAATTTAAATTAATTAAAAATAACTTTTTTTTTTATTTCATTCAAAAAATTTTTTCTATTTGCATCGAGTTAAAAAATCATAATAAATCATTAATAAACTGAAAAAAAAATTTGATTCAAATAATCAGTTGACTATTATCAAATAAATATTTATTTATTTTATTTTATTTGAGTCAATTAACTAGTTTTTGAATCAAATAAAGAAATTATTGATTCAAATACAGTTTTGTTTAATTCAAATAAAAATTATTTTTAGTTCAAATAAATATTTTTTTGATAATAATAAAGTAACCAATTTTTTGAATTAAATAAATATTTTTCAGTGTAGAATGCAAAATTAATATTATTATTATTATTATTTTATTTATTCGAGAGCTTTGGAGTTGCATTGATTAAATTTCCACTTCCAATTGAAATAAAAAAAAATTAATATTTCAATTAATTTAGATTTAGAGAGTATAAATTTTCTAAAGCTAATGTTTAAAATACGTTCTTCATTATACTGATTTTTATTACTAATATAAAAATATCACTGATTATTATTATTATTATTATTATTATTTTTAATATTATTATTATTTCAATAAAGACTGTAAGCATAAAAAAAATTAAGCGTAGTTCCTATAAGCAAATATCTATCACCTTATAATGCATAAAAAATAAAAAATTTTTATTTAATAAAATTTTTTTAAAAAACAATTTAGAAAAAAGTGAATCAAGAGGCCATCAATATAAAAATTATTTATATTGGAATTATTATTTTTTTTTCGTTGTACATTTTTGAAATTTTCTCTCTTGATCCACTTTTTTCTATAACATTTTATAGAAATTATTAGTGAATTAAAATTTAATAACGTCGAAAAAATCCTTTTTTTAAATCACTTTTTGTAAACATTTTTAGTCAAGTGAAATCTTGAAGTTATAATTATTTTTTTTTTCATTTAAATCTCTTTTTTTCAAATATAACATTTTCCTAAGCAAATGTGATTTTTGACAAAAGGAAGACATTTTTGTTTAAATCGTACATTTCATGACAAAATATTATTCAAAATCAACATTTAAAAAACAAAAATAAAAAAAAAATTTAAAAAAAAGCTAAAATAATCATAATAATGTCTCTATTTGTAATAATGGCGTTATAATTATTAAAAATTATAATTAAATCTACGAATATGTTTTTCTATTTGGAGTATCTTAATGCTTATTATATTTTTTTTTTAATAATAATAATTAATAAGCAATATAATGATGATATTACTGCAAATATGTAATTAGCAATACATCCGAATTTCAAAAATGTTTTTATAAAGCAATATTTTTATTGCAATTGTGAGTATTTTTATTTATTTTTTTCTTATTAATGTAATTCACTGTCTGTGTTGTAAAGTGAATTATATTATAAAAAATAACGATAAGGAAAAATTTCTAGATAATTTCTTAAATTAATAAGAATTATATAAAATAAAATTTGTTTTTCATTTTCTCTATAAAAAATGTTTAAAAAATTTGAAAAAAAATTATTTAGAGTAATAAAGTTTAAAAAAAAAAAACATACATAATATAATACGTAACAAAAGACATACAAAAAATGATACAAATGAAAATTTTTATATAAAAATATTAAATGAAGAAAGCTATTAGTTACGATTTTATAAAAAGTTCATCAATGAATTCTTTGAAAAAAAATATTTCCAAAAAAAATGAAAAGAAAATTCGTTTGTAAGTAACAAAAATAATAATTTTTGAAATAAGTTTAAAAGAAAAATCAGACAAATAATCGAAAATCAATATTTTCGAATTTTTAAATTAAAAAACAAAAAATTTAATTCTTAAGTGTTTCAATGCATGTGTAAATAATTTATTTTTTTGCATTTTAAATGTTGTATTTTAATAAAATTTATATAATTTTATAGTAGAAGTAGATTTTAGGGTTACATAACCTAAAATTTCAAAAAATTTTTTTAAGTATGAGAAATTTTTAATTTTCACCCAAATGCAATTTTTAATTATTTAAAATATTAATATTATTCAGAATTTAACTACAAAACTTTTAAAATTAAAATTTTTTTTTTTTTGAATTAAAAATACAAAAATGTGGAACGCATGATTATGTTCTAAAAATCATTAGTTAGAATTTTCATTTTTTGGAATATCATTAAAATCATCATCAAAACGATTTTCTATATTATACAATTTTTATATAACCGAAAATTCACTTCGCAGAATTTTTATTTCTTCAAATTTTTATTTCTTAGAATTTTTATTTGTCATAATTTTTATTTGCTCAAATTTTCATTTAACATAATAGGCATTTTAAAAAATTTTTATTGGGTTGAATTTTATTGCATAGAATTTTCTTTTAGATGAATTTTCATTTGTTCGAATTATTATTTGTTTGAATTTCCATTTAACCGATTTTTCACACTACAGAATTTTCACTTAATCGAAAAATCATTTAACAGAATTTCTAATTGATAATAGAATTTTCATTTGTCCGAAATTGCAAATGACCGAAGCAACAATCGATTTTGGCGCGATTTTTTAAAAATCGACCAATCAAAAATTATCCATAATATTGTAATTGGTTGATTTTAAAAATCGCGCCAAAATTGATTGTTTGTTCGGACATTTGCAATTTCGGACAAATGAAAATTCTATTATCAATTAGAAATTCTGTTAAATGATTTTTCGGTTCAGTAAAAATTCTTTAGTATGAAAAATTGATTATATGGAAATTATATCAAATAATAATTCAAACAAATTAAAATTCATCTAAAAGAATAAAATGAAAATTCTATGCAATGAAATTCTACCCAATAAAAATTCTTTAAAATGCAATGAAAATTCGAGCCAATAAAAATTCTGACAAATAAAAATTCTGTGAAGTTAATTTTCGGTTATATAAAAATTGTGTAATATAGAAAATCGGTTTGATGAAAATTCTGCAAAATACAAATTCGAACAAATAAAAATTCAGTTCAAAAATAATTATGACAAATATGAAATTCCACAAAATAAAAATTCTAACTAATGATTTTTAGAAAATAATTATGCGTCCCAAAAATGTTGGGACTAATTATTGTTTTGACTGTTCATCTGATTCTTCTTTTTTCTTCAAGTTTTAATTTCATAGCAAAAAAAAAAACCTCAAAATTTCGATTTTCAAATTGAAAATTTGAATTGAAATTTTTAATATTTTTACATTATTATTTTTAATGTATTCCTATAAACAATAGAATTTTCTTTCACTTCTTAAAGAATTTATGAAAAAAAAAATACAAATTTTTGTAAAAATTGTATTTTTTTTGCGAAATTCAAATGCAACTACAATATATGATCATTGAAAAAGCACATATAAAAGTTATAAAAATATGTATATAAAACTATCTCACAACTAATTTTTTTCTTTCTATATATTTCTAAAAGAAAATTAGATTTTCTTAATTTATGGGAAAAAAAATGGTTTTTTGTAAAAAAAAAAAGAAAAAAAAAAAGTAGTGATTATATAAACTATATATGGACTCTTATACCACTTCTTCCTGATAACGTTTGTCTTTATGCATTCGCTCCATGTGACGAGCAATGTGCATTTTTTGTTTTGCCCGATAAACACAATGGGGACATTGAAATTGTGGATCTTTACCGCATTCCCACTTGGTGTGATTGCGAAGACTGCTCTTTAATTTATAAACTCTGCCACAAGCCTGACAACTGAAACCCTCTCCATTTGGCGATGATGATCCTTTGCCTGAATCTGATCCCGATCGCCATACGCCCGATGAAACTGCTCCCCATCTTGGCCAATTTGATGCTGTCCATTTAATTGCAGAAAAACTGAGGTCCTCGGCTAAAACAAAATTTTCCAATTTTTGTTAATAAAAAAAAAATAAATAAATATATTAATTTAGCCTTTCGGGGGTATTGCATAAATTATTTTTTTTAGAAAGAGTTTTTATTTTTTTCTCATTAAATATTTTGCAAAAAAAAAAAAATACCATTTTCAAAAAAAAAAAAATGAATACCCCTTTGGCTAATTTTTAAAGACAAAATTAAAATTTTGTGTAAATAAATAAAAACAAAATATCATTTGAAAATAAAGATATCAATTCAAAATAGATTTCGAATATTTTGAAGTCCAGTATTTTGAATTAATATCCCGCTTGTTATGAATTGAAATTAAAAGAAATTTCAATTTATTGATTTTTAGTTTCTACAATTAAAAATCAATGCCTTCTATATAAAAATTCGCTACATATAGGAAAATTGTTATATTTACCTATTTCTAATTTATCCAAAATATTTACAATATTTTTCATCTATATAAAAAAATTCTAAAATTTACCAGAGTTCAAAAATTTTAAATTCCCATTTTTTTCACACCAAAGAAAGAAAAAATTGTGTCTTGAAAAAAATTGAATGAATAATTTTCAAATTTTTATTTTTTTTTTAATCAATTTATAAAATTTCAATAATTTTTTTCTTATCGATAATTTAAATAAAGTATAGTAAAAATTGCAAATTGAAAAATATTCATTACTATTTTTTTCGATGCACCAAGAATATATTTTAGATTTCTATTTACAGTTTTAGAATGTAAGTTAGTATGCATGCTTATTTTCAAAAATATATCTAAAGAAAGTAAAAGAAATAGCAAAAACATAGTTTTTTTTGTTAAAGAATTATTACAATTTTGAATCACTACTTCAAGATTGTATATTTTATTGAAGTCATAAGTGAATAATAAATTGAATAATAATTAAGTTTAAAAATCCACTCAGAATAATTTATTTTTATTTTTTTTTATTCGCATACACTGTGGGACACTAAAAATAAAAAACCGTAGAGGATAATTTTTTTTTTTTTCTAAAAATATACCTTTCCAATAACAAAATCCTCGTTGAGTTTTGTTTAGCTCAAATTTTTTTTAAGGCCAGGTCCAAGTTAGGCAGCGCCATCTACATTGAAACTAAAATTTTGGAAAATTTGCAACAGCCTTTTCTTGAAAACAAGAAGGTAAAATGCTTTTTCCATTACGGATAATTGATTATTGGCAAGATATACACCAGCTAAAACTTTTTTTGAGTTAAAATAATGAAAAAAATTTCATGTAGATAAATTAAATATGAGCACTTTTTTCACAAAAACTGTAACAGTACTTTCTCAGAAATTGCATTTTTGATTGCATATATTATAATAATTATAATAAAATTAGTAAATCTTTTGACATACTGTAACAGTACTTTCTCAGAAATTGCAATCAAAAATGCAATTTCCATTTGGAAAATTAATAAATGCTAAAAAATACACGACCTAAGATTTTCCAATCACGAAAATAACAAAAAAAAATTTTATTAAATATTTAACATATTGATACTGCTTTACTGATTGTGACAGCCCTTTGGTAGATTATGTATTTCAGGTGGTTAGCAACAGCGCCAATCTCCTCCTTTCGGCAAAACTGCGAAACGTCTGGTGACATATATAACCTGCCAAACGGCTGTCATAATGAGTAAAATGTGTTATGTTAAAATACTTTTTTTTTGTTATTTTCGAGATTGGTAAATCTTAGGTCGTGTTTTTTTTAGCGTTTATTAATTTTCCAAATGGAAATTGCATTTTTGATTGTAATTTCTGAGAAAGTACTGTTACAGTTTTTCTAAAAAAAAGTGCTCATATTTAATTTATTGACATAAAATTTGTTTATTATTTTAACTCAAAAAAAGTTTTAGCTGGTGCATATCTTGCCAATAATCAATTATCCATAAAGAAAAAAGCATTTTACCATCTTGTTTTAAAGAAAAGGCCGTTGAAAATTTTCCAAAATTTTAGAATCAATATAGATGGCGCTGCCTCACTTGGACAACCCATTAACATAACCTCAAACTAAAAAGTAGTTTTTTAACTGAACTAAAATTATATTTAAAATTTATTACATCCAAATTCGACAGATCCAATTGTACAATTATGGAAAAAAATTATAAATGATCGACATTTAAAGTGGTCGAAATTTTATTAGTTCAACCTTCATAAATATCGATTATTTAGAATTTCGACCGAATAAAAAATCGACTGAATAAAATGTCGACCTTCATAAATGTCTATCATTTAGAATTTCGATAAAATAAAATATTGACTAAATAAAATATCGACCAAATAAAATGTTGACCATTTTAAATATCGATCATTTATAATTCCGTTTAAATAAAATATCGACTTAAGGGCAGGTCAAAGTCGATGCGATTTTTCCATTGAAGTTCTATGTAAAAATTGCTTCGACTTTGACCTGCCCTTAATGTAATTCGATCAATTAAAATTTTCGACCTTTTTAATTTTTGGGAAAAATCAAGCGCCTCAAAAGTATTAGTGAACAATAGCTTATTTTTCTCTTTGAAAAATTATTTACAATTTTGATTTTGATGTTTTTGTTAAATAATGGTTTTTGTTTAAAAAATATAAAAAATAAAAATTTTTTTTGTTTATTGACTTTTGAACAAAATATTTTTCATAAAATTCAACAAACAGAATTGTAAAAAATCTTTCAAAGAACAAAATGAGCTATTTTTTGTAAGAATTACATAAAAATTTACAATTGTTCACTAACTTTTAAACAAAAAATATAAAAAGTTAAATAATTATTAATTAACAACAAATTTTTGAGCAAAATAATTTATTTTGAAAATTGTACAACTAAATCTTTCAAAATTTTGATAAAATAAATTTCATTTGCGTATAGTTTTATTTGTTGTTAAAAACAATTTTTTAATTTGAGGTTATGTTAATGGGTTGAACCTCCTTAAGGTCATTTGAATTTTTGGAACTTGAGACCACTTTGTAGTTTTTCATTTACCAAAATTTTCACTTATAAAACAATTTTTTATTCAAAAATATTCGAATTAAATCGTCATGATTCTTTGTAAAAATGTCGTCAATGTACAAATTAACCCATTTTCTGAAGAACCTAAATTCTAAAACGCAATTTTTTTTTAAAAACCAAATGTTTGAAAAATTGCAATTTAAAAAAAAAATTTCACTCTAAGTTTGAAAATCTTTTAAATTTCTTACTGCTTTTTTGAGCAAAAATTTAGTAAAATATACTAGATGAAAAACCTAATTTATAAAATACCATCACTAAATTGATTTTATTTGCTGACAAAAAAAATTTTCTATTTTTATAAAATGAAACCAAAAAATAAGGAAAATAAAAGTCTCTGTACTTTTTTACAACACTATTTTATCTATTTAATAATATTAATAAAAAAAACTAGTTTAGAGTATAGAAAGAAAAGTTTTTTAGAAAATCTTGTAAAAAATTTTTTTTTATTATTATTTTTATTTTTTTTTTAGAAAACTTTTAGTTTAATTAATTTTTGTATTTTATTAATTACTTTTTCTAATATATTTTACATTTTTGTTTTAAAAGTAACAATTGAGAATAGTTACAAAATCAGAATGAAAAAAATTAAAAATTGCCATTTTTTAAAAATTTGTTTTCTAAAATTGCATTTTGATACATAAAAAAAAATTCGAGACAACTTTTACAAAACTTAACAAAGAATTTTGCTATAAAAATGATATATTTTCAGTAAAAAAAGAATTGTCCGATGTGATTTAATTTTGTTGATCCGAAAATTTTTGTACAGTGATTAATATATGTATTTGCTTTGAATAAAAATATATTTGTCTCAGAACTAACATCGCCAATTTATTTAAAACTTGGTAATATATTTCTGGGTATAAAATTTCAGAAAATCAACTTTTTAAGTAAAAACAATTGTTTATTTATAAGATACAATAATTTTTCAAAATTATTTAAATCGATCTTTTGAATCTGTAAAAATAAATAATAAACTAATTATTAGGTAAATTCACTTTTAGGTTATGTTAAAATAAAAAAAATTTCTTGTAACTAGTCAAATTTGACTATTTTTTCAGTTACTTTTTTTTACACTGAGAATAAAATTAAATTTTACTAATAATTAGTTTTTTTTTTAATAATAATTGCTGAAGCAGAAAGTCAACAAAATTTTTAATAACATGTTATTTTTTACTAATTCAAATTTAGAGAGTTTTACTTTATAAATAACAATTATTTTTATTTAAAAAATTGATTTTCTGAAACTTTATTAATATAATATTATCAAGTTACAAAAAAAGAATTAGTGGCAATACTCCAGAAAATTAGTAAATTTCTCCTGGATTAAAACTAATTAAAATTTCGAAATAAATATATTTATTTATACAAAGAACTGAGGCAAATATTTTTTTTTCTCTGAGTGAAATATTATGTAAAATGAAAAATTATAATTTTAAAATGTAATTTATTTTTTAATTTGAAAAATTTTCAATTATTATTCAATTATTTCTTTCCATTACCATATATATATATTTATTATAACCCAATATTTCTAATCAACTTTTAAGCCAAATTATTTATATGCAAGAAAAATGTGTGTTCAAAATTTTGCTAAGTCCCTATAAAATTTAGGGTAAATTAACAAATTGGTAAAATAAATTTCAGTTTAGTATGGTAATAATAAATAATGTTTAAAAATAAAATAACATTTTTTAATTTCAAAAATTTTTTTTTTTTAATATTTATTTCCATTTACTAGTTTTTTTTTTCTTTTTTTTTTTCTTCCATCGTTTTATAAAGAATCGGGTGCGCCTATACAATGCAGTTGATTAAACCTAAAAAACATTGATTTAGTAATTTTTTATTTTTTGATTAGTTTTTATCAATTAGTATAATATTTTAGTTACCATTTTTTCTTTTTTTTTAATATAGTTTTTCATATTTTTGCACACAATAATATGTGTAAATTTTTATTTTTTATTATTGTGTGAATTTTTAATAAAAATTAGTTACAAATATGCACATTTTAATTAAAAGCATACAATTTATTTGTTTACCTTTCATTGTTTAAATTATTAAAATTCCTCAAAAAATCTTCTTTTGTTTTATCAAGTCGAATGAAAGTCGAAATAAAAAATATTCCCCAATGGTATAGTAACTGCTGTTGATAAATTTTCGACTTTCTCCAAAAATACGAACCTGCAAAAATATATAACATAATGAATTTTTGTTCCACTCATTTAAAAAAAAAAAAAAAAAAAAAAAATTATAACAAAATAAATAAATTTTTTTTATTATATTAAAATTATAATAATTATTATAAATAAATTTGTATAAAATATATTAAAATTAATTATAAACGTAATTAAACTAAAATATTAAAAATTATTAAGACAGAAATTTCTAGAGAGATATTTCAATGGAATTTATTTGTTTATTTAATTCGTCGATTATTTAATAACAAATAAAAAACAAACAAATTCAAAATAACGATTTACATTTAATTCAACAAAATTCTTTTTTTATCCCTGGCTATTTATTTTTAAAAAAAAATCTAAACTAACAATAAGTAACATAACACAGAGATAAATCACTTATATATATAATTATAATAATTACAATTAAATCTATTTTAAATTCTAAACTCGAATAAATCAAAATTAATTTCATGATTTATATATATACAAAGAATCTCAACAAATACGATATATTTTTCAGATGATGAAAAGTTCGCAAAATGTAAATTTTGTAAAAAATTTACATCAATCGAAAAATTATAAAGAAAAAAAAATTATTTTCCATTATGGAAAAATTAAAATTGTTTTCATTTACAAATTTAGGGAAAAAAATATATATTTTTTTTTTCATGAAAAACTCGTACAATCTGAGAAGGTAAAATATATTTTAAATATTATATATTATTTAATTTCGTTGCTTAGGAACTTTTTTGTATCAAAAATACAATTTCACGCTCATGGAACCTATTTTTTTTTTTTTAAGTTAATAACTTTTTCAAGTTTTCAGTTTGACTTAGTTTTCTCTTATATGTATATAATTAAAGTATTGAGAAAAAATAGAAACTGTATTATTTCATTACACTTGTATTATTAAAAAAAAAACAAAACAAGATAATTAATTCTTTATAGAAAAATTGGAATTTTTTTTTTTTTTTTGAAAAAAAGTTATTAATCTCCTACAGTACAGGTGTAGAAAGAAGAAAACATTTTTAAAAACTTATATGGTAACTTGAGGATTTTATATTGTTTAGTTATTTACGAATACGAGTTTGAATTTGCGAAATTCAAAATTATTGAGGAAAAACTTTTTATTCTCGAAAAAATAAAAACAGATCACATACTTCATTTTCTGAGTTTATGAATTATGATTACGAATTTGTGGTCAATTTTATACATAATTATTATTTTATAAAAATTTATTTATAATTAATAATAATTAAGCAATAAAAAAATTAATAAATAAAAAATAATTAATTATAATTAATTAATTAATAATAGTAATTAATATATAATATTTAATTGATTTCTAAATAAATACTAAATTTCACTTTTTATAGTTGACAGCTATTAAAAAAAAATTGAATATTTTTTCAAATCAATATTAAAAAAAATATATATTTAAAAATTTACATTTTTCAAGAATAACGACAAATATATGAAATATGCGAAAGTGTGCAAAATATTTTTTTTTCACACATGCTCAAAAAACTCGTGTTTTTGTGCTTTGTGCATAATATAATATTTGTATAGTCTGTTAGCTGTCAAAAATAAAAAAAAAAACCCACAAATTCCTAATCACAGCAAACATGAAATTTTCCCTTTACATCTGAATTATTAAAAATTTTTAATTTTAAATTTAATTCGTGACAATAATATTTTTACAAATTCACACTAGTAAAAATTAAATAATTCGTGACTTATTTCTTACTATGTATTAATTTTAAAAAAAATCAACTAATTCGTGAATAATCCTTTTCTATGAATTAGTTAAAATTTAATTAATTCGTGCTTAAAATTTTGCCACGAACTAGTAAAATTTAACTATAATTCGTGAGTCACTATTTGTTTTACTTCGAATCAGTTGAATTTAATTAATTCGTGACTTATTTTTATCTACGAATTAATTATTTTTAGTAATAAATTTTTTTTTGACTAATTCAATAGATAAAAAAATTATTTAATTCGTGACTTAACTTTTACCATATGCGAATTAATTGAATTGAACTAATTCGTGAATAACTTTTATTACAAATTATGTAAATTTAACTAATTCGGTTCTTTTCTAAAATTTTCGATATGATTTAGTTAAATTTAATTAATTTGTCTTTAATTTTATTTTACATTGAATTCAACTAATTCGTGACTAATTTTCACTTTAAAATATACTATGTAAATTTATCTAATTCGTGACTGACTTTTTTTAATCCAAATTAATTAAAATTAACTAATTCGTGACTAACTTTCTCTTCAAAATATTATGTGAATTTTTCTAATTCGTGACTGGCTATTTTTACTCCGAATTAGTTGAATTTAACTAATTCGTGGCCTATTTTTTATAATATTTTTACAAATTCACAAAGGTAAAAATTAAATAATTCGTGACTTATTTCTTACTATGTATTAATTTTAAAAAAAATCAACTATTTCGTGAATAATACTTTTCTATGAATCAGTTAAAATTTAATTAATTCGTGCTTAAAATTTTGCCACGAACTAGTAAAATTTAACTATAATTTGTAAGTCACTATTTTTTACTTCGAATCAGTTGAATTTAATTAATTCGTGACTTATTTTTATCTACGAATTAATTATTTTTATTAATAAATTTTTTTTGACTAATTCAATAGATAAAAAAAATTATTTAATTCGTGACTTAACTTTTACCATATGCGAAGTAATTGAATTGAACTAATTCGTGAACTTTTACTATGATTTAGATAAATTTAACTAATTCGTGACTATTTTTTATTATTTTTATTTAAAATTAATTGAATTTAACTAATTCCTGTATAATTTTTACTACAAAATATGTAAATTTAGCTAATTCGTGCGACTAACTAATTTTTTTACTCCGAATTAGTTGAAATTAACTAATTCGTGACGGAAATGTTTCACTATGATTTAGTTAAATTTCAGTAATTTCTAATTTATTTAATTTTATTTTGAATTAAATAGTAAAGAAAAATTTATTTAATTCGTGACTAACTTTTACTATGAATTAATTAAATTTAACTAATTCGTGACTGAAATTTTTAACTATAATTTAGTTAAATTTAAGTAATTAGTGATTAATTTAATTTTTTTTGATTTAATTAAATTCAACTAATTCGTGAATCGCTTTTTTTTACTTCGAATCAGTTGAATTTAACTAATTCGTGATAAAAATGTTCACTTTTATTTAACTAAATGTAACTAATTCGTGACTCACTATTTTTTTACTTTAAATTAATTAAATTTAACTAATTCGTGACTCACTTTTTTTACTTTGAATTAATTAAATTTAAGTAATTCGTGATAAAAAAATTTTCATTCTGATTTAGTTAAATTTAACTAATTCGTGATTAATTTTATTTTACTTTGAATCAGTAGAATTTAACTAATTCGTAATTAATTTTATTTTACTTTGAATTAATTGAATTTAATTAATTCGTGATTAATTTTATTTTACTTTTAATTAATTATATTCAACTAATTCGTGATTAATTTTGTTTTTACTACGAATTAGTCATATAAATTCAACTAATTCGTGACTAATTTTTGTTACTACAAACAAGTCACGAATTCAAAGTTGTTAAAAATTTTTACTAATTCAGATTTAAAGATTTTTTTTTTCACATAAAATCAGAGTAATTTTTTTTTTTTTTATTATTATAATATCTATGTCCAATTTGGTCTTGATGTTATGGGATTAAATGATTTTAATTCGGCAATAGTATTAATTTCCTCTTGTAATGCAACATGAACTTTATAATGTCTCTGTAAACTGTGCTTATGTTTAAATCGTGAATGACAAACGACACATTCAAATTGTGCTGCAACACCGCATTCAAATTTTTTGTGCCTCTGTAATGAAATAATCCGTCGATATTGTCTTCCACACGTTTCACATGGATAGGTCGAACCATTATGTGGATATTGAAATAATGCATCTGAAAAATACAATAAAAATTTATCAGACAATTTTTTTTTTTTTTATAATATCAATAATGAAATAGTATATTATGTGGCAAGCACGTAAAGTAGTACTTTTTAGGTGAGGATGTAATTTTCAGTACGAGCTGTCGTTAGTGCGACGTAGGTGAGACGAAGGCGAGCTGTAGGTGAGATGAAGACGAGCCGAAGGCGAGTCGAGTCGAGCCGAAAGCGAGCCGAGTCGAACCGAAGTCGCACAGACAGCGAGTATTGAAATCATCCGAACCTAAAAATTACTACGTGCGAGCCACATACGCTATTTTTTTCGCCATTGTTATGAAAAAGTGAAACAATTTTAAAGAAAAAAAATAATAAAAATTGATAAATAAAATAAAAGCAAAAAAAAAAATTATGCAAAAATTAACAACTGCCTAAAAAAGACTTTATAGGGCAGTTTACTGCCTAAAAAAGACTTTATACGGCAGTTTGCTGCCTAAAAAAGTCTTTTTTAGGCAGTTGGCCCAAACTGCCTTAAAAAGTGCTACTTTATCTGCCCAAAACAGGCACAAAAAAGACACTTTTTCATGTCAATGGCGAAAAAAATTTATTTTACACCATAAACTAATATTATTATTATTATTATTATTGATGCGGAGCAGTAAATTATTTGCCAATTATGTAACTTTCACCCAAAATATAATCAAAAGACACTACTTTTAAGGAAAGAAATACATTTTTTTTTGTTTTTATTATAATAAATTATGATTGCTATATATTTAAAAAAAAAATTAATGTAAATTTCTCTCCTTTTTTTTGAAAGTATAAAAAAACGAATTAAAATAATGAATGTCTATCAAAAGAGGTGCAGAAGTAAAAGCGAAAAATGAAATAAGAAAAAAAATAGAAAAACAGAAATTTTATTAACAAAACATGATCATTTTTTTTTTAATGATTATTATAAATAAGGATATGAGAGAAAGCAAAAAAATAAATTTGTTTTATTGAAAAAGAGTAAAACGATTTTTAATAAAATATTTTTTATTTTTATTTAAAAATAAATTTACCAAATCTAACATTTTATATACAATTGTTTTGAATCGTATTTTTTTAAAATATATATATATTTTCTGGACCAATTTTTTTTTGTTCTTTTACAATCAACTTTTTTTTTATGTAATATATATATAAATAACATAAAATTTGTTGGATTACATGAAAAGGACTTTATGCCTATGTCGAATATGATAATCCAAACTATATTTTCTTTTGGTACAATAATGACAATATGGACAACGAAATATTGGAAATTTGCCGCACTCAAAATTAATATGTCTCGTTAAACTTGATTTCTGATTGTAAGACCGGAAACATTGATTGCAGAAAAAGTTCCGATTTCCCCTCAGTATTGATCCTAAAATATAAACAAAAAAAATTAATAAAATATTCCAAAAAAATTTTTTTTTTATTTTACATAGTGAAAAAGAATTTATAATAATTATATTTAAAAAAAAATAATAACAAATTTAAATAATAAAATTCAGTAATTTATTCAATAGGTGGGTTTTATAAATATTATTAATTTTGTTATAGAAATAAAATATTTGAGACAACAATATTTTCATGGTATACGTAGACAACATTTATTCCTTAGAAAAATATAATCAACAATAAGTTCTATTCAAACGTTTCGTATTCACAAATATACAACTAAGAAGACATTTTTGTTAATAATATTAATTTTTTGTTACATCAGATTTTTACACGTTGGTCATATATAATATTATAGTTATAGACACATTGAAAAAAATTATTTTTGTAAATATTACAAAAATGGAATTTCTTTTTTTTTTTAATATACTTATAATTGCAAGTGAAATATTAACGTGTTATGATAATTAAACTATTATGTTTATTATAATATTATATAAATTGAAGCTCAGATTTTTTTAATAAATTAACGAAAAAAATTCTTTTTATTTTAAAAAACAATTATGTTTGTTAGTTTTTTGTTAAATAAATAATTGATTTTTAATATGTGTGACGCGCTTTGAAGAAAGGAAAGAAAACAAAAAATTTTTAGGTTAGGTAATTTTATACTCTTAAAAGCTTTTTTTATTAGTTAATATGTAAAGTGAAAATCAATTTTTATTGAATATTTTTGATGTAATAAAAATTAAAGTATTAATTATTTATATTTTGAAATATGTTCTTTTATAACCTTTGAAAAATATACACTTTTCGGAAAAAATAATCTTAGATCAAAATCTTTGCGTCAAATAATAATTTTTTTTTACATGTTTAATTTTTTCTTTTAGCTGCACACAAAAATGGAAATTTTTCTCCAATTTTTATATAAACAATAAAAATAATTTATTGTTTATATAAAAATTGGAATAATAATAATATTAATATTAATATTTATTATTATTATTAATAATTATTATTATTATTTTATACTCCTTGAAACATTCTCTACAATCGTAATTTTTTCAATGTTGAAAATATTTTCTTCAAAAATTACGAAAAAAAGCATAATTTTTTTATTAAATAATTTTTTAAAATTTTGATTATAAAAAATGTTCAACGGCCTCTGAAATTTTTTTGGCAAAAAGAGACTTTTAATTATCGCCCTATAAAAACGACACTGAACGTGAAAATGATAAACATGATTTTAAAATACTTTTTTCTCGAAACATGGACACTTTTAACAAAATCGATAAAAACACCAAGGATCCTTATTTTATAAATTTCCTAAATCCGAATGATTGTGTGAACCCATACAAAAAATGCGATTTCAAAACGAAAAGTAGGAAAGTAAATAATAACAGCTGCGATTTTGAACTCCCTGCATGCCTCTTCCATCTGGCGGCAGCAGGACGAAATGAACCTGTCACTATATTACTTTTCTACTTTTAGTTTTGCAACCGCATTTTTTTTATGGATTAGCACAATTTTTCGGATTTAGGAAATTTATAAGATAAGGATCCTTGGCGTTTTGATCGTTTTTTGTAAAAAGTGTCCGTGTTTCGAGAAAAAAGTATTTTAAAATCAATGTTTATCATTTTCACGTTCAGTGCTATTTTTATAGGGCGATAAAGGGCCAAAGAATTTCAGAGACCGTTCGACACTCTTATGTTAACGTTTATTCAGATAAATATTGCTATTCTTATCTCGGCTGAAAGAAAAAATCGAAATGTTAAAAAAAAATAATTATACGGAAGATTTTGATAATTCAACGTAAATTTTTCTGAAAAATGTATAACAATATCTTTCAAAATTGATAGAAATTAATTTTTAATTTTAGCTTTCTTTAAAAATCATTTTTTAATTTGAGGTTATGTTACAGTGACCATCCTTCTTAAAAAAAACCAAAAAAAAATTTATTATTTAACAAATTTTGGTTGCAAATACCTTTTTTTTGAATTATACAATTGAATCTTTCAAAATTCGATGAAATCAATATTTTAATTGATATCTATTTATAAATAAAAGCAATTTTTAGTTTGAGGTTATGTGAATAAAGTAAAACCTCCTTAAATAATCAAACACACTCAAAAATAGAAAAAAAAAACAATTAAAACTTGTCTTAAAATTAAAAACAGATAATTTCGAAATAAAAATTGAATTTAATAATAAATTTTGTTCTTCAAATCAAAATTGGATTTATTAATACAAAAAAAAAAAATTTTTTTCCAATTTTTTTCATAATAATACTGAAGAAAATACTAATATTTCGAAATTTTTATATTTAAATTGTACACATTTAATTTTTTTTGCACTTAAAACATTTTTTAGAAATTTTCTTTTTTTTCAATAACTATACAATATCACTTTTTCCCTTTTTTTTCAAATTTCATAATCATATTTATGTTTAATATTTATATATTTATATATATAATTATGTGTGAAATTTTCGTTACAAGTGCATAAAATTGGATTCAGTTTTTTCTAACAATGAACTATTTACGTTATAAAACATTTTATGATGAATTTGCTTAATAATTTCACTATTTCCTGATGTGAGTAAAATTGGCCAACATTCTGGACTTTCACGTACATGACGATGAAGTGACTTTTTCCATTTGTATGATTTCGTACATGAAATGCAGGTATTGTGTTCTGTAAAATAAATTAATACATTACATCATATTATGTTTAAAAAAAAAAAAAAATTAAAGAGAATACAAAAAATTTATTAAAGATAATGTATATATATATATATATAAAGTACGAAAAAATATATTACAAAAGGACGATTTTATATGAAAAAAAAAAAAAATATGAGCACCTTTAAAAGTTTGACCTTTATTTCTACATGGCAATTAAAACATCAAACTGAGTGCAATTATTATTAACCCTTTGTGCAAACTGAAAAAAATTTATTCTAAAATTAAGAATAACAAAATTTATTCTAATTTTAAATAATAATTTTATTTTTTCTCTTCAAAATTATTTTAAGAGAATAAATTTTTTTCGATAAGTGATTTTCAAAAAAAATCCATAATATTTACGTGAATAAATTCGTGCAAAAATTTGAAAGAAACAAACAAGAAATTAGGTTTCATTTATAACATTCAGATATTATTTGTATATATCTTTATATTAAAGAAAATACAACAATCAATAATGTGTGTTTTTTTTTATTTTATTTAAAACATTACATTTTTTTAAAATTATGTACATGAAAGAACCGCAGAATTATATTTTTCTATAGAAAAAATATATGAACATTTTTTTTAAGAAAAAAAGTAAGAAATGTAAAATTTTAAATTAAATCTCTTTTGGGTAAAAAATACTTGTAAAAAAAACTTTTTTTTTATTAATTAATAGAAAAACGAATATAATTTGTAAGTAACAAAAATATTTTATGACAAGCACGAAATATTAATTAATATTGTTAATTAATTAATATGAATATAATACATTATTATTATTATTTAGATAATTATCAAGAGTTTCGAGATGCAACAAATGTCGAATGCTCTCGAAGAATATGATATTTTAATAAAGTATTAACTCTTGCTCTATGAGAACAAAATGGACATGGATAAAGTGGTTCGACACCACAAAAAAAATTCATATGCTTTTTTAAACTTCTCCAATCACTGTAACGTTTGCCACACTTGAGACACAAAAGATTAGTCTTGCAATTTTTCCAAACATCACTTGATAGTGTACTGCAAAAAAGTGGAATTCCTGAAACACAATAACAATAAAATTAATTACAATGTTTTATTTTTATTAAACTTTTTTTTTTATTTGCACACTCACGGAAAATTATTATTATTAGCATCAATTTATAGTTGCAAGTTACTATATTATTATACTTATAGAAATTAAGCAAGCGTTTTAGAAATTTTTTTTTTTTATTTTTATGTGCCATTCCAGTTTTTTTTTCATATTTCGAAGTAAGTTTATGAATTTAAATAAAACTTGATTTATTTATTGATATAAAGATCGAAATTAATTTTTTGAATAAAAAAAAAAGGTTTACTTGCTTAAAATTTTATAATTTTTTTTTTATTTTGTAGGTATTATTTTAATCGAATGTTTTAGCGTTTTTAAGAATCTTTTTTCGTTTCTGAAAAGAGAGAGAGATACCAACATGATGTGTGAAAAAATACGTATAATACTGTAGAAAAGAAACCAGTATTTCGACTTTGTGTCAACATCAACGGCAACATAACCTCTTTTTCTTATTTACTTTCTGATTTATTGTTGGTAAATAAGTATTAATTAATAAATAAAATATTGAAATATTGGTCAATTGAAAACTTTCAGTTGAGTTAAATAATATTATCTTATTTGCAATAATTTCGTAGAAAATTTTAACATTTTAAATGTGCTTTTAAGTTCTCAATTTAGAAGAGAAATACTAATATAATTTAAATTTTATCAAAGCATCGATAATTAATTTTTGCCAATATCAGAACTTTTGAAAATTGGAAATTCGAAACAAGCAGATTTGGGGTTACGTTTCTTAAAATTAGCCTTATGTATAATACACAATACACATGTAGAAAACTCATGTATAATACGTGTACATTACAGGTAAAATACCTTGTATTATACTCGAGGTTTTCTCTGAAAATATGGTAAACATAACCTTAATTTTCAGAATTATGTTGGTAACACTGACTGTTGATGAGAAAGGTCGCGCGCAACCATAACAGCTGATTACACTAAATCCGAAAAACGCAAAACACAATTTCTAAAATTTTGAGAAAATTAACACAAGCCTTCTAAATTTTTTTTAGGCCATGAAGACTGGAAACGTGAGAAATATTTGAAACTTTAAGTACTTTCTTTCTTTTTATTTGGTTTGCTAAATATTAATATTTTTAGCGAACATTAAAAGTTAACTTTTTCATTTATTGTATTGTATTGTTATATTTTTAAAATAAAGAATTGGTTTTAGTCAAAAATATTTTTTTTTCGCCATTGACATGAAAAAGTGTCTTTTTTGTGCCTGTTTTGGGCAGATAAAGTAGCACTTTTTAAGGCAGTTTGGGCCAACTGCCTAAAAAAGACTTTTTTAGGCAGCAAACTGCCGTATAAAGTCTTTTTTAGGCAGTAAACTGCCCTATAAAGTCTTTTTTAGGCAGTTGTTAATTTTTGCATAATTTTTTTTTTTGCTTTTATTTTATTTATCAATTTTTATTATTTTTTTTCTTTAAAATTGTTTCACTTTTTCATAACAATGGCGAAAAAAATAGCGTATGTGGCTCGCACGTAGTAATTTTTAGGTTCGGATGATTTCAATACTCGCTGTCTGTGCGACTTCGGTTCGACTCGGCTCGCTTTCGGCTCGACTCGACTCGCCTTCGGCTCGTCTTCATCTCACCTACAGCTCGCCTTCGTCTCACCTACGTCGCACTAACGACAGCTCGTACTGAAAATTACATCCTCACCTAAAAAGTACTACTTTACGTGCTTGCCACATAATATACTATTTTTTTTACTTTTTTATTAATATAAATATACTACTGCGTTTCATTTAAATTGGTGAGGTTAATCTAAAACAGTAAAAAAAAACTTCTGGAATGGCACTTATAAACTATACTTTTTGATGTCTTATTTTCCAAATATTACACTACCGGTAAAAAATTATGCGATCACTTATAAAAATGCTGTAAAAAACACTGTATTTTAAAAGTTGATAACTCTGTTCATAACTATCGTAGAAAGTTTTTTTAAACTACTTTTTGGAAAGATTATTAAATTTGCCGTAAAGTGATCCAATACACAAGCTTTTTTGGTAAATAAAAACCGAGATATAAAGTGATAAAGACAAGTGTAATTTTCAATTTTACTAAATTTTCATTGTCCGAGTTTGATGGGCTGCATTTTGTAAACAAGTAAATAAAAAAAAAAAATTGAAATTAAGCTAAATAGCAGCTTGAACTTTAAGCTTTCAATTAAGCTCGAGAACTTTTTATATTATTGTCTGGTTATTAAGTTATAACAAATTTAATACAACAATGCACGAACGATTTTTAATGCAGCGACTTCACTGTTCGGTGATCGCTTGACTCACAGCTGACTGATAGGTCCGTAATAGGTTTCAAAAGGCTAGTGACACTAAAAGGGGGCACCGTCAAAATAATAATTATTTTACTTTTATCATAACATTTTGTAAATATTTCATTAAAATTTTATTGTTATTATTATTTTTATTATTAAGTATTAGATTTTACTTCAAAATTATCAACAAATTGATAATAACAATATAAATAAATTGAATACTCATAAATAGAATAAATAAATACATAATGAACAAAGCAAAAAATAAAAAATTTAATAAAAAATAATAAAATAAATATTTTTTTGTAATTTCTTGTTTACTTCATTCATTATTATTCTATTTATGAGTATTCAATTTATTTACTTTTTAATATCAATTTGTTCAAATGAAGTAAAATAAAATAATAATATTAAAAAGAATATAAAAATTATTTAAATAAAATATTTGCAAAATTATTTTGACACGAACGTGTCAGTGTCCCTTTTAGTGCCTCTAATCTTCTGACTTATTACGGACCTGTCAGTCAGCTGTGAGACTCGCAGATAGGTCGAGTGAACAGTAAATTCGCTGCATTAAAAATCGTCGGTACATTGTTTTAATAAATTAGTCATAATTTAATAACTTTTCAATATTTTAAAGTGTTTTTGGACCTAATTAAAAGCTAAAAGTTCAAGCTTTTATTTAGCTTAATTTCAATTTTTTTTTTATTTACTTGTTCAGAAATTCCCGTCAAACTCAATAAAATACATTAGACACAATACAAATTCAGTAAAATTGAAAATTAGACCTGTCTTTATCACATCATATTTCCGTTTCTATTCATCGAAAAAACTTGTATATAGAATTATTTTACGGCAAATTTAAAAATCTTTCCGAAAATTGTTTAAAAAAAAGTTTCAACGATATTTATGAACAGTTATTAATTTTTAAAGAGAGACGTATTTTTAATAGCATTTTTAGTAATTTCACATAATTTTTGACCGGTAGTGTACATTGAAACGAAAATAATATAAATTCGAATTTATTTACTTTATATCTCAGCAACGTTTATTTTTCATAAAAAATAAACAAAAAAAAATTAATTTTTTTCTTATTAAAAATAACACAACTAATTAAATTTTTCATAAAGGTATTTGGAATCAATTTATCGTCGAGAAAGTAAAAATAAAATATCTTTTAAAAATTTTATTATTCTTCATTTCCACACATGAAACAAAATTAATAAATATATTTTTCTTTTTTTTTTTTTTTTTTTTTTTATTTAAAAATTCAACATTATTTATCAAGGCGTAACTAGAAATTTTTTATTGGCCGGTATTTTTAAATTATGATTATTTATTAAATGTCTTCTTAAGCTTCCATTTTGTGTATAAGAAGCTGAACATAAATAACATGAATATTTCCGACGACCTCCACATTCAAATTTAACATGACGAATTAAACTCCTCTGTAATGCATATCTTCTTCCACACGATGTACAAATTAATGTTTTATTCAATTCATCCTCGTAATTCAAATTTAATTCATCTCCAATTTTACTTTTTCTCTGTCGTAATTCTCTTGTTGAATTATCATCTTTATAATAATTCTCCAGTATAACTAAAAAAAGAAAATATATATTTCGTTAATAAGAAGACAAAAACACAATACAAATTATTTCTTTCAATTCGAGAATATCGAAAAATATTTAATGTTTAAATTAAAAAAAAAATGCAATATTAAAATATGTTAAAGTTAAATTAACGACATTTCTACACGTGCGTAAAAAAAAAACTATTTTTCAAAATTCCTTACCCATGGTTATTATATTTGAAAAAATTAATTTTTAAAAAGAAGTGATAAAATAAATATATACATTTTTCATCAAACTTTTTTTTATTTCGATTTATTGCAACAAAATAGGAACCATAATGTTAATTAAATTACAAAAAATATACAATTAATATATATAATTACATTTTAAATATATAATTTTTTTTACAAGATATTTTTAATATACAGAGTGTCCCATTTTAATCTATCAGGCAAAATAACTTTTAATCAGTTGATTTTACAAAAAAATGTTTTAGACAAAAGTTATTGTGTTCAGAAGGGGACATCCAGTGGTAAACTTGAATTTGTCCTAAATGACCTAATTTAGGTCATTTCAAGGTCAACTCATTTTTTTAAAATGGAACCACCTACTTTTTATGCCAGAAATCGATAAAGCAGGAAATTCCACGTCGAAATCGTTGATGCACTTTTTTTTCGATAGATCGACCTATTTAGGACAAATAGGTCATTAAATTATTATTGTATTTGGGGAAATAACTTTAAACTAATTAATTTTACAAAGACATGTTTCAGTCAAAAGTTGTTGGGCTTAAAGGGGAATATTCAGTGATGACCCTAAATTTGTCCTAAATGACCTGAATTAGGTCATTTCAATTTCAACTCATTTTTTTTAATGGAACCATCTACTTTTTATGTTACAAATCGGAAGAGCAAGAAATTCCACGTTGAAATCGTCTAAGTACTTTTTTCGACGGGTCGACCTATCCAGGTCAAATAGGTCATAATCAATTTTACCTACAAGGCCTTGGTTAGATCTAGTGTTTTTTACATAAAAATTTTTGCCCTGACGATTCCTTGCATAAAAACTTCATCTTTCTTCATGAAAAATTATTTGACATAGACTAGATCTAACCAAGGCCTTGTAGGTGATATTAATTATGACCTATTTGACCTGAAAAGGTCGACCCGTCGAAAAAAGTACTTGGACGATTTCAACGTGGAATTTCCTGCTCTTCCGATTTGTAACATGAAAAGTAGATGGTTCCATTAAAAAAAATGAGTTAAAATTGAAATGACCTAATTCAGGTCATTTAGGACAAATTTAGGGTCATCACTGAATATTCCCCTTTAAGCACAACAACTTTTGACTGAAATATGTTTTTGGTGAAATTAATTAGTTTAAAGTTATTTCCCCAAATACAATAATAATTAAATGACCTATTTGTCCTAAATAGGTCGATATATCGAAAAAAAGTGCATCAACGATTTTGACGTGGAATTTCCTGCATTATCGTTTTCCGGCATAAAAAGTAGGTGGTTCCATTTTAAAAAAATGAGTTGACCTTGAAATGACCTAAATTAGGTCAAATTCAAGTTTACCACTGGATGTCCCCCTGTGAGCACAATAACTTTTGTCTAAAACATTTTTTTGTAAAATCAACTGATTAAAAGTTATTTTGCCTGATAGATTAAAATGGGACACACTGTATTGGGACGCATTAATAAGCTCTAAAACAAATTTGTTAAAAGTTACATTTGATAGAATTCTAATCAGCAAAATATTAATTTGCCAGAATGTCAATTTGATTGATTTTTAATTGGGTAGAAAATCAATTTGATCGAATTTTAATTTGACATAAATTTAATTTAGTCGAATTTTAATTTGATAGAAATTAAATTTCACCGAATTTAAATTTTCCCGAAACGTTGTTTTTTAGAATATTAATAGTACAGAAAAACAATTTGACAGAAATCTACTTTACCAGAATGTACATTTGTTCGGATATTAATTTGCCAGAAACTCAATTTCACCGAAAATCAATTTGACCGAAATATTTCGGCGCGAATTTTAAAATTAACCAATCACAATTTTCTTGATAATTTCCTATTGGTCAATTTTTAAATTTGCGCCGAAATATTTCGGTCAAATTTATTTTCGATGAAATTGAGTTTCTGGCAAATTAAAATTCGATTAAATTGGAATTCTGCCAAATTAATTTTCGATCAAGTTAACTTTTTGAGAAATTAATAATCGAACAAATATACATTCTGGTAAAGTAGATTTCTGTCAAATTTGTTTTTCTGTACTATTAATATTCAAAAAAACAACGTTTCGGTAAAATTTAAATTCGGTCAAATTTATAATTTGTGTCAAATTAAAATTCGATCAAATTGAATTTATGTCAAATTAAAATTCGATCAAATTGATTTACTGACAAATTAAAATTCGATTAAATTGACTTTCTGGCAAATTAATATTCTGCTGATTAGAATTCTATCAAATGTAACTTCTAACAAATTTGTTTTAGAGCTATTCATGCGTCACAATATTATATTTTTAGGGGCATTTTTCAATTAAAATTTTTTTTTTTTAATCTCAATTATTGAATTTTTGGATAAAAACAACGTGGACCTTTTTTTTTAGGTGGTACATAAACATTGTGAAATTTCATTAAATGTTGTCTTAATGTTCCATTTTGTGTATATTTCGCTGGACACATGTGACATGAAAATCTTCTCAATCCATCACATTCAAAATTTACATGTCTCATTAAATTTTTTTTATTTCGATAAACTTTTCCACATGTCGAACAATTAAAATCTGATGAATTGAATAATTCCGTTGCTCCATTTCGTCCAACTATTGATGTTGATTGCCAATTATTTAATGCACTCATGTCAATGTATGAGAATTCGTCATTTAAATCTGAAAAAACAAATACTTTAAATTAGTAAAAATATTCTTTTTATAATATATAATTATAAAGAAATTTTCCAATTTGTCGTTATGGTGAATTAAAAAAAAAACATTTAATTGGTTGCAAATCAATAATAACAGATTATATTTATTATAAATGTAGTAGTAAAAAAAAAAATAACCTGAAATTGAAAAAAAATATAATTTTGTCTATTAAAAATTATTTTTTAAATTATTTTTTTAATTATTTTTAAAAATAAATATATAATTTAAAAATATTTATAAAAGATATTTATAAAAAAATTAAAGTGTGGGTCTGTATTTATTATACGGACGGAGAAATTTGAGCGTGACAACATCTTTTTTAATTAATTAAAATACATTTTATGAGATTTTTATTTAGTATTTATTTTGTATTTAAACACACTGAAAAAAAATTTGATTCAAATACTTCATTACTTGACTGTATTATCAAATAAATATTTACTTGAATCAAATAACTATTATTTGAATTAAATAAATTGTATTTGAATCAATAATAATTTTTGTATTTGAAACAAATATCATTTAATTGACAAAATGGTCGAAAGATAATATTATAAAAATTTTAAATTAAATATAGATTTACATATATAAAAAAAATTAATATATTTACTACAATTAAAAAAATTTCAATTAGTTAACATCTACTAAAATAAATATTAACGATTAATTTGAATTCCTGTTTTAAAAATTTATTTAACATTATATAATTTAAAAATTAATAAATTATTGCGGTTTTTTTATTAAAAAATAATAATAGAAATAAATAATTAAAATTTAAATAAAGTAGGTAGTAATAATTAGAAAATAAAAATTATTATTATTGTTATTATTATTGCCTAATAATTAAAATAAGACAAAAATTTTATTCAAAATAATAACTAATTTTTGAACAGTGATAGGAATAGTGTAAAAATGTGATTATTTCATCAATAATTAACATTGATTTTATTACATACTGTTATTTTATTTACTTACACAAAAGTTAAAATCTAAAAATTTATTTTTCAGAAAATTAACAATAAATATATATATATATTTTTTTTTTACCACCTAAACACACTACTTACATTGAAAAAAAATTTATTTGATTCAAATAATCGTTTACTTAAATTATCAAATATAAGATTTAATTGAACTAAATAATTTTTATTTGAATTAAATAAATTCTATTTGTACCAATATAATAGTCAAGTAACCGATTATTTTTAAGGGGGGAAACCACATTACGGGGTTCAAAAAATCGAATTGTTCTTTTTTGCATAAATAGTCAGCTTATGTATTCAAAAGTATGTTGAAAAAGCTTTTTACAGCGAAATTCGGTGTCCTCTCTGTGCTACAGGCAATGAATGAAGCTTGCTCCGAGTAGCGAAGCAGGTTTGTAACGGCGTCACTGAGGAAGTCCCTTTGTGAATTTATGATTTGACTTATGAAGAAGAGGAAGGACTAATGCATGGTGCAGGAATAGCATCAGATTAAAGTGTAAGCACTTTAAATGGTTTTTTTCTTATCATTATTTTCAAATTTTCGATACTTTTTTCAAGCGCATTTTTCTCGAAACAGGATTTTTGAAATTGCTGTGCAGAATAGCTCAAAATGTTATTGATCGATTTCAAAAAAGAAAATTGCAAATTTCTTGTTATTAAATTTATTTAATTTCGTGAACTAAACGTTAGAAAGAAAAAAAATTTTTAATACCTTCTTTTTTAATCTCAAAGACGCAAAAAAATATGCCAAAAATCAAACATTAACTTAAAAGTAGTGTCAATTTTTCAATTTTCAATATTTTCACTTAAAAATTAGTTCAATTAATAATAAAATTTGTATAAAATGTGAATAACCTTCTTTTTTTGCTTTTAGATCAAATTTGTGGACTCCACCTTGCACAGCAATCAAAAACTCAAACGGCACAGCTCCAGGTTTAATGGCTGCTAACTAGGAATATTTTTAATAAAAATGATTAAAAAAAAATTGTGAGACACAGATAAATATATGTGCAACATAATGTCATTCTTGCATTTCATTTAAAAAAAATTTATCCCTTTTGAAAAAAATCCCGAAAAACGGCTAAAAACCAGCGTCCTAATGTGGTTTCCCCCCCTTAAATAAATTTTTTTTCACCTTGAAATTTAATATTTACAAAGCTTAATATATTTAAATTTTTTGGTTTTATATTTGAAAAAAGGATGTTTTTCAAACATTAACTTTTTTTCAAATTTTAAAACTAAATAATTATTACTAATATCGCAAAATTTTCTGTACTTAAAAATCTAAACATTAACGAAATTTTCAAATTCTTTATAAATATATAATTATTACCCTGAAATATTTAAAGCAATATTAGAAAAATAGCGATAATTATTTTTCTATAAAAATTTATTGTTCCAAGAAACATTAAATTTTCTTTTCTTTTTAATGTCGATTTCGAACGTGCCTGTCGAGATTACTTTTTTGTTTACATTTAATATGGCAAACGGGACAAGAAAATTTCGGTTCCTTATTACATTCAAATCTTTTATGACGATATAATGATGTGAACAATGCATAACTACGATTACATTGATCGCAAACATACATTTTATTATTCTCTCCAATAGTTGTTTCTTGTTGAGAATTTTTTTTCTTACATATTTCTTTATGACGTTTCAATGATGTTTTCAGTGAAAATGATTTACCACAATCGGTGCAGAGATATTTTTTAAATGCATAACTTTCTGATTCAATGAATGAACTACTTGATGTTGAACAGGCAAAATTATTAGTGAAAATTTGTTTAGAACGAATGAGTGATTGTTTTTGATAAAAACCCATTGTTGTTGGTGACAATGTTTCTTCGTACCAGTATCTTGTATTGTAATTACCTTCTGGAAAAAACAAAATTTATTATTAAATTTTATTAAATTATTAAAGAGAAAAAGAAAAAAATTTTTTTTTTTGCGTGACAAAACTTACGAATGATAACACACTACAACAATGAAGCATCGCTTGAGCTAGAAAAATACATAAAATTATATGTATTATGAAAATGAATTCAACACCCAGAGAAATGATTTATTTGAATCAAATAAAATATATTTGAATTAAATAAACGTATATATGTCTCAGAACCTACTAACTTATTTATTTGGTGCAAATAAAAATTTTATTTGTCATAAATAAATTTTTCTTTATAGTTTAAATAAATTTTTTATTCAAATGAAATAAAATATATTTGCAACAAATAAATGAGTTAGTAGGCTCTGAGACAAATATACTATTTCTCTGAGTGTAATTTTTAATTGAATATAGACGTCAATTCTATTTTTTTCAGATGTTTAATTTTTATGAAATAATAAATTACATTATATGTAATTGACAAGTGAAATACAAAAAAGTAATTAAAAACGAAAAAAATAGAAAAATTCCCAGGCGGAAATTTACAACCGGCGCGGATCCCGGCCTATTTTAATCTAACGCACCGAAGTCTAATCCGTTAACCACTACGCTATTCGCTCGCTTGATAACTTGAGCAAAACAATGCTGATATAAATTACTGCAAACAAATTTTTTTTATTATTGAATGTTTTGATTATTTGTATTTATTTATTTTGATTAATAATATTTATAAATAATATATATGGTATAATTTATTTCTAATTATATAAAATGAATTGAAAAATATTTATGAAAAATTTATATAAAAAACAAAATTAATGTATCATGTAAATATAGCATATATATATATATATATATATATATATATATATATATATATATATATATATATATATATATATATATATATATATAGCATATTAAAAAAAACAGTTATGAATAAAAATAAATTAATTTAAATATAACAATAAATTTTAACCGTATAAATTTTTTTGAATTTAATTAATCATTTCGATTACTTTTTAATTAATTAAATTTCTTATTGAATTAACAGAAATCACAATACTTTTTTCTTTAAAAGGAAAAAGTGAATAAGTTTTGAAAAGGTAAATGGATAAATTAAATTTTTATGCAGTTGAAATTTTATATAGTAAATTTTTTTGCAAATTAAAATTGAATTATTGACAATTTGAAATAATTAAATTTTTTGAATAATTTTATTTTTAACAAATTAAAATTTGGAATATTTAAATTTATTAATGATCCTAGTGACACTCGATAAAATTCATAAATTGAAATTTAAATTCACGTTGTTTAATAATACTTATTTATTAAAAACAAGCTTACAATGTTAATATGTACAATATGATGACATTAAACCTTATAATTCTGCTGGATTTTACTTATGTTGCTTTGATTTTCTGTTCTTTTTTCCGCCTTCTCTGTCCACTGCATTAGAAAACCAGCGGGTTATATAATTATTAAAATCTTTTAGCGGAACATCTGGATATTTTTCAAGATGAATTTCTGTAATGATAAATAATCAATTTAGTTGTAAATAATAGGAGATTTTTACGGAAGTTAGAGAAAAATAATTTATTAAAGGTTTACCTTTTAAAATCTTATACGTCTCAGTCGATGAAAAATCTTTTTTTTTTTCTCCTTTATAATTGATACGACCAAATCCACTGAATTCGGATTGGACTTCTTTCGTTAAAATCATAGGTAATATGGTACTAACAACAGTTTTATAACATGCCAATGCCCTTGTCTGAAGACGCATGAATGTTTTCTGTAAAATTCATATAATTTAATTATTTAATAAATTATTATTAAATTAAGTAATTTTTTACTCGATTCTCTTTATCTTCTAACCATTTTGAAAAATTACAGTGCCGAATACTAAATATATAGTCAATAATTAATTTTCCCGAGATAAAATTTAGTTTATACTTTAAATTATAAATTATACTATAAACATAAATATATAAGTTAATAAATTAAACTAATATCGAATTTTTTCTAATTACCATTGCGGATTTAATTTCTTGATTATCAATCAATTGTTGATTAAACTCAATAAAGTTGAGTATATTATTTTTGGGTAGTTGTGGCAGGTTCTCTAGTTCTTTTGCAACCTCCGTCGAAGTAAAATTACTTGTTATCAAATGAGCAAGCTGGTCGAATCTCACTTTTATATCATATTGAATACTCCTCTTAAGTTTATTTAATTTTTCATAAACATGTACTTCAAATTCCTCCATTTTCACTAAAAAAAAAAACGTGTGAAATATTAAAATTTGCAAAACATAAAGATTATAATTAACAGGTTATCCAGAAACTTTTGGATAAAATTTCAAACTCAATTCAAATTTGCTGAACATAAAAAGGTTAATTCAACAACTTATCCATCAACTTTTGAAAATAACTCAAGACCCTTCCAAGCTTTTTAAGAATTAAAAACAATGTAATCAAATTTAATCTTACTGACATATTAACACTTAATATTTTGTGATTAGTTACCATTTAATTCATTTAATTGAGCAACCAATGACTCGATCGACAGATTATCGCTGATAAATAGTTGATTTTTCTGCATCAACTGATTAAATTCATTCAAAGTCGTTACGGAACCTGGATAGAAAACATTTTTATGTAATTACAATAATTATTTATTTTATTATTTTATTTATTATAGTATTATTTTATTTATTAAAATCATTATAAAAAATAAATAATAATAAAAAATTATTATTTTTTTTATTAATAAACAAACAAATTAATTACGACTAACCTTCTCGTTCACTTAAATCACTAGCTAATGACTCGTTTGATGATTCTTCATTTCTTGATGATTGTCCTGCTTTCTGTTTCACTTTAAATTTTGTTCCAGTAATGCTGAAAGCAGAACCTAAAACAAATAATATTTTTATGAATATAAAATAATAATGTACAATGTAAGGGTTGCCACAAAACTTTTGGTTTTATTTTTTTGACTTTCCTCTGATATCCATATGAAATGTAGTCCTTTTCCCTGATCCAAATGAAAAAAAAAATGTAGATTTTCAATTACAAAAAAGTATACAAGAATTTTTTAAAGTCAAATTTGAAATAAAAATTTAAAAAAAACCAAATTTTTGTAAAACTTGTAAACATTTTCTATTTTTCCAGTACTTGTTATAAAATTCCTGACAATTTCATTTTTTCCTTGACCTGTGACAATCCTTAATATAAAATATATTATAATATTATATTAATATATTTTTTATAAAGCAGAATATAAAAGTAATTATTGCTCATAGAATTCGTGAAAGAATCTGCAGTCAAGTCTACGTCCATAGGTTTATCAAGTATCCCATTATCAACCTTAGGTAATAGTGTTTTTTTAACTGTATCATCTTCTGATCCCTCAGAAGATGGCGATGACAGTGATGATTTCAATATAGAATTTGGGTTTTCAAATGGCACAGAAGTCTTGGGCATGTTTTTTGTTCAAAATTTTTGTTGACTGTTTTGTAGTTTTAGAAGTTGGTACTATTAAAAATAATTTTTTGCACCGTTAATGTATAGATCTTTTTAGTTAGTTAAAACAGCTGTCCTCATCAGAAACTAAAAAAATTGTTTTTTTTTATTAAAAAATATTAGAATAACAATAATTTAGAATTACTATAGTTAATTAATTTTAAAATTTTGAATATTACCGAAAAAAAGTCTGTGACTTCTGTTCAGTGTTCACTGACAAACTAATCACAAACAATTTTTCATATAATACGGATTTGACAAACGAAAAGTTAGTGTACATTCTTATAGGTCATTGAATTCGTCGTAGTTGTATACAGATTATGACGTTTCAAGTATAATTGTATTGATAGAAACTCATCTATGAAAAGTAAATTAATAAACTCTATTATTTGAATTTATGATAAGAAAAGAAGTTTATATAGTTTTTGTTCAAATTTTTAATATCATCCTTTTTGTTAAGAGGTTTCTTTTGTAGCCCTATATGTATCATTTCAGAGATGACTCTTTTTCGCCAATTTTGTTCATTGTCGAGAATTGAACAACCATCCCAATCAAAATCGTGCTTAAGATCTTGTTTATGTGTTGCTGGTAGTAGTTCGCCAGCTTATTTTGTTTAGTGTTTTCCTTTTTTTTTTTTTACCAACCCCACATAACCTTGGCATGCGGAAGCCAAGGTATCTGTATACAGATTTCCCAATAGTCCCTAAGCAAAAAAATAAAAAAAAAAAAAAAGCATTCTCTTTCAAATTTTTGAGATAATTGCAAAAAAAACGCAAGTAACAAAAAACTCAAAATCAGTTTTTTGGAATTATCTTCAAAATTTAAGCCAATCTGTCAATTCTGACTTCGAATTCGGATTCAGCGTGAAAAAATACATGAAAATGCACTATCGTAGTGTTTTGGCAAAAAAAAATTATCTGTGCCCCTAATTCAGAATTTTTATCAGTTTTTGGCGATTTTAGCTCAAAGAAATTTTTTTTTGCCGAAACACTACGATAGTACTTTTCATGTATTTTTTCACGCTGAATCCGAATTGGAAGTCAGAATTGACAGATTGGCTCAAATTTTGAAGATAATTCCAAAAAACTGATTTTGAGTTTTTTGTTACTTGCGTTTTTTTGCAATTATCTCAAAAATTGGAGCGAATCTAACAATTCTGACTTTGGATTCGGATTCAGCGACAAAAAATACATGGAATTCACTATCGCAGTGACATTCAAAAATTTTTTAACTTTTTGATTTTATTTTTCTTTCTGAGCAGTTTTTTGAGTTTATCTCAAAAATAAAAGCCAATCTGATAATTCTGACTTCGGATTCGGATTCAGCGTGAAAAAATACATGAAAATAGACTAGTGTAATATATATATATATATATATATATATAAATGTTTAATTTTAAATTAAAGTTGAATTTAATTAAATTTTAAAGTCTTTAAGCTCATGAACTTAATTATAATAAATGTAACATTTTTCAAATTAATTATTTAATTAATTAAGTTTCACAAATTAATTTTGTTTTTATTGATAACTTTTTTTTAATATACTCTCTAAAAATTAAAAACAAAATATTTACGTGATGCATTAATTTTGTTTTTTATATAAATATTTCATAAATATTCGATTTATTATCTAAGAAATTTCTGGACAATTATTATTAATAAATTAGAAATTGTATTTTATTAAACATCCGAAAGTCGGAACCGCTTCAGTACAGAACCAGTATTGACCTATCAAACAGTATATTCTTCCAACATTGGGAGTAAATCGGATCCGAAAATCGGTATTGGCGATTCAAACAGCTACACTAGCGCCACAGTTGAACTAATTTAGGTGTGACACGCTCTGTAGCACTCCATGTGTTTTAAATTATTTTTTTTTATTTAACGCTTAAAAATAATTTTACAAACGCAATAAAAATATCAGAATAATTAAATAATTTGAAATAAAATGTCAAAACAGAGACTGCTTTAGAGCGAGTCACACCTAAATTAGTTCAACTGTGGCGCTAGTGTAGCTGTTTGAATCGCCAATAAATCCGTTCGATCCGGCAATAGTCCGACTTTTCCCCCTGGGATTAAATTTTATTTGCTATTTATGTGTGGAAAAAAGGGATTAATACATTTTTGTTTTATTTTTATATAGGACAATTTTCTGTCAATATGTTTTATTTACGTTTAATTACATACAATAATAATAATAATATACATATCTGTGATTTTTTTTTCTAATTTTAATTTACATATAGGTACATATTTGTATTTTCAAAACTAGAAATGAACACATTACAAAATTTTTTTAGTATCTTTGAACTTTGCTACTTTTTCAAAGTATTTTGTGTTATTTCAAGTATTCTAAAAAAATAAGAAAATTTACAATTCGAAATAATGTTCTTTAATAACAAAAAAAAAAATTAAAATTATAATAAAATTAAATTAAAAAAAAATAAAACAAAAAAAAATTAAAAATGCACTGCATAGAAGTTATTCTAAATTTAAAAAGAAATATAATTTTTTATCTAAGATACAATTTTATACAATTGAACTAAAAATATTAAAAACTTTACCCCTGAATTAAAAATATAATATTTTGATTTCAAATAAAATTTTATTTGACGTAAATAAAAGTAATTTGAATAAAAAACTAATTAATTTAAAACAAATATTTAGTACTAAGACCCAAGACAAATATATTTTTTTTCTCAGTGTAAACTTTGTCAATTTTAATCGAATTTACACTGAAAAAAAAATTTTTAATCCAACCAAATATATTTTTAAATTAAAGCAGAACAAAATATAACACAGAGCTTAATATACATATATTTATAACTATTTATTTGTTTCAAATAAAAATTTTATTAGGCACAAACTATTTGGCGCAAATAAAATTTGTAATTTAAACTAAATAAAAATTAATTTTAACCAAAGAAAATCAATTTGAAACAAATATTTATTACTAAGTCAAATATATTTTTTTTTCTCGTCGCAAATTTTTGCGTAATTTTAACTCAATAACCGAATTATTATTACTGCATCGAATTTAAGTACTTATAAATATAATTATACATAATAATTTTTTTTTACAATGGAAGTGTTTCAATTTTTTTTTTTTTCTTTACATATTTTATTGGAATTCATTGTACGTCTCATAAACAGAATCTGAAATTTGCAAAGAAGTTTCAAGATCTGTTGAAGCGTCATAAATTTGTGAATGGCCATTATTTTCATATTGCGATGTATGTTGTTCCCAAAGACCTTGATGTCTTGCCAATATATGTTTCATTAAACTTTCCTTATATCTCGTTCTATGAGGGCAAAATGAACAAATAAACTTGGGCTCAACTTGACATTCAAAATCGATGTGTCTTTTGAGATGATGTTTGTGTTTATAGGACTTAAAACAAACAATGCATGTGTGCTTTCCATTTCTGAAGGCATATTTCAGCTCGGCTGAAACAAAAAAAAAGAGAAACAAATTTTTTAAAAATGAAAAATTACTGAAAACAAGAATTTAATTTACATTTTTTATAGACGACACTTTGAAAGCTTGACGATTGAAATGAATTTTTAATTATTGTAAATAATATTATGTATAAGAAAAATTAAAATTATTATCACAGGATTATTAAAAATAATTGTCATTGGAAATTAGAAAAGTGCAATATTTATAAATTCTTTTTTCATTTATTATTTATTTGTATAAAAAATTCATATAGAATTTTTTTTTTCTATTTACATTTTGAAATTTTTTTATTTACTAATTGCAAATTTTTTTTTTTTCGTGGCCTTTGGTTGTAATAGTGAAAAGTTTATATTTTGTCAGAAATCATAGGTTAAGTGAATCTTGTCATTGTATAATTATCACTAATTTGATTAGTCTGATTATTATTATTATTGTTATTATTAATCGTCCATAATTAATAAATTTAAAAATAATGATTATTAAAGATGTACAACAAGGTGTTTACATATTTTTATAACTTCGAAAAAATGTTCACACGGTATGTCATAATTATTTTTGAGCCGAATTTTTATTAGTATTTTGCTGAATTTTCATTAAAACGATTTTCTATATTACAGAATTTTTATGTAACCGAAAATTCACTTCTCAGAATTTTTATTTGTTCGAATTTTTATTTGTCAGAATTTTTATTTGCTCGAATTTTCATTTAACATAATAGGCATTTTAAATGAAAATTCAAGCAAATAAAAATTCGAATAAATAAAAATTGTGTGAAGTGAATTTTTGGTTATATAAAAATTGAGTAATATAGAAAATCATTTTGGCTCAAAAATTGTGTTTCGACTATTTTAGGGTACGATCACAGCTGAGCCACTTAAGTTGTGTCGTCATGGTAACGTATAAGAGTGAGAGAAATAAAAAACATTCTTTATTTCTCTCACTCCTATACGTTACCATGACGACCCCACTTAAGTAGCTGAACTGCGGCCATACTCTTATAATCGCTTACATTGCAGTGAAAAATGACAATTTAAATAGTGAAATATAAATTTCTAACATTAAAAAAATATACAACTTTTTCATTTATGATCAAAGGCCACAACAAAAATGACCAATTATTTGAATAAAAGGTCTGTAAATAAGGAAAAAATACATTTATTTATTTACATTCAGGTTGATCAATTTTTTTTTTTTAAGAATTATAGTAGTTTTGGATGTTTAGAGGCTGTATAGAATGTTGTGTTACGTGAACTTCTAAATAAGATTTATAAGTTGATTTATAGGGACAAAAATTGCATTGGAAAATTGGTCGCTTTCCACATTCGTGTAAAACATGTCTTTTAAGATTTTTCGCCTCGTAATATCTTCTCCCACATGTTTCACATGTATAACGTCCCTGTCCACGTGATCTTCTTCGTCTTATAGGATCTGAAAAAAAAAATTTTTATTTTATTTTCTAAACAATAAATTATTGTCAATTCTCAACTGTTACATTTTGACTTACTTTACTTGATATTTTTAATATTAGTTACAGGATAATTGTATTTTATATTCTATTCTTACTGTAAAAAATTTATACAATTAAATAATTTTCTAAATAATAATACTCTGATAATAATAATGATAAAAATAAAGATAATAATAATAATAATAATAATAATAATAATAATAATTTTCTATAATAATTATAACAAGGATGATAATGGAATGAAAAAGAAAAACGTTTACAAAAGAAATACTTTTTATTAAAGATATAAATTTTCTTAAAGCAGAGAAAATTTTTATCAATGCTGACAATAATACTTTATTGAGGTGAAAAATGACAATTTAACTTTTTAGATTTGAATAAAAAGCGTAGATAGTAAAATAAAGATTTTTTTTTTGTTTTTTACTAGAGTGAAAATTCTACGATTTTTATAAATTATTTTTTTTTATCTATTATTCAACTAATATTAAACTTTTATTTATATAATTCGATGACAATATCTTAAATCTAAAAAAAAAAAACAATTTTTAAGCTTTATCTCATTTTATAATAATTAATTATGTAATAAATTTACAAGTAAGAAAAAATAATTTTTCTTAAAAAATATAGATAAAAATTTTATTCTACAACATTTTAATATTTGTTTTGTGTTTTCCAACTAAATGCGTAATTAAGTTTGATTTATGTTTTGCCTTATATGGACACAAATGACAATTAAATTTTGGTTCCAAACCGCATTCAAATTTTAGATGTCTTATTAAACTTGAATGATGATTGTAAACTTTTTTGCAATTGTAGCATATGTGAAGTGGTCCCTCTTTCCGATTCATGAAGAATTCAAATCCTGTGTAAAAGAAAAAAATGAATAATAATTAGAAAAATTTTTTTTTACTTTTTTCAAAAAAAAAATTAATAATTCTTACATAACTATATAAAATTTATTTTCTACAAAATAATCTAATTTTTTTTTTGTTATGTACAATACAATAAATAAAAGAGGTTAAAATAAAATACTACGACTTTTTTTTTTTATAACGTAAAATTCGTTTACTTATACACCTCAATATTAAGTATTACAATATAAATATACGTCATTTCTTATTTATTATATATATAATATATATATTATAAAATAAAGCACCAACTGTGTGTTATAACTTTTATGTTAAATTGTTTAAATCTTCTAAAATCTTTATATAATAATCTATTATTTTTAATTATTCTTAATGAAAACATACAACAATTATTTAGAGAAACATTGTATAATAGAAATAGAGTGGAGAAATTATGATTGAAAATAATTTCTTTTTTTTTTTAGTGTACTGTAACTAAAAATTTGATATGGTTTTTTTTTAGTTTGCACATAGTAACCCAGATAGCACGTAAGCTTGCAGCAACCTTGCGGCAAGCTTGCCGCGCAATGTTGCCAACCTTGCATAGAAAGTTTACCGCAAGCTTGCAGCAAGCTTCAAATGCCCCACCTAACCAAAGCATACATGGTAAGGTTGCCGAAAGATTGCAGTGTAAGGTCGCGGCAAGGTTGCACAGTAAGATTATCGCAAGATTGCATGGTAAGCTTACCGAAAGATTGCAGTGTAAGGTTATTGCAAGATTGCACAGTAATTTGGCAACCTTGCACCAATCTTGCGACAAGCTTACCGTGCAAGCTTACGGAGCAATCTTGCGATAATCTTACTGTGCAACCTTGCCGCGACCTTACACTGCAATCTTTCGGCAAGCTTACCATGCAAGGTTGGGTTAGATGAGACATTTGAAGCTTGCTACAAGCTTGCGACAAACTTGCCATGCAAGGTTTGCAATATTGCGCGGCAAGCTTGCCGCAAGTTTGCTGCAAGCTTATGTGCTATCTGGGAAAGACCCCTAAAATTTTTTGTTTGTAATTTTCGATATCGGAGTGGTTTTCAATGTATTTTTAGCCGCTAAACACGATTCCGTGTTCCAAAATTGGCTAGCATATCAGGATTTTGAGAAAAGTGGGGGTAAAAACGTGTTTTTAGAGGTTTTCAATAAGTTTTTCTCTTTATCCTCACTTATTTCAAAATTCTGCCATGCTAGACAATTTTGGCACACGGAATCGTGTTCAGCAGCTAAAAATACATTGAAAACCATTCCGATATTGATTTTTGAAAATTCTCAAAAACACGTTTTTTTGGGGTTTTTACCCCCACTTTTCTCAAAATTTTTATGAGCTAGGAAATTTTGGGATCGTATTTAGCGGAGTAAAATATATTGACAACTCGGATATCAAATCATAAAATAAAAGTTGAATTTTGCAGGCCTGTGTAATTTAAAAAAAATAAATAAATAAATAATAATAATAATAAATCAATAAAAAATTAGATATTGCGTTTTTTTCGTTTTCATACAATTTTCAAAAGAAAAAGGAAAGTAATAATAAAAAATCAAAATACAATTAGATATTATTGTATTTTTTTAGATTTCACATATAATTAAACAAAAAAAAAAATAGAAAACAATGAGATATTGTTGTATTTTATTTAGTTTTCAAAAGATTTTCAAAAAGGAAAAAAAAAAGATTAATCAGTAAATATGAAACTTAAAATTATTTTGCAAAAATAAAGAGCGCTTATTATCAATTATAACGTTTGGCAACGTTGCATCTTATAGGTTATGTTACACAAGTAACAAGAAGCCGCCTAACGAAAGTTTCGAATAATTAAATTTTAATGAGTTTTAATTCATTTTCAATTCTTTTTCTTTCTGAAACAATTCGTTTCATTTCGAATTTAAATTTTTAAATCCTTTTTGTATTTAAATATCCTTTTGAATCCTGAAATTTTATTCCTATTCAATACTATACATATTTTAATATATTCAGGAAAATTGGAGGGAAAAAAATAAATTTATGTATATAAAGTGAAATATTTTTTGAATTTTTATTCAAAAATTAGAAATTCCGAAAATTTTAGACTTGAAAACGGATTAATTGGAAATAAAATTTCATGATTCAAAAGAATTAAATTCTTGAACGTATTTACAAATTGGACAGTTTATTAAAATTTTTTTATATGAAACAGTGTAACATAAGAAATATTCTAAATTTTTTGTCCTTTACATTAAAATTTAAAAATTTATTAATTTACCGTTTATAAATGGAAGAAATTTGCTATAACAATTATTATAACTGAAAAAAAATTATAACTAAATTTTTCCCTTATTTTCGATATAATAATTTTTTTTGTTGTCTTAACTCAAAAACCCTTTGCGATATATCATTATTTTCACCACTCTATCCCTATAATATAATTATTATTACTATTATTATTAAAGAACATTAGAATTAAAAATTTCATTGTTGAATATTGTGTCTACGTTTCATATGAGATTTAAGATTCCATTTGCGATCAGTTCGATAATCACAAAACGGACAACATTCACATTTATTTCCACCGCACGATAATTTTAAATGATGAACAAGATCAATTTTCCAACGGAATGATTTTTTACATTTTGAACATTTAAATTTTTCCATTTCAGGTAGCCAATATTTTTCTTCATCTTGATTTGATGTTTTTCTCTCAGCCGAACTGCATCTTATATTATAATCATCATGCGATATAAATATATCATCATTAATGTCCGATGAAAAATCAAGTCCTTCACTTTTCACTGATGAACGACGACAATTGACCCACAGTAATCCCGATTCTGAAACAAACAAAATTATTTTATATACAAGTAAAACAAATTAACGGTTATTATTAAAATAAAAATAAAAAAAAAGAAGAAGATAAATTCATAAAGCTAAATAGAAAAAAATATTTACAATAAACAAGCACACAGATTATTAATAATAATTTGCATATTATTTAATATTAAATAAATAGCAAAAATTGTTAATTTTTTCAAAAATTTATTTTCAGATAAAATTGTACAAACTTTCCCCCATATTTGTCTATTATTAAAAACAAAATCACCGTTGTTTTAATATTAAAAATAAATTTAAAAAAAAAAATCTTTATTGCCTCATGACGTCATCAATCAAAAATTTTTAGTCGTTTAATTATTAAATAGAAATTTTTTATTTACAACATAATCTGATTTTATTAATAACTATGGTAGACCATAACTATTAATAATAATAATAACAATAATAACAATAATAATAATAATAATAATAATAATAATAATAATAATAATAATAATAATAAAATTATAAAATAATAATAAAATAATTATGAAAAAAGTAGAAAATTTTTTTAAAACACTTAAAATTTTTTTAACATTTTAATTTGTAGTCGTTTAAAAATTAAACGTCTGAAAATTTTGTAATTTGATGTCATATAAATATATATTAAATCTCTATAGAAAATAATACTTCAATGAGCTTGTTTTCACTGGGTGGATAAATTTAATCTTCCGAGAGGTTAAAGTCTGCGTCTGCGCTGAAGCAAACATTCTGCGCAGACGCAGAATATATCTACTGTCTTTAACCTCTTTGGAAGATTAAATTTATCCACTCAGTAAAAATGGGCCCTCCTAAAATAGCATCAAAAATAATTTATTTTAAATTTAAGTATATATTCTTGGTATCAATTTAAACTTTAAACTGCAACGTGGAAAAAAATCACGCGGTCTAGCAGACCGCTATTAATTTTTTTTTGTGTTTTTCTAGTGATTTTAAATTATTTAATGACAACTGTCGTATATATTTTTATTTTACATTAAAAAGTTTATTTTTGTAATACTTTGTTGCAATTTTTTTATTTTTTTTATTTATGTTGCAATACTGAAAAGCTAAACCTTCTATTGTACTTTGAAAAAAAGTAATAAGCGAAATAATTTTAGATAGTGGTCTCACAGACCGATAAAGCAAAGAAAGAAGCTAAAGCTAAAAATAATTTAAAAATACTAAGAATATTTGTTTTTATTTTTAATTCGAAATATATTAAATTTATGAAAAAATTGCATTTAAATATTTCTAAATAGATACCAAAGATATCATCTTAATTTTAGAATAAATTTCTTTCGGTGAGTATATATTTTTTTCTAATTTTCTAAAATGCAAATTCAATACATTTCTATATTGAATTATCTCATATTCATTAAAGATAATTTTATTTTACAATATTTATAAAAGATAAGTGATTTTCCAAAAATCTTGCTAGCTTTAAATTTTCTTTAAAAAAAAAAAATCATTAGTTAAAATTTTTATTTTAATGAATTTTATTATAAAGCTGAATTTTCATTTTTTGAAATAACATTTGACAGAATTTCTTTTTAAACAAATTTTTATATAAATTTTTAATTTGCAAAATTTCTCATTACCCAACGGATTATTTTTAAAAAAAAATTCTAATTTAACCAAATATTAATTTAGCAAAATTCTCATTCGAGAGAATTTTTAAGTTATTCGAATTTTTCTATTTTAAATTTCTCTCCGAATTGTTATTTAAGGGGAGTCCTATCATAACCTCAAAACTGAAAAATGGTTTTTAACTCAAATATAAAAATTAAATTCAAACATAATTTTAGAAAATCTAGTTATACAAATATTTTGAAAAAAAATATGTTGAGTTAGAATCTTTAGTTAAATTATTATTTTGTTTATCATTTTGATTTTTTTCAGAGACAAAAATCACAATTTTTATAAATTTATTATTTTACTCGGTGAAACATTCTCTACAATCGTAAAATTTTTTCAAATTATTGTTAAAAATATGTTGCTAAAAAAATTATTTAATAAATAAAATTTGTATTGTTTAAAATTTTTTTTAACAATATGTTTTTAACTATATTGAAAAATGTTTAAAAAATAATTAATTAACTACAAAATTTTAACAAAACATAATTTTTTCCGAAAAGTGTATGATTAAATCTTCTAAAATTGTTCGATATTTATTTTATATTTGTTTTGTTTGCATTGAAACACAGAAAATTATAAGGTATTAAAATAAGCTGCGACGCTTATTATTTTAATCGAATTTTGCTTATTTTAATACCAAAATGGATTAAAATATGAAAAATTGGATTAAAATAATAAGCGTTGCAGCTTATTTTAATGCCTTTTAGTTTTCTGTGAAATCATTTTTCAATTTTCAGGTTATGTTTGGACCTTCATAGAATTCTTAAAACGTCGAATTTCTATTTTTCCAAAACTGCAAATACCCGATAAACATTCGTTAAAATTATTTTGGAACGATTTTTTCTTAGCCAATCATAATTTTTTTAAAAGCAAATTCCGATTGGCTAATTTTAAAAATCGCGTCAAAATCATTCTTGTATTTAAAAATTCGAATCACTTAAAATTCTGTTGAATGAAAATTCTGCTAAATTATTATTCGGTTAAATTAGAATTTATAAAAAAAAATTTGATTTAGAGAGATTCTGTAAAATAAAAATTTGATAAAAATTTTGTAGAGTAAAAATTCATTTAAGGCCAGGTGGAACTCATCAAATGTAAACAAACCGAAAATGTACGAAAGCATTGACAAATTTTGCGACAGCCTTTTTTTAAATAGAAAATAAAAATTGTTCTTTTTCTATGTGAAAATGGAAAATTCATATATAAAACTACAGCCTGTCACTGTATTTGACTAATAATATGAATAATATTAATAATTATAATAAAATGAAAATTACACTGAAACAACAATTTTCTCAAGGTTACGAAAAAATAACCATTCGAGTATATCTGAGGCACGGACGTTGAGAACCTAGGTGGGAGAAATAGTGTGGGAAGGGGTAAAAGACCTAGTCTCTGTCCTCTGGTGGGGGTATAATTTCAGAATTTTACCCTTTCCACGATGTCACAGTCCAATCGCTCAACTATTTCTCCCACCTAGGTTCACAACGTCCGTGCCTCAGATATACTCAAATGGTTATTTTTTCATAACATTGAGAAAATTGTTGTTTCACTGTAATTTTCATTTTATTATAATTATTAATATTATTCATATTATTAGTCAAATACAGTGTTAGGCTGTAGTTTTATATATGAATTTTCCATTTTCACATAGAAAAAGAACAATTTTTATTTTCTATTAAAAAAAAGGCTGTCGCAAAATTTGTCAATGCTTTCGTAAATTTTCAGTTTGTTTACATTATTGATGAGTTCCATCTGGCCATAAAAAGAATTTCTCTTAACCTTCATTCTCAAAAATGAAAATTCGTTTTAAAATTAATTATATTAAAATTCTTTAAAATAATAATTTTCCAACAATTTATTTTTATATAAAAACATGCGTCTCTTTATTTTTTTCTGGAGAATCACATATCTCTATTTAATTTTTATCTAATCTGACAAAATCTCTGCCAAGTTCACAGTCTGATTTATTAACTTTATGTTTGCCCTCAATATGAACTCTGATGTCCCAAATTCGTTTTGCACGATAATTACAATAACAACACATAATATTGGCAATAACTCCACAATAACGTGTTGTATGAGAATGAAGATGATTGTATGTAAAAAAATATTTTCCACAATTTTGACATTGATAATCAGTTTTGTCACCCCATCTTGGTGGTAGTCCCATTTTCCATGCAGATAATTGATTTAATTCTGAATTTTGTCCATGAATGTCGTGTATATTATTTGAAAAATCCCATTGAACTGTAACAAAATTTCATATAATTAGTAATGGAAAAAAAGTAAATAAATTAAAAACTAAATTATAAAAAAAAAAATTAATTTTATTTTCAAATAAAGTCATTTTTAATGCACCATAAGTTAAAAATTGAAAATAACAAAAAAATTACAATAACTTAATATATAGAGAGATAATAAGATTTACTGTGGATAAAATTGTTTTTTTATTATTAAAAAAGTTTTTTTTTCAGCTATTTTCTACATTGTTGATTTTCTTTTTTTTTGATTTATTTCTGTATTATTATTCTATATAGAAATCATCATCATCGTATAAAAAGAAACCTTATTTTGGTGCATTCACATTCATTGGATAGACATTTGATTATTTTTATATTATATATATATATGACATGTTACAAATGATATGAGAGAAAATCTTTTTTTTTTCTTTCAAAACCTATAAAGCCACACGCAGGATACATTCATCTTTTTTCTTTAATTATTATTACTCTAGAACATTTTCTTTTATATTGTATGTTCTACGACGGACAATAAACCTTATTTGTTTTTTTTTATAATAAACATTCATTACTTTCTGCTGAATACATTTTTTTTTTTTTTTTGACTAGATTCTCTTCATTATTATCAATCACTACAATTATAATATAATACTAGAAGGATACATGTTACATTAGCATACTTTTCAAAAAAAGGATTTCAAATAAAAAAAAGAAAAATATTTTGCAATTTTTCAAAAAAAAAAATACTAATTCTATACTTATAAAATCCTATTGTAATTTATGAAATTTTTTTTTCTCGAAATTTCGAAATAAATGGTTTATTTTTTATCTGGGGTGCGATTGTGTAATTTCACTTTCACATTCATTTCCACATTTTATTTTTCATTGAAAACTCTCCATTACAATAAAAATAAAAATGACGCATGATTATCAAATAAAAATCATTACTTAAAATATAATTAGTTAGATATAATTATTTTTTAAATGAATTTTCATTTTTCGCATTAAAATTTGATAGAATTTTCTTTTTATATGAATTTTTACTAAATAAAAATTTTATTTTCAAATAAAGAAAATGTCATTTTTAATGCACCGTAAGTTAAAAAGTTTTAGCTATCGAATTTTTGTTTGGCAGAATTTATATTTTACAGTTATTTACTTTACACGATTTTTTACTCAACACAGTAAACTTGGTTGTATCTTTTCTATTGCAACGTTTTGATGCACATAAGTTATATCAAAAAGAGATCGTTTTGTGTATCATTTTTAGAAATGATACACGAAACGGTCTCATTTTTTGATGCAAAAAATTTAATCAATTTATATCAATCATGGCCGAATTGAATCGACTCAAAATTAAACGAATTTTTTTCAGATATTTTGGTAATAGTACAATTGCGGAGACCATTTCACTATTTAATTTCAATATGAAAATAACAGAAAATCAAAGACAATGTGCAATTCGATAATTAAAAAGTGACAGCTTATAAACATAACCTAAAATGCATGAGAAAAAATTTGTCGATAAAATCAATATAGCCGAGCTTTTTAGAAGGTAGATGGCAGCACTCATCTATTTTCTTTCTTTAAATTTTTTCTGAATCGTTTTTATAAAAAGCAAAACTGCCATCTACCTTCTAAAAAGCTCGGCTATATTGATTTTATCGACAAATTTTTTCTCATGCATTTTAGGTTATGTTTATAAGCTGTCACTTTTTAATTATCGAATTGCACATTGTCTTTGATTTTCTGTTATTTTCATTTTCAAATTAAATAGTGAAATGGTCTCCGCAATTGTACTATTACCAAAATATCTGAAAAAAATTCGTTTAATTTTGAGTCGATTCAATTGGCGATTCAAACAGCTACACTAGCGCCACAGTTGAACTAATTTAGGCGTGACTCGCTCTAAAGCAGTCTCTGTTTTGACAGTTTATTTCAAATTATTTAATTATTCTGATATTTTTATTGCGTTTGTAAAATTATTTTTAAGCGTTAAATAAAAAAAAATAATTTAAAACACATGGAGTGCTACAGAGCGAGTCACGCCTAAATTAGTTCAACTGTGGCGCTAGTGTAGCTGTTTGAATCGCCAATTCGGCCATGATTGATATAAATTGATTAAATTTTTTGCATCAAAAAATGAGACCGTTTCGTGTATCATTTCTAAAAATGATACACAAAACGATCTCTTTTTGATATAACTTATGTGCATCAAAACGTTGCAAAGATTTGATGCAATTTTTGGTCTCAATTTGATACTTTTAGGAAAACTGTGAAAAGAATTTTAATTCAAACCAATTTTAATTTAATAGAATTTTCATTCAATCGAATTTTATGTGATTCGAATTTTTAAATGACAGAAATTCCAATTCACCGAATTTTAATTTGTCCGAATTTTTAAAACGTCGAATTTTCATTTGTCCGAATAAATAATACAGAGAAAAATTTCACCGAAATCTTTCTATCGATTATTTATTCGGACATTTGTAGTTTTAGACAAATGAAAATTCGGCTTTTTAAAAATTCTATCAATTAAAAATTCGTATAAAAAAAAATTCGGACAAATTAAAATTCGTATGAATAAAAATTCGGACAGATAAAAATTTAAATCACATAAAATTCGAATGAATGAGAATTCTGTTAAATTAAAATTCGATTAAATTAAAATTTTTATAAATAAAAAGTCATGTAAATTAAATGACTATAAAATTAAAAATTCCCGGCAAACAAAAATTCGATTGCTAAAACTTTTGTTAATGTAAAAATTCGTATAAAAATAAATTCTGTCAAATGCTCATTCGAAAATTGGTCTAAAAAATAATTATTTCCAATAAAATAGTTTAAAATAAAAATTATAATTCATAAATTTTATGAGAAATTCATGCGCTCCGTCAGAATTTATAAAACACCGAATTTTCATTTGTTCGAAATTGCAAATGTCCAAAGAAACATGCGACAGAAAGATTTGAGTGCGACAAAAAAATTCACCAATCAAGATTTTCTTGACAATTTCTTGGTCAATTTTAAAAATCGCGCCAAAATCTTTCTTATTTTTCGTTCGGTCAGTTGCAATTTCGGACAAAAAAAATTGATACATATAAATTCTATTTAGTAAAATTTCATTAAAAAAAAAAATTTTTTTTAAAAATGACCGTTTATATGATAAAAGTCATTAAAATTCTAACTAATAATTTTTATGGAATAATCATGCGCTCTAAACTAAAAATTAAAGTCAAAGTGAGAGTCAAAGTGAAACTGAAAGTCAAAATGAAATTACACAATCGAACAATTTTTTCTTTTTTTAGAAAAAAAACTTAATAAAACATTACTGGCACATTTATAACTTGAAATGTAAAATTTTCAAGTAAACTACAAAAATAAAAAAGAATCTTTTTTTTCTTTACTTGATATTGTGCACCGACATTAAATGTTTTACAAAGCTAGCTTCTATTCTACTTTTGTACGGGCAATATTGGCATGAAAAGCGTGTTTCGCATGTTGCAGCACCGCATCCCAATTTGAGATGCTTACGAAGATTTGACGCCCAAGAATACATCTGACCACATCGCGGACAGACGTGAAGCTTTGGTCGTACAATGGGAAACATTGGTACTTCTGTAAAAAAAAAATGTCAATTAATTAAAATTTAAAATGAGTCAATTTTGAAAAAAAACCACATTTAGAACTACAAAAACGACGTTGGTTGGCTAAAAACATCAAATTTAATACATGCCTTGCATATTTATAAATATACGACAAAAATTTACCATTCTATAGAGAAATTTCCTTCTTCGAATTTCATAAACTTCTTTTTACCTATAAAATACAATCACTTTAAATTGTGTAAAAATTTTGCTATAAATATCCAATTATTCAAAAATGCAATTATTCCTGAAAAGATAAAATTTTAAGAATAAAAAGACTATTCTAGATTAACAAATTTATAGTAATTTTAGTATACATATAGTAAAATAACATTTATTTTTTTTATTTATTATAAATACAATACATATTATTATAATTTAATAAAAATTCGCTGAATTTTATTTGAAATAAAAATATAACTATATATATATAAAATATACAAAAAATTAAATAAAGGATATACCATTTGTCAATATTTATTTATTTTGTTTTTTTTAATATAAAAAATGTGTTTGAGTTTTAGGACCGTTCAATTATTACGTAAGCAATTTTTTTACATTTAGACTCCATAATACAGTGGCGTCATTGTTTACAAAAAATTTAATATTTAAGAAAAAAAATTTTCAGGTTTTCTAAAGGTTAAAAAGAGAGGTTTATATACTTACGATTTCTTAAAAAAGGAGAGGGGAAGGAAAAAAAATCTTACGTAATATTATTTTTTTTCTATAAAGATTAAAATAATTGTTCAATCCTTGATTTTATTATAAGAAATCTTAATATAAGAAATTTGTAGACCGTTTGAGAAGACTTAAGTAGAATGAAATTTCTAATCGTAAATCTTAAGCTTCTACATGAGAGAGAAAAGGATAGAAATATCTTTTGTCCTTTTTTCTCTAATGTAAAAGTTCAAGATTTACGATTATCTGCGTTGGCCCATACTTCGGAATGGCTCGGTTAACATCGTAAACGACGCGCGCAGTTTCTGTCAGCTGATTAACTGATAGCAAAAGTTTTGTCAAACAACCTAAAATTTCGTGAATTTTTTTTTTTTTTTTTAATCGAAAATTGAACCATTTTATTCTTTTTGATTAGAAAACAGTGTAGTGCTAGGAATCACAGAAAATTAAAAGGCATTAAAATAAGTTGCAACGCTTATTTTAATGCCTTTTAATCTTCTGTGATATTTCCATCTTTAAATGTTTCAATTTCGTCACCACAAACGTAAGTTAATTTATTTATTTGTTTAAATAACTTTCATAAATTGACAAATATTGTAATAACTTATTTGAAGCATCCTGTTTTCCTGAAACCAAATTAAATTATTTTTAACGATTAAAAAAAAATAATTTTTAAATATGCTTAATTAATATTTGAGGGTCCCTTTACATGTAAATTAAATCCATTTCCAAAAAATTAATAATTTATTCTTGTAATATTTATGGTTATTATTATTATTATTGGTATGTTTTTTTTTATTATTGTTACTGATTTCTTTTTCGTGTATGAGAATGTTTTCTAATCATGTGCTTTTGTAAACTACTTTTGTACTTTGTTCTATATTCACAATGTGGACATCGAATTTTTGGCTCTTGTCCACATTCTACTTTAACATGATTTTGCATATTTCGTAGATAACGATAATTTTTGCCACAATTTGGACATTTATATGAACCAGGTAATTTGCTTGGATGAACAGGTAGCCTTGTGATAATTTTGGCGTCAACAGAAAAACCATATGCTTCCTCAGTATATTGAACAGGATATGGTTGATAATTAATTCCCCAATTAAACATTTCATTACCTGTAAAAAAAAATAATAAAATTTTTGTTAGATGTAGCATTTTTCATATATATTACATGTTTATATATATATATAATGTCGAGTCTATAAATGGTAATTTATAGAGAAATTATAGAAAATATTGTTTAAATAAATATTACACAAAATTATTATTATAAACTACAAAATTTTAAATATAATAATATTTATTTATAATAATTTATGTAAGTTTTTTTAATAATTAGTAAAACTATTATAATTTTTATTTAAACTATAACACTCGTTCAGATCGTAAAAAATTAAAACTCTCTTCACCATCTGATTTTAAACCAAAATAAAAATAAATCCATATATCTTAAAAATGTTAAATATTCAGTTAAATCTCATTTTTTATGAAGAGAAAGTTTGCAGTTATTATTCTAAATAAGAAATATGCTGTAAAAATTTGTTTCCTTTTATAAAGAATAATATTGTTGGAGAATTTATCTTCGATAACAAAGCAACTGTTAAAAATCGACAAACTGTTATTTTAGGATTTAGTCGCTGTAAAAGGCTCATTAAATTATACGACGAGTCCAAATGAATTTTTCTGTATACCTGAATTATACCTCTAACAAATTTGTTTGCAACCCTTCTCAAATTACCTTTTTTCTCCCACTAAAAATTTTTGCTCTCATACTACTTGTAATTTTCCGAACTCTATAATCTTAAAGACAAAAACAATTTACCTTTCAAATGAGAAAGATCTGTTCCGCCTATTATACGCGCGACAGTATTCACTAATGTAATTTTTGAAGATTGTAAAAATATATGTATTAAAAAGTGAATATCGTTTCTTTCTTTATTTAGTAATTTCTGAAATTGACGGACATAATTTTAGTCTCGTTAATTAAAGCAGCGGGAACATCAAGTCAAACTAGACTTGGTGCTAACAACACTGTCCGACAAAAATGATTTTTTTTCTGCCCCTGGGATAATACTGATCACTTTCGATAGATTTTTTCATCCGAATCTGCCAAGAAAAATGCTCTGGCACGTCTAGTTTTTGAGAAAATTAGTGTTGAAAAGTTAAAAAAGCATGTTTTTGACTATCTTTAAATATGAATTAAAAAAAAACAAGACGTGCTAGAATCTCATTCTTGGTTTCAAATGAAAGATGAAATCTTAAAGAACAATTCCACCAAATGAAAATTTAAAGGCATTACGATAAAATGATTAGAAAAACATTTTTTTCCTTTGCCCTCAATTTTGTCATTTGTCATTATTTATTTGCACCGTGTATAACCCTAACATTACGAACAAGAGATAAACAAATGAATGCATCACAATTCAAATTTTAAAAAAATTTTATACGGTTTTCAGGTTACTCTTTAATTTAATAATTATTTTTTTAAAACTAGATTAAATGTATTAAATAAATGGGTTAGTCCACTGACTTTCGTCTAATAGTGGTTGCGAACAAATTTTAAAAAAATCTAGTTTTAATATATGTGAAACTCGATGATTCCCTGAGTTCATTAACCATAATATTATGGTAAAAATTTTATTCCCTTTAAAAATATTAAATATCAAAAGTAGGAGGTTCACAATGTGATTTTGTAACCTTAAATTTTTCAATTTTTTTAAAAACGCTATTATTAAAAACCTATTAAAAATTAGATGTTGGAACTCACCAAAAACATAAATCACTTTATTCTGCACAGAGGAACGAAAGAATTATTGCAAAAATTTATTATTTTTGGATGATATACGATTTTAAAAAAAATTTTATTTAAATATTCTCAAAATTTTTATTTACTTATAACTTTTTTGTCGGTGCTCCGAAAAAATTGAGGTTTTGCACAAAGATTTTTTATAATATTCTTTACCTTCCTTTAAAATCTCACGAAGATGTTTTGCTTTGTTTTGGAGATATTAATTTTCAAAATTTTTTATTTAAAAAGGTTAATTAAAAGACTTGATGTTAACTAACCAAATTCAAACTGCTCCATTTTTTATAACAATATATTAAAATGTAGCGATTTGAAATTGGTCAGTTAACTTCAAGTCTTTTAATTAACCTTATTAAATAAAAAATTTTGAAAATTAATATCTCCAAAACGAAGCAAAACACCTTCGTAAGATTTTAATAGAAGGTAAAGAATATTTTAAAAAATCTTTGTGCAAAACCTCAATTTTTTCGGAGCACCGACAAAAAAGTTATAAGTAAATAAAAATCTTGAGAATATTTAAATAAAATTTTTTTTAAAATCGTATATCATCCAAAAATAATAAATTTTTGCAATAATTCTTTCGTTCCTCTGTGCAGAATAAAGTGATTTATGTTTTTGGTGAGTTCCAACATCTAATTTTTAATAGTTTTTTAATAATAGCGTTTTTAAAAAAATTGAAAAATTTAAGGTTACAAAATCACATTGTGAACCTCCTACTTTTGATATTTAATATTTTTAAAGGGAATAAAATTTTTACCATAATATTATGGTTAATGAACTCAGTAGGGAATCATCAAGTTTCACATATATTAAAACTAGATTTTTTTAAAATTTTGTCGCAACCACTATTACGCGAAAGTCAGTGGACTGACCTAAATATTTATAATTAAATTAAAAAGTAACCAGTAAATTGTATAATTTTTTTAAAATTTGAATTGTGATGCATTCATTTGTTTATCACTTTTTCGTAATGTTAGGGTTATACATAATGCAAATAAATACCCGTTCAGAAATTTGAGTTAGATTTTAATAGGGACCTAGTTGGTAGGGATCTAGTAGGGATATCCCTGCGATTTCCCTATCAGGAATAAAGGGTTCTCGCTAGAACCCTATTAGCTCCCTTAAATCGATTATTATTAAATAAAAATTAATATAATAAAATAAATAAATATTTAATAAATCCAAAAAAAACATATTTATAAAAAGACTTTTATTCATAAATATAATGAAAATAATTACAGAACAAATGAAAGTAATTATTTTTTAGGCCATATAATTACGTATTGATAGTTTAGTCTTCGGGAGTTGCATTATTTTTATTTTTCTGAACGCGTACTCTACCCTCCCAATCTTTGGCGTTAGGGAAAACGTTGCCCAATTCTGATAAAAAGGTTTTTTCAGTAAGAAGATCCAATGTCCTTTCTTCCGTGTGTGTTTTTGAAATTGTAGCTGAAAAATTATTACACCGATTACTTTTATATATATTTAACAATAATAAATTTTAAAAAGTTTATAATTAAAAATTTTTATTTTGTTTTAAAAAAAACAAGATTAATTTGAACATTGAAAATAATAAAAATCAATTTAAAGAACTTACCAAGCATGCACATATACATTTTCGTCCCCTTAAAAACCTTTTTAACCTTATTGTTAGAATTACTTTGTGTAACAAATTGGAGAGCCAATGTTTTTGACAAATATTTTCTGAGGATATTCGTTAATGTTTTTCGTAGATTGAATTTTGGATGATAGTATAGTGGAAGAGTTGATATCTGAAAATATTAAAATATTATTAGTAATGTTTTCTAATTATAAGACGATAGAAAAAAGTATTTTAATATATTTATTCAAATTAATTATAGTTTTTTTATGATGCTGAAGTCCGCAACGTTTTTATAAATGAAAACGAAAAAATAATTAGACTATTACTTTGGATTAAAATTAAAGTTATTCGGGGGTAACTGGTTTTTACAAAAGTAATTTAATTTCTTGAAAGTTTGTGCAAATCAAAATTAGAGATAAATTGACATGGAAAAATAATTCTATTTTAATTTTTCGTTTTTAAAAACGTTGCGGACTTCAGCCTCATGTTTTTTTTTACATTTTCTTATTTAAACTTATATTATATTTTTAATTATCCAATTATATTTTTAATATATTTTTTTTGAAAAAATTTCAACTATATAATAAAAATACATGGATATACTTACAAATTGTTTTTGAAAATCGGTTTCTGCCAACTTTAGTTCGAAGCTATCAAAATCTGTCATATCTTTTAATGGGAGTTCTATATTGTTTTCTTCGACAAAGGTCGACACTTGTGTAATCGGAAGATTCAACTGTAGTTGCTGGCTTATTTGATTTAATTTGTTGTTTAACTGCTTTGTTTCTTTATGCACTTCCTTGACGTAAACAAGGGTTTTCACGGTGACATTTAAGATTTTATCTGAAAAATAAAGTCATTAAAAAAATTATATATTTGCAATCATACAAATCAAATATTTTTTCATTTAATTATATAAATAATGACAAATGACAAAATTGAGGGCAAAGGAAAAAAATGTTTTTCTTATCATTTTATCGTAATGCCTTTAAATTTTCATTTGGTGGAATTGTTCTTTAAGATTTCATCTTTCATTTGAAACCAAGAATGAGATTCTAGCACGTCTTGTTTTTTTTGTAAATCCATATTTAAAGATAGTAAAAAACATGCTTTTTTGACTTTTCAACACTAATTTTCTCAAAAACTAGACGTACCAGAGCATTTTTCTTGTCAGATTCGGATGAAAAAATCTATCGAAAGTGATCAAAATTATACCAGGGGCAAAATCAATGTCGGACAGTGATAATTAATAGTTTATTAGTAACCTATTTCTTTTATTAACCAATAATGAATATATTATATAATATTGCGAAAAGAATTAAATTTATATTAAAAAAATAAATTGTACATTAAGATTGATATTTTTTTTTTGAGTCAGCTCCTGCATACTCTTTTATTTTTTTTTTCTATAAATTAAAGTACAAAAATAATTGTAATAAAATATTTTCACTAGAACTTAAAGTAGTTATCTTAAAAGTATAAATATTTAGAAAGTACAATTTCCACTTATGTTAACATTTTACTTTTAAAAATAATAATAATAATCATAAAAGAACTAAATACATTGTTCAAAAGCATTTTTTTCTAACAAAGATTTCAAATATTATTCTAAATTTGAAAAATATTTTCATTTTTTCGTATAATATTAAAAACTTGTAAAACTCTATATATATTATGATGTCACTAATTGTGATTTAGGAGAATTCTAGCAATTTACAAATTTTTTTTTACAAGTTTTTTTAGAATCACTTTCCACTTCTAATAAGCTAAATTTTATAATTTTCAATAAGTATAGGTAATATTTTTATTATAATATAATAATAATAATAATAATAATAATAATAATAATAATAATAATAATAAAAATAAATCGGCTAAATAAAAAAAAAAATTCGGGGTTGCTATCATGTAATTTCACTTTGACTTTCATTTTCACTTTTACATTTATTTTTACTCTTTATTTTTTAGTAAAAAATATTTGACAAAATCAAAATAAATAAAAGTTTCACTTTCGCTTTCACTTTCTATTTTTTAGTGAAAAATATTTATTTATTTAATCAGAGTGTTCTTAAAATCATTAGTTAGAATTTTTATTTTAGAGAATTTCATTTGTCATAAATAATTATTTTGAGCCGAATTTTTATTTGTTCGAATTAGTATTATGTAGAATTTACATCAAACCGATTTTTTCTATATTACAGAATTTTATATAACTGAAAATTCACTTCACACACTGAGAAAAATAATTTCGTAATAATAAGAAAATAATTTAGTTGAGCTTTTTTAGTTGGCGTTACTAAAATATGGTTGTCACAACAGAATAGAAAGTGGCAATAAATCGGGAAGTTTAGTTGGCTCTACCAAAAAATATATTTGAAGCTTTCATGTTTACGAACTAAATAGTTTGGTTCCCAGTACTAAATAGCTGACATGCTGTATTGCGCACGCGCTCTTCTCGTAAATATGGCGTCGCTTCCCATTCACGGGATGTCAACATTAACCATATGTCGTTCGCGTCGTGAAGTTTCAGTGTTGAAGTTTTTATGTTTTTCAGACATTTTTTAAAAAAAAAAGTTTGTGTAGTGAAAATAAATAAATAAAACTTGTTACAAGAACGAAAGTTTTTTTCCAGCTTTTATACATTGTGAAAATGATTTAATCTCAAATTGTTAGTAGGATTCGTAGAGTAGTGGTCAGCGTTCTCGACTAGCGTTGCGTAGTCTGAGGGTTCGAGCCCCAGCAGTGTTAGGTTTTTTCCGCGATAGAAATTAATTTAAGTAGGCATAGGTAGGTTATATAAAGAGAAAAGGGTGAAACAAAAAAATAAGTTGGTTGAGAAAACAAAAAAAAAATTTCATTTAACTAAATTTTTTGTTTGCTTAAAAACAATAAGTTAGTTGTGCAAAACAAAAAATTTGGTAGACCGAACAAAATGATTCATCAAAAAAATTTAGTAGCCCGAACCAAACGGATTAGTTGCACATATATCAAATAAAAAATTTGGTAGAGAGAACCAAACTTTGGTAGATGATACTAAACATTTTTCTCAGTGCAGAATTTTTATTTTTTCGAATTTTTTATTTGTCAGAATTTTTATTTGCTCGAATTTTCATTTAACATAATGGGCAATATAAGAATTTTTATTGGGTAGAATTTCATTGCATAGAATTTTCATTTTATTCTTTCAGATGAATTTTCATTTGTTCAAATTATTATTTGATATAATTTCTATATAATCGATTTTTCATACTATAAAGAATTTTCACTTAACCGAAAAATCATTTAACAGAATTTCTAATTGAAAGAATTTTCATTTGTCCGAAATTGCAAATGACCGAAGCAACAATCGATTTAGGCGCGATTTTTAAAATCAACCATTTAAAAAATTATCCATAAAATTGTGATTGGTTGATTTTAAAAATCGCGCCAAAATCGATTGTTGCTTCGGTCATTTGCAATTTCGGACAAATGAAAATTCTTTCAATTAGAAATTCTGTTAAATGATTTTTCGGTTAAGTGAAAATTCTGTAATATAAAAAATCAGTTATATGGAATTAATAATTTGTACGTACCAATTTTTACGTACCAAATAATAATTCGAACAAATGAAAATTCATCTGAAAGAATAAGATAAAAATTCTATGCAATGAAATTCTACCCAATAAAAATTCTTTAAAATACCTATTATGTTATATGAAAATTCGAGCAAATAAAAATTCCAATAAATAAAAATTTTGTGAAGTGAATTTTCGGTTATATAAAAATTATGTAATATAAAAAATCGGTTTGATGAAAGTTCTGCAACATACTAATTCGAACAAATAAAAATTCGGCTTAAAAGTAATTATGACAAATGAAATTCTCTAAAATAAAAATTCTAACTAATGATTTTTAGAACATAATCATGCGTCCCAATGCCCTTTAGTAATATTAGTCAAAATAAAAATGAAAGTGAAAATGAAAAATTCACTTTCATTTTTTCATTTAAAAATATCAGTAAAAAGTGAAAATAAAATTTGAAATGAGAGTGTCACTTTCACTTTTTATTTTTTATTATTCTATTAATAATTATAAAATAAAAATTTCTTCTCGCATAAACTGCGAGTTGTCTAAAAATTCTGCGAACAAAGAATCATACAGTAAATAAAAATTCGAGTATATAAATAAAAATACAGTTAAATAAAAATTCTTGCCTTCTAAAATTGTACTAAATAAAAAATGTTGTCTTGTATAAAATTCAATTCACTGCGTATACAATATTATGAAATTATGAACAATGGAAATTACTATTTTGAAACTATATCAATAAATTATATACATTTTGCAAATTATTGAGCAGTCTATTTCTCCCATTGTAAAAAAATTAAAAATTGTTTTAAAAAAAAAAATGTAATTTTTGATACAAAAAGTATCAACACAGAAAATTAAAAGGCATTAAAATAAGCTGCAACGCTTATTATTTTAATCCAATTTTGCTTATTTTAATCCATTTTGGTATTAAAATAAACAAAATTGGATTATAATAATAAGCGTTACAGCTTATTTTAATGCCTTTTAATTTTCTATGAAATTATTGATATCCCCTATCAGTGACATCTTGAAAAATATTCAAAAAATACGACGCACGTTATTTTGATCTTCATTTTTTTGCTGAAAAAAAAATTGTCACGTAATTGTTGAAAAGTTTCGTTGTATATTATAATTATATTCTTAACTATTTTTTCTTTGAAAAATTGGTAACTTTGAGGTTTGTTTTTCTTGGCTTTTACAATAAAAAAAAAAATAAAAAAAAAATAAAAAAAGAAATTATTATTCATTGCAAAATACTCGTTTGCCAGCGTGATTTGTACGAATGTGTTGATATAAATTTCCACGTTGTTTCGTTCGATGAGAACAATAGGGACACAAAAAACGTGGCTCTTTATTACATTCGTGTCGCGAATGACGTAAAAGTGTTGCACGATGTTGATAACGTTTTCCACATTGTGGACAGCTGTAAGGATATTCGGCACGCTGTTTAACAAGCCATATTGCTGCGAGATCAGATATCGATGGTACCAGTGATATATTTTCCAAATTTTTTGACAACAGTAGCCGTTCTGCCGCTGAGCCTGAAAATAAAAGAAAAATATTAATACAAATTTTTTAAACAATTATTAATAATAAAAAGAATATTTTTTTTGAAAATCGTTGAATTTATTTTATAAAGTAGATATATGATTTTTTAGTTTTTAAATTCGTCATCTGATTCATGTTTGAGAATATGATTTTTTTTTTTGCTAATTCAGCAGTCATATAGGGTATAGCATGCTGTATAAAAAAAAAAATTTTTTTTCCAAATTTCTAAACCTCTATTTATTTCCCATAACTCAAATTTTGAAAAAAAAAATTTGTTTAATGTTACTTGAATGCAAAATAATTCAAGATGCCAATGAAATTTTGTTGAGGCGCATGAATTTCAAATAAAAATAATTAAAATTTTTATTTTAAAGTATTTTAATAGAAATATTTATTTTTTATTCGAATTAACATTTGACAGAATTTTCTTTTTATAGAAATTTTTACTTAATAAAATTTTTAGCTACCGAATTTTCGTTTGGTAGAATTTTTATTTTACATTAATTTTCTTTACATGATTTTTTATTCAAAAGAATTTTAATTTATCCGAATTTTTAATAGATAGAATTTTTAAGACGCTGAATTTTCATTTGTCCGAAATTACAAACTTCCAAACAAACAATCGACCGAAAGATTTCGGCGCAATTTTTGAAAATTGACCAATTAGAAATTATCAAGAAAATCGTGATTGGTCAATTTTCAAAAATTGCGCCGAAATCTTTCGGTCTATAATGTTTGTTCGGGTCATTTGTAATTTTGGACAAATGAAAATTCGGCGCCTTAAAAATTCTATCAATTAAAAATTCGGACAAAATTTCGGATAAAATTCGATTGAATGAGAATTGTGTTAAATTAATAATGGCTTAAATTAAAATTCTTTTGAGGCAAAAATCATTTAAAGAAAATGACTGTAAAATAAAAATTCTGCCAAACGAAAATTCGATAACTGAAAATTTTATTAAGTAAAAATTCGTATAAAAAGAAAATGTGTCAAAATTTTAATTCGAAAAATAAAAATTTATCTTAAAAAATAATTATTTCTGATAAAATACTTTAAAATGAAAATTTTAATTAATTGGTATTTATGAGTAATTCATGAGAGCCCCATGAGCAATAAAAAAAAATATATAATCTTAAACTACAAACATTCAGGAAAAGTACTTTTAAATATTATATAATGAGTAATAAATCCAAAAGGCAAGATATTTATGTAAAGAAAATAAATTTTTTAAATTTTATTAAAGTATTTTCATATTTAAGAAATTTGGTTTTTATATTTTTTACGATGTAAAAATACAAAATTTGAAAATACTTTTATAAAATTTAAGTATTTATTTTCTTTTCGTATATACTTTAGTAACATAATACAATAAAAAAAATTTAGTACAAGTTTTCATTTTTTTATTTCATGTAAAATAAATGAAAATGAACCTACGGAAAAAATTAAATATGTTTATAAATGTTGAATTTTGATTAGAACAAAGTTATTTAATCATTATTATGCATTATCGTACAATTTTTTTTTACAACTAAATTTTTTTTTTTTTTTTAAACAATTTAAAATTAAATATTTTTTCCACAACAAATCACCAAATGTTGACGTAAATTTGTCCTTGTCATAAAAGGAGCTCCACAATTAGGACATGTGAAATTTGAAGTTTCTTGACAAGAATGAATAAGTAATTGTTTCAAAAAATTTACACCACATTTTTTGAAGATATACGGAGTTTCTGAAATCACACCAAAACAATTGAGATTAAGAAAAAAAAAATTTCAATCCTTTATATAATAGTAAAAGCAAATAATATTAAATTAATTTAATGAAAATTATTATTAATCAAAAGCACATATATATAAAATAAAAACCGTGCAATTGAGTAAAAGTTATTTTTATTTTTCACATTTTTTTTTTTTTTTAAATACATTTTAAATGTCTGTGTTTTGTTAAGAAAGTAAATGCATATAGGAAAATAAATGTAAAATTTGTTTTGTTTTTGAAATAAATAAAATGGAAAATTAATATAATTTTGGTCCATACATATACTTAATTTTCTTTTTATTTCAATGAAAATTTTAAAAAATTTTGTCACAAAAATTCTTTTATGGAAAATAAAATTTTGTTTAAAATTTTTTTTGCGTGGTGAGAAAAATGTATTTTTTAAAGTTTAAGAATATTTTTGTACTGCTGATGGCACAAATTGTCGTAAATAGAAAATAAAATAAATCAAATTTTAAAGAATTTTTTTTTTTTGAAAAATAACAATCTGTTTTTGGGAAATTATCCATATTTAATCTATAATCTACAGTAAGTTCAGTTTCTTTGTTTATTTATTTACAAACAAAAGCAAATTTTTTAAAATAAAATTATATAATAATTGTGCAATTCCATCAGAAAATAAAAATAAAAATGGTCCACCTCATCAATTTATTTGAAATTTGATATAATTATATATAAAAAAATTTCACAATATCAACTTTTTAAGTAATAACAACTGTTTGTTTGCTCAAAATTGTTTAAATTTTAAATTAAAAATTTTTTTAAACTATTAATTAAAAATAATATAATAATACCTATATAATAATAATTTTAATAAATTATTTAAAAATAATTAAGTTTTTTTTTTAAATCAACTCTAGAAAACAAAACGCTAAAAAATATATAATAATTTTTAAATTACTAAATAACGAAAAATAAAATTAAGTAATGAAAAATATAATATGAAAAACAATTCAACATGTTGAAAACATAACCTCAATTTTTTTTAAATGTGTATTTTGCGGAATTTTCCGGAATTACTTTAAAAAATTGATTTTCTGAAACTTTGCCAACTGTCGATGAAAAATTTATTTCACGTGTTCCACAATTCTTACAATTTTAGCTTGCGAATATTATTGAAATCATAAAAAAAAAATTTGTTTTGTTAAAGAAAATAAAAATTTAATATCCTCCCACAGGTAAAATTTTTTTTTTAATTTTTAGTACTCGTGAAAAAATTTCTCGTTCTAAAATATCATCTTTAAGGCCAGGTCCAAGTCGAGTCAGCTGTTCCTTTGAAGTTTCAATGGAACAGCTGACACGACTTGAACCTGGCCTTAAGGGTATGTGGGCAAAGGACGTTTTTTTTTGGTTTGAAACTTTCTCTGAAATAAGAAAAATGATTTCGGGTTAAAATTTTGAAGAAATGATTTTGTTTGGTACAAGGAATCTCGCTGTTCTACTAATTTACCATAACTTAACGCAAAAATAATAAAAATAAAGCAATAAATAGTTATAAGCGTTTTTGTTTTTAACAATTAACATTGTGTCTTATGGGAATTAAGTACTTTTTCATACATATTTACTCACCACAAAATAATTAACATTAGGAAATTGATGAAATTTTTTTTTAATACAAAACAGATATTTAATGATTAAATATCTGTTTAAAAAAGTGTTATTAGGTTCTTGTGGGAGCTGCAATAAATTAATTTTTAACAATATTTCACGTTTTATACGTTAAATTGAACAGCTGTCAGAACGTCTGGCAACGTTGCACACCTGATCATGCATATTATACGTTAATTTTGCGCGCTAAATTTTAAAATGTTGATTCTGATAGCACGTATAAAATACGCTATATTTAAAAAGAAAATAAAAGTTAATAAATAAAATTGATTATAAATTTTTTAAAATTAAATAAAAGTTAATTAAATAGAGGGATAATTGTTTTATTAAAGTAAATAAGTCATATAGCAACCATTTGCAACTCGACTGAGACGTAATGTGGTGTTGCCAGACGTTTCACAGTACCGAGAAAGTCAAATCATAAAATAATGGTTTCTGTTTTGATTAGTTCAGTCAATCCCTATAACCTCCTTAAACATCATTTTTTAATAATTTAACGCAAAATTATGTATTTATCGGAGAACAGCGAGATTCCTTGTACCCTAATCTATCATCCCTCAAAATTGTAGACAAAAATCTTTTCTCATTTTAGAGTGAAATGTATACTACCAAAACACATTTTCCCATACTTGGTCACGTGGGAGGTTCCCACATACCCTTAAGTCGATGCGCTTGTTGTTGTTAATTTCTTTAAAAAAAAAAAAATGTTTTTCAAAGAATTTCTAAATTTCCAAATGCAATTGCGCTTGCGCTACTATAACTCTCTCATTGGTGGAAAAAGGCACTCTTATTTAGAAAAGTGAAATATAATAAAATGTTTAGAAAACAATAAGAAAAAATTTAAGTGTTAAATTTACCTTTAGTTAGAATGTTTTTTAATAAAAATTAATTTTTATAAATTATTTTGAGAAATTAATTTTTAGTAGGAATAATTTTGCTATTGACGCTCCACGAGAAAACGGACTTTGGATGCAAAAAATTTTAGGTTATGTTTAATGATAGTTTTAGCATGATAAAACGTTAATTTTTAATTATATGAAATAAAAATCAGCTTTGATGGAATATTTTAGATCTAATGAAGACAAAAATCAGTGGTTTTGTGTTAAGAATTAATTTTATTTTTGTATTTTTAATCCAAATATCACAAAAATAACCTAAAATTTTTTTGTCTCGTCCGTTTTCTCATGAAGCGTCACATATAATTACACAGTTTTCCTAAAAGTATCAAATTGAGACCAAAAATTGCATCAAATCTTTGCAACGTTTTGATGCACATAAGTTATATCAAAAAGAGATCGTTTTGTGTATCATTTTTAGAAATGATAAACGAAACGGTTTCATTTTTTGATGCAAAAAATTTAATCAATTTATATCAATCATGGCCGAATTGAATCGACTCAAAATTAAACGAATTTTTTCAGATATTTTGGTAATAGTACAATTGCGGAGACCATTTCACTATTTAATTTGAAAATGAAAATAACAGAAAATCAAAGACAATGTGCAATTCGATCATTAAAAAGTGACAGCTTACAAACATAACCTAAAATGCATGAGAAAAAATTTGTCGATAAAATCAATATAGCCGAGCTTTTTAGAAGGTAGATGGCAGCACTCATCTATTTTCTTTCTTTAAATTTTTTCTGAATCGTTTTTATAAAAAGCAAAACTGCCATCTACCTTCTAAAAAGCTCGGCTATATTGATTTTATCGACAAATTTTTTGTCATGCATTTTAGGTTATGTTTATAAGCTGTCACTTTTTAATTATCGAATTGCACATTGTCTTTGATTTTCTGTTATTTTCATTTTCAAATTAAATAGTGAAATGGCCTCCGCAATTGTACTATTACCAAAATATCTGAAAAAAATTCGTTTAATTTTCATTCGATTCAATTCGGCCATGATTGATATAAATTGATTAAATTTTTTGCATCAAAAAATGAGACCGTTTCGTGTATCATTTCTAAAAATGATACACAAAACGATCTCTTTTTGATATAACTTATGTGCATCAAAACGTTGCAATAGAAAAAGATACAACCAAGTTTACTGTGTACTTTTTAAAAATTTAAAAAATTATTCGCACTTTATAATTATTTATAAAATAATGTTTAAAAAATTAATTTTGATTAAAAAAACGTAACTAAACATAAAAACAATAAATTTAATACTTAAAACTTTTTTTATATACACTGAAAAAAGGGTTTGGTATTGACAACCAAACGTTTGGTTGGTATTTAAGCAACCAAATTTTTTTTGTTTAATCAACAAAATTTTAATTGTCTCAATCAAAATTTGTTTGACACAACCAAAATTAGAAAAAAAAAATTTTTGTTGTCCTAACTAAAGTTTGATTGGGACAACCAAAATTTTGTTGATTCAACAAAAAAAATTTGGTTGCTTAAATACCAACCAAACGTTTGGTTGTTAATACCAAACCTTTTTTTCAGTGTATAATATAAATATATGTATATAAATATGTAATAAATTTTTTGTTTATTATATTAAAGCATTTTAAATAAGAGCGCCTTTTTCTACCAATGAGAAAGTTGTATAGTAGCGCAAGCGCAGTTACATTTAATAACTGCCATTGGCGCATCTTTGGACTGTGGACTTGCACTATTATTATTATTTTTTTTTTCGTGAACGCAATTCTTGAGGCCGTTTTCATTAAATTTTTTTTCACATTGCATTAAATATAAAATTTTAATTTTCTCTGTCCAAATGAAGTACAAATGAAGGAAGTCCAATGTGTTGTGTTCTAATGTGCGCCAAAACATTACTCGTTTGTTTTGAACGAAATTGACAATGTGGACATGAAAATCTCGGTGGTTGTAAACATTCATATTTTTGATGTCTCGTTAAATTACGATGATGACTAAAACAACTTGGACAATTTGAACACTTGAATGTTTGACCAGTGATTGGTGAATTTTTGCCAATTGTTGTTGTTGTTTTTCCTCTTTGATTTCGACTATGAGCATTGTTGACAATTGATGTTGATATGTATTCAAATTCCATTGGCGATATCATGATGCCTGAAATTTCAATAAAAAAGAAAACTTGTTACTAACTATATTTAAAAAAAAAAAATCGCTTATAAAAATTTCACGTAGAAAAAAAATATAAGCCATGCTTATATATATATATATGAAAAAAAATGATCGTATATATTTTTCTCAACGGTTTTTTTTTCGCTTATAATATATGAATTAATGATATATGAGTGATTAAAAATATATGATAATCATGCTTATATTATAGAATTTAAAAAAAATAGGTTATGAAATAATATAATATGATGATAAAGTTAAAAAAAAAATATTTTATTTAATTTATTGTTTATAATACGGTTGAGAACCTCTTGAATTAAAATTTTTTTTTTGGCGCACGCATTTTGTATTTAAAATGTAAAATATTAAAATTATTCTAATACTTTTTTTTAATTAAATTAAAAATATTTTTCATTACACGGAGAAAAGTGGAAAACAAAAATAAAGTAATTTTTACTATACTTCGAAAGTAAATACTAAACTGGTTTCCAGAAACGCGTAGAAATTCCGAACAGTTGAGAATTTACTTTGGAAGTATAGTAAAAATTATTCTATGCTTGTTTTCCGCGCTAAAAAAAACTTTTATGTTAAAAAATAAATTTACATTTTTTCGATCGAAGAGGTCTATTATCGCACATTTGTCACGTTAATAATAATGTATGAATAATCTTGATTATATGTTTCAATCTATATGCGTTATAAAAATAATATAAAAAAATATATAGATATATAATATAAAAGTAGAAAAATATAACATTTAATTAATATTTTCATCACATTTTGAAATCACTGATTATATGATCGACATATATAACTGTTATATAATTTATAATTCTAATATAACAGAAAAGTATATATGAATAAGTGTATCACAAAAAATAAATCGAGATTATTAAAAATAGATGAAATGCAATTATTTTAAATAAAATTTTGAATTATGGGTTGCATAATTCTCCCCTAAAAATCAATTAGAATTTTTATTTTAACAAATTTATATTAGAAATAATTATTTTTTAGCCGAATTTTCATTTTTTGAATTACCATTTAAAAGAATTTTTTTTTATACAAATTTCTAGTTAATAAAATTTTTAGCTACCGAATTTTTGTTTAGCAGAATTTTTATTTTACAGTCATTTTCCTTACATGATTTTTTATTATAAAATTTCCATTTAAGACAATTTTAATTTAACAAAATTCTCATTCAATCGAATTTTATGGGATTCAAATTTTTAAATGACAGAAATTCCAATTCACCGAATTTTAATTTTAATTTTTATTTATACGAATTTGAATTTGTTCGAATTTTTGATTGATAGAATTTTTAGAACGTCGAATTTTCATTTGTCCGAAATTACAAATGACCCGAATTAACAATCGACCGAAAGATTTCGTCGCAAAATTTTTGAAAATTGACCAATTAGAAATTATCAAGAAAATTGTGATTGGTCAATTATTTTCAAAAATTGCGCCGAAATCTTTCGGTCGATTGTAATTTTGGAAACAAATGAAAATTTAACGTCTTAAAAATTCTATCAATTAAAAAATCGTACAAATAAAAATTCGGATAAATTAAAATTAGGACAAATTAAAATTCGAATCACATAAAATTCGATTGAATGAGAAATTTAATAAATTAAAATTGTCTTAAATAAAAATTCTTTTTAAAAAAAGAGTCATGTAAAGAAAATAACTGAAAAATAAAAATTCTTCCAAATGAAAATTCGGTAGCTAAAAAATTTTCTTAAGTAAAAATTCGTATAAAAAGGAAATTCTGTCAAAATGCTAATTCGAAAAATGAAAATTCGACTAAAAAATAATTATTTGTAATAAAAATTTTTTAAATGAAAATTCTAATTAATAATTTTTTTGTGGGAAATTCATGCGATGCAGAAAAATAAAAATCCGTATAAAAATAATCCTTATAAGTAAAAAAAAAGAATATAGTAAATAATTTTTTATCACGTGGCTATAAATTTGATTTTATGATCAATATTTTATAAAAAATAATGTAGTCATTTAAATAAAAAAAAAAGCCGCCTTTCAAGTCTAATCAACAAAAATGATTTCAGAATTATTTGCAAAATCACAATCTGTCTCGTCGATGTATGCTTTTGGTCTTTTTGGATGATGAATTTTTACATGATTAAGCACGAGAATTTTTTGATGATTTCTCTTGCCACAATAAGGACAAGAGAAACGTGGCCTCTTTCCACATTGATATGAAATATGTGTAATCATCGAGGTCTTCTGTTTGTAACATTTCTTACAATTTTGACATTGGTATCCATTCTTTCTTTTGGAAAACACTGGAATTTTGAAAAAAAAAAACATTAGTAACAATAAAATTCTGTAAATTATTAAAAATTATTTTACAATAATTTATATATATTATTACTGGTTGGAAAAACTACAATTATTTAAATTATTTATTGTTTCAACATTTAGAAAATAATTCCATATAAAGAAAAACATGAATATAAGAAGAATTACAATTCCACAAAAGAGATTTTGAAAATATTTTTGTTATATAGACAATCACAAACACAAATTTGAGAAATATTAATTTTTTGAAACAAAAGGTATTAAAATTAGAAAATAAAAAACAATATATTTCTAAAGAAATATTTTTTTCGAATGAAAATTATATGAATTTTTAACTCAAAAATATTTCTTACAATATTTATTCATCAAAAAATTATTTTTTTAGATAATTTTTCGTCTTAAAAAATAATTTGTTTAATTGTTGATCATTTAATCCTCCGAGAGGTTAATGACAAATAGATATATTCTGCGTCTGCGCAGAATGTTTTCTTCTGCGCAAACGCAGAATATATCTACTGTCTTTATAATCTCTTGGAAGATTAAATTTATCCACACGGTGAAAACGGCCTCATAATATTGTGAAAATATATAATTTTTGAAAAAAAATTTTTACTACTCACCATATATTTATGAATAGGCTAAATTTGAAAATAATTAATTATTTAAAATATCCATATATAGAAAAAATGAAAAAATATCGAATATTAAAAAATATTTTGCAATTTATTATCTCGATGAAATTTAACAAATTTTTTTCTATAAAGAGAACAAAAAAAAAATTATGAATGTGCATTCTTAAATAATATATTATTAGTAACAATATCTATACAAAATAATTCTTTATTAGGATGAACTGGAATTATATGTCTCCAAACTTTGGCACGTTGAGTGTAACGTTTATTGCAATAGGGACAGGAAAATCGTTTTGTTATTGAGCATTCATTACGAAAATGACAAAGCATGTGCTTGCGATATTTATAACTACGACCACAAGTTGGACAATAATGACGACTTTCACTAGGAAGTTGATTATTCTCATCTTCTTCTGAATTATAGTGCCGCAATAATTCTAAAACGAAAAAAAAACATTTTTTTTTATTATAGTATTATAGTTGAAATTTCAATAATATATAAATTAATAGAGAAAAAAAAGAGAGAAAAAGATGATAAACATATGCGTTATAAAAAAAAGGACAAAATCATCATGCATTTTTTTTAATTGACGAAGTACAATGATTTTTAAGTTTATGACAATTTGCTGTAGTAATTTTTTTTTTTTTGCTAATCTCTTCAGGCTGGAAATTTATTTATAGACAAAACACTTTTTTTCAAAATAACATGCGTTTAAAAATAAATTATAGAAATTTAATTAATAATACAAATTATTAGAAAAAGATATATCTTTCAGTAACCCTTGATGTTACCTTTTTTTTATATAGAAATTCGATTTATAATAATAATAATAATAATAATAATAATAATAATAAATAACTATTTATCCCTTTGCGACAAAAATATGTTTATTTAATCAAAAAATAAAAATTATATCTTTTTGATACGAATAAAAATTTTTTTGTTACGAATAAAAATTTTTTTTGAATATTTGTGCTGTAAGAAAAATTTTCTCTGCTCAATTTTAATTGAAATTTAACTGCAAAAATTTCATTAGTTTTTGATTGTAAATTACATCGTGACCTAAAAAAAAAGAAAATTACATATATATATATATAATTACTCAAATATATTTGATTAAAAAAATGATTATCAATTATTATAACTACATTAGGTACTTTACTGAAAATAGAAAATATAGAGTGAGATAATGTTGAGAATAAATATAATAAAAATATTTGCATATATAAAAAATAAAAATTTATTTTTAAATTTATGACTTCTTACTTATTATATTATATACAATTTTACATATAAATATTTCGTCGTTAAATAAATATCTTCTTCTTAATGATATAGAAATATAGTCAGATAAAAAGTAAAATAAAATGGGACGCATGATTATGTTCTAAAAATCAATAGTCAGAATTTTCATTTTATGGAATTTCATTTGTCATAATAACTTTTGAGCCGAATTTTTATTTGTTCGAATTAGTATTTTGCAGAACTTTCATCAAAATGATTTTCTATATTACAGAATTTTTATATAACCGAAAATTCACTTCACAGAATTTTTATTTATTGGAATTTTTATTTGTCAGAATTTTTATTTGAATTATTTAACATAATAGGCATTTTAAAGAATTTTTATATTAGGTATAGAATTTCATTGCATAGAATTTTCTTTCAGATGATTTTTCGGTTAAGTAAAACTTCTGTAGTATGAAAAATCAGTTATATGGAAATTAATTCTTTAAAATGCCTATTATGTTTAATAAAAATTCGAGCAAATAAAAATTCGATGAAAATTCTGCAAAATAGTAATTCGGCTCAAAAATAATTATGACAAATGAAATTCCATAAAATGAAAATTCAAACTAGGATAAGTGTATCAATTACTGCTGATGCATCAATTACTGCGATTTCTATAAAATTAGTAAAACTTAGTAGGGGAGACCGAGGAGGAAAGTAACAGAGGAGGAAAGTAACAAAGCTTATAACTTTTAAACAAATTATCGGATAGACATGGTTCAAACATATTTTTAGTCGGCACTGTTCCCCCTTCCTCCTCCATAGTGTGTCCGAGCCTGACAGGAAAGGTTAGGTCTGATTCCGGTGTGACGTGCAGAAAAAACGTCAAAAGTAAGTTTTCGTTCAAATTTTCAAAGTCTCGTATTTCTTTAATTTTATTGTTTTTCAAAATATGCCTTTCGTTATTTTGTAGCCTTATTATCTGTCTTTAAGTTGTGCTTAAACAAACAATTTAACATTTGTGTAGTTTTAACTTTTTTGTTGACATACAAGAAAAAAACGACCGAGGAGGAAAGTAACACGCTACTTTTCTCCTGTTGTCGGTATTGTCCATGTTTTAACTAATGATTGAAGCAAATCGTATTTAATTTTACGAATAACAGAGATTTATTTAAGAAAAACCTGTGATCTAGGTAAGCATAAAATATGTTTAAGAAAAAAAATGAGCTAAATTCATAAAATGTTCGAAATATGTGCTAAATATGTCCCAAATATGTGCCAAATAAGTATAAAGTGTACTTAAACTTTTATGTGTTCCTAATAAAAATATTTCTAATTAATAATAGTCATTAGTCTAAAGAATTTTACATAATTTTATACTGTTACTTTCCTCCTAGGAGCTTGTTACTTTCCTCCTCGGGGGTGAGGAGGAAAGTAACAGATGAAGAGCTTGCGTAAAAGTTATACTGTGAACTGTCAATTTATTATAAATGTTTAATTCAAATTTTATTTAAAAGGTGAATGACCAAGCTTTCATTTAATATATTGGACAAATTTATCCGACAAATATTTTTAATGCTAGCATAAAAAAACTGATTTTTGTTACTTTCCTCCTCGGTCTCCCCTAATTGAGAACATAAAACTGTTTCAAAATGACTTTAAAACTTATTCCAAATGATATTTGATATTATATCCACTAATGATGCATATTTCGACAATTATTAAATTAGTTATTCAAGTTTCAATTGAACCTATTACAGTAATTAGAGCATGTGTATATTTTTCACATGCTTGCTATTACTGTGGTCTATCCAGTCAACCTAACCTCTAAATCAACGCTTTTAGCATTGCAGTAATTGGTGTACCCAATTGGCAGTAATTCATGCAAACTTGGAGTAATACCAACATATGCAATTTTTAAAATAATTAATATTTTTAATAATATTATATTTGTTTTTTTTCAAGTTTAAAGTATCGTTTCTATTTCAATAGACACTAATAGTGATTTAACAAAAAGAATTCCCAACTAGCACGTAATATTACTGTAATATTACAGTAACATTATCCGGCAATATTACTGGAATATTATAGTGATATTAAAATGTCCGCCTGCTGGTGATATTACCGAGTAATATTACTGTAATATTACGGTAATGTTACAGTAATATTACAGATTAATTTCAGTTACTTATAAAGCATCACAATCATAAATATATATATTGTAAGTTACTGTGGCTTGTTGGTAAAACTCTGGACTTGTGTGCCTTAAGTTCGGGGTTCAATTCCCCAGTTGGGTACATTTTTTTCGTGAAATAATATTCTTCTAATATTACTGCAATATTCTCGTGTATTGTTACCTTAATATTACGGTATAATATTACTGTAATGTTACTGTAATATTACAATAATAATGCCTTAATATTACCGTGTAATATTACAGTAACATTATCCGGTAATATTACCATGAGGCGGACATTTTAATATCGCTGTAATATTACAGTAATGTTACCGGGTAATATTGCCGTAATATTACGTGCTACTTGGTTTAAATCATTATTTCAATTACACTTTTATTATTTTATCATTAAAATCTGTCTTAGGTTACGTACATCACAGTAATTGGGACATTTAACCTAATGATTTTTAGAACATAATCATGCGTCCATTTTACTTACGGGAATATTAAAAAAAAATCTAAATACTTTTTTTTTAATAAGAATCAATTTTTTTTCTAATAAAGTTTTACGAAAGAAACATTCGAATTAGGATGAGCGCTTCTCACATGTCGATAGATATTGGAAGTTTTTTTACTAACTTGATGACAATAAGGACATTTATAACATGGAAATTTTTGACATTCATCTTTGTAATGTTTTAACATGTTGTCTTTCCTTCCATAACCTTTATTACACGTAGGACAATGAAATCTTCCCGTTGTATTATTGTAATTTTCCTTTTTCTTGTAGAAATAATATCGTTGACGTTGATAAAATTCACCTAAAAATATTAATAAACAATATTTCTTAGTATATATAGAAATAATGATTAATAAAAATAATTATACTTTATTATTTATTAATGTATAAAAAAAAATTATTTCTAATAGGTGGCACACACACTGGAAAGAGATCTAAGAAGGAAAAAAAATTATAGGTTATGTTTAAAAAAATCAAACACAAATTGGCCTAAGCAGAATGAAATCTCTAATCGTAAATCTTTACATGAGAGAGAAAAGGATAGAAATATCTTTTATCCTTTTCTCTCTCATGTAAAAGCTTAAGATTTACAATTCGAGATTTCATTCTGCGTTGCCTCAAAGTCAACAAACGTAACTGCGCTTGCGCTACTCCAACTTTCTCATTGGTAGAAAAAGGCGCTCTTATTTAAAATGTTTAATGTAAGAAAATGTATAGAAAAAAAACAAATATTATTATATTATTATTTTTCTATTGATAAATTTATTATTTTTATATTTAATTGTGCTTTTAATAAACATTAATTTTTATAATTTTGAAAGATTAATTTTGAATAGAAATAATTTTGCTAACTATTAAAATGGCTTTTTATTATAAAATTTGCACTTACAAAATAATTTAAAATATGTAATATTTATTATTTATAATTTTTTAATAATAAATTAAATCTTAAATACGGAGTAATTCTTTTATTTACTAAAAATACACGGTAGATTAAAAATATCATCCCCTTCCACTCCTCTCCACAAAAAAAGAAAAGTCATTAAAAAATCAATTTACTAGAATACTTAATATAAATATAATATTGTTGTCATTTAGTTAAGTTGTTGGAATATTTTTTTACAAAACAAAATTGTACTAAAAAAATAAGAAATAAATACACTTAATTCATGAAAGTATATATATGATAATGCATACGTGTAAGTATAAATTAATTACTTTTTTTTTGCAAATACATATTACAAAATTAATTTTTTTCATTGAAATAAAAAAATTAATTTCAACCAAAAAAATGTGATTTTAAGGCCAGGTCCAAGTGAGGCAGCGCCATCTACATTGAAACTAAAATTTTGGAAAATTTTCAACAGCCTTTTCTTGAAAGCAAGAAGGTAAAATACTTTTTCCTTTATGGATAATTGATTATTGGAAAGATAAACACCAGCTAAAACTTTTTTTGATTTAAAATAATGAAAAAAAATTTCATGTCGATAAATTAAATATGAGCACTTTTTTCACAAAAACTGTAACAGTACTTTCTCAGAAATTACAATCAAAAATGCAATTTCCATTTGGAAAATTAATAAACGCTAAAAAATACACGACCTAAGATTTGCCAATCACGAAAATAACAAAAAAAAAAGTATTTTAACATAACATATTTTACTCATTATGACAGCCGTTTGGCAGGTTATATATGTCACCAGACGTTTCGCAGTTTTGCCGAAAGGAGGAGATTGGCGCTGTTGCTAACCACCTGAAATACATAATCTACCAAAGGGCTGTCACAATCAGTAAAGCAGTATCAATATGTTAAATATTTAATAAAATTTTTTTTTGTTATTTTCGTGATTGGTAAATCTTAGGTCGTGTATTTTTTAGCGTTTATTAATTTTCCAAATGGAAATTGCATTTTTGATTGTAATTTCTGAGAAAGTACTGTTACAGTTTTTGTGAAAAAAGTGCTCATATTTAATGTATTGACATGAAATTATTTTTATTATTTTAACTCAAAAAAAGTTTTAGCTGGTGTATATCTTGCCAATAATCAATTATCCATAAAGGAAAAAGCATTTTACCTTCTTGTTTTCAAGAAAAGGCTGTTGAAAATTTTCTAAAATTTTAGTTTCAATGTAGATGGCGCTGTTTCACTTGGATCTGGCCTTAAGGTTATGTGTGATTGTTTTACAAATAAATTTTCTCCGCAAGTTTTCTAGCATAATATTTAATAGATTGAATTTTAAATTTTGTAAAGAATTTAAAAATAGTATAAAAATTTTCGTGATCATGTGACAGAATTTATTAATATTTTGTTAATAAATTTATTTTTAAAAAACTGTATAGTTTGAGAAAAATCAAAATGTCGTTAATACAATTTTGATCAATTTCTCAAATATGCAATTTTTTTTAAATAAATTATTTGAAAATTTTTTTTAAAATAATTTCTTGCACATGATAATGAATTTTTATACTATTTTTTGAAGTTCTCCACAAAATTTTGAACTCAAATATTTTGCAAGAAAACCTGCGGAGAATATTTATTTGTGAAATCACATATAAACTTAGAAAAAAAAATGTATAACATTCAAGGTGCAACAATCCATGGTTGAGTTATATCGACAACAAATATTTCATGATTTTTGTGTTTATATTTGATATGTCTTCGAATGCCTGCTCTAACTTTGCATTTATAATCACAATAGGGACATTTAAATTTTGGTGCTTTTCCACATTGATAACGAAGATGACTCAATAGATTTCGTTTCCAAACAAATGTACTGTGACAGCCTTCATTTGGACATGAGAACACATTATTCCTCCTCAGAAAATTTGTACCTTCAGCTCTTGATAGATGAATTTTTCTTCTTGTATGTGCCATTGAACGTGTATACGATGTTCCTAAAACAATTTATTTTGTTAATAATCAACATAATGGTTATTATTTTCAAAAAAAAAAAAAAAATTTCTAAATATTTACTGATAATATATAATTCAACATTTATATTATATAAATTATGTGTGAAATTATAAAAATGGTTTTCAATAAAAAAAATGCTTTTTTTATATATAGGTAAATAAGTATTTACAATTTTTTTTTTATTTAGATACAAAAAAAACAATTGAATTATTCAAATGATATAATTTTTATTGTTATATTTATATTTTACAACACGCTTGTAATTTATAATATTTATATTATATATATATATATTTATGAAAAAGAAATCCATACACTCATATATATATATAAGAATATGAAAATTAATTAAAATTAAAAATCATCTTGAATTAAGAAATAATTAAGAATTTTCAAGAATGATTTAAATTATAATATAAACTTTGATTACATTCTACGTATGTAAATTTTTTTTTACACAAAAAATATTCAAAAAAAAAAAAAACAAAACTTATGATATATAAAGTCAAAACGCCGCAAAAATTTTATATTTGTAAAATTAAGGAGGATGGAGGCCCTAACATAACCTCAAAACTGAAAAATGGTTTTTAATGCAATCAAAACTTAAAAAAAAAAAAAAATTATTTTCTAACAATTTCAGAAGATCTAGTTATACACTTTTTGGAAAAAAAATAGGTTCGACTATTTTTATTCAGAACAAACATAAATGAAATTTTTTTTAGAACGAGTATGTTCTGAATGAAAAAATTCAAAAAAGAAATATTTAACAACAAAATTCAAAATGGCGGATCCAATATGGCGGACAATAAAGTTTAAAATTTCATCGGATTCATTCGAAAATCATTACTCGGGGGTTTTCGGGGTCGCTGATTACGAATCCGATGTCACTTTTTAAAAATTTTAAATGGCGTATCCAATATGGCGACCAAAAAAAAATTAAAAGTTGAAGGATCTGGCTAAAAATGCTTACTCGGGGGTTTTCGGGGTTGCTGAATTCAAATCTGTGGTCGAATATAAAAAATTCAAAATGGCGGCTTTAAAATGGCGACCAAAAAAATTAAAAAATTTGGCTAAAAACGCTTACTAGGGGGTTTTCGGGTTTTTTTACTTTGCGGACAAAAGAAGAACTATTATTGTAAAAGGCGCGAATTTTTAAAAATGAAAACAATAAGAAAGTAAAAAATTAATTGCATTTTTAGCCAGATCCTTAAACTTTTAATTTTTGGTCGCCATATTGGATCCGCCATTTTGAATTTTTAAAAAGTAACATCGGATTCGTAATCAGCGACCCCGAAAACCCCCGAGTAATGATTTTCGAGTGAATCCGATGAATTTTAAATTTTAGAGTCCGCCATTTTGAAGCCGCCATTTTGAATTTGTTATTTTCGACTAAAAATTCGGATTCAGCGACCCCAAAAACATATAATAGGATAAAGCCCATGCTTTTTCAAAAAAAAAATTTTTTTTGTACATTGGTGGCACAAAAACTTCATTTTTACTGGACTGCGAAGGGGTTAAAAGCCATTTTTCAATTTTGAGGTTATGTTCGTGACCTCTATCCTTCTTAATGTCCAATTATTATTAAAAACAAAAAAATCAATGACAATTTAAGTAAATTCACTGCAATTAACAACGTCAATTTTTGAATTCTTATGCATTCTTTTAATATGTCTGACAACATTTGCCTTCCACATGCAACGATAATTGCAATGACTGCATTGAAATCTTGGTTCTCTTCCACATTCATTGCGGACATGCTTTTTCCATGTGCTCTCCCAAACAAATGATTTTGGACAATTTGGACATGCAAATTGTTTCATTTTTTGAACATCACTGATTCTGCCAAGTGGACCAACATATATTTTTCCTGTGAACAAATAAACAAACAAACAAATTTTTTAAAAATTATTTTTTCCAAACAAATCATTATTCAAGTGAAATATTTTTTTGATATATAATATATTTTTATAATAAAAGAAAATTATATAAATAAATAATTTTCTTTAATAAAAGCATTTTTTGTAACAGAAAGTAGTTATATTTCTAATATGAACAGAATAAATATTATGGGAAATGTATAAATTGGAAAAAAAAATTATACAAACTGATAGGACATTCAAAAGGAAAGAATATGAAAGGTTCAAAATTTTTTTTTATTTGCTCTATGTAAGACATTTATTTTTCCGTTAAATATATATAGTTTTCTTACAAATCTCGATACATAGATATACAAATGAAAAAATTCACTCTATTTTTTTTTTATAATAACAAAATATTGTCGAAAATGAAGTAATACAATTGTTTGAAACTATATTTTTGGTAAAAATTAATTAAACAAAAAAATATCATTTATCAAAATAATCTGTTTTGTTTTACTGCGTTAGGAAAAGAAATTTCAATACATGAATAGAAAAATGCGTAATTATACCATTATTAATATCCTCTATAAAGTTTATTTTCCATAATAGTTTTTTTTTATTCATAATGCATGAAAAAGACCTAAAAAATTATGAATTGGAATTTTTATTCGACAGAATGAAAAATTTTAATAGACTTCTTTTAGTCGAAATTTTCTTTCTTGGAATTAATATTTTGCAGAATTTCTATTTAAACAAATTTTGATATTACATAACTTAATACAAGTTTTATTTGACTGATTTTTATTATATGTAAAACTCTCTCAAATAGTTCAATAAATTTTTTTTAATATACTTTTTATTGAACAGAATTTCTATATTTATGTCAATCTTCATACAAAAGAACTATAATTTAAATATATAATGTATGCTAATAAATAAAATAAATAATAAATTAATTTAACCAAATTTTAACTGAGAAATTCCGATAAATTATTTTTCTTCCATGTAATTAAAAAAATATTTTAAACTAATATTTATTAGTTAAAATTTTTATTTGAAAAAATTTCATTAGATAGAATTTCCTTTTAGTCAAATTTTTATTTTTCGAAATAGCAATAGATTTTTTTTTACAAATTTTTACATAACAAAATTTTTAGGTCAAAAAATTTTCATTTAACCGAATTTTAATTTAGCAGAATTTTTATTCAACAGAAATTTTGGTGATTAAAATTTTTAAATGCAAAAATTTTCAATTCACCGAATATTTATTTGTCCGAATTTTTATTTACATAAATTGTTATTTAATAGAAATTTTAAATTTTCATTCGACCGAAATTAAAAATGTCCGAACAAACAATCGACAAAAAGATTATGTCACAAATTTAAAAATTCATCACAATTTTATTCATATTTTCTGATTGGACAATTTTGAAAATCGTGTCAAAATTTTTGTTTATTGTTCGTTCGAGCAATTTTTGTCAAATGAAAATTCGTGGAATTAAAATTTCGGGGGGGGGGGGTGCGTGATTTTCTCATAAAAATCATTAGTTAGAATTTTGATTTGAAAGAATTTTATCAGATATAATTATTTTTCAGACGAATTTTCATTTTTCAAATTGGAATTTGATATATAATTTTTCTTTACACGAATTTTTATTGTACAGAAGTCTTAAAACGCCGAATTTTCTGTTTGTCCGAAATTACAAATGACCGAACAAACAATCAACAGAACTAATAAAATTCTTTCAAATCAAAATTCTAACTAATGATTTTTATGAGAAAATCACGCCCCTCGAAAATTCTGGTATTCAAAAATACAAATCACTAAAATTTCTGTTTAATAAAAATTCTGCTAAATGAAAAATTCTGTTGAATTAAAATTCGGTTAGATAAAAATTCATTGACCTAAAAATTCTGATAAAAATTCGTTTAAAATGAAATTCTATCAATTGCCATTTCGAAAACTGAAAATTCGGGTAAAAAGAAAATATCTAATGAAATTTTATAAAAATTCTAAACAATGAATTTTGTGAAATGTCCCCAAAGGTCTAATGTGTGAAATATTCATTAAATAATAATTTGCATACACAATATCGAAAAATATAATTAATAACAAAAAATGAAGATCTTAATAATCTTTTATTCTAAAGCATTATCAATTTCAATTTCTTCAACTTTGACATCAACCTGATTAAATTCATTCTTTTCATCGCCAACTAAAACAAAATTTTCTTCCCTCGCATGTGAATGTTTAATATGTTTGTTCATAACAATATTATTTTTACATCGAAACGAACAAAATGGACATTCAAGATTTTTATGTTTTCCACAAACATTACGAAGATGTCGTGGTAAATTGTGTTCATATTTAATCAGGCTACCACAATTATTTGGACAATAAAAATCACGTTTTTGTTTTGTATTAGAAGAATTGTCAATTTTTGTTTCATCAACAATTATTGTAGTTTCATTTTCCGTTATTGTATTTTTTGAAAATATTGCAGTATCAGAATTTTCAATTTGTGGCGATATTTCATGAATTATTTCTTTTTTCTCCTTCCTTGGAAAATTACGCGACGATTGATGAAGATTTGGATGACGAAATTTAATATGTTGATCTAAATTCCAACCGTGTTTACACATTTTACCACAGAATGGACATTTATAAGTTCTTGATTGTTCTTTTTTTGTTCTTAATGAGGTGGAATCATTTTTTTCCTTTTCATATTCATTGCGAATACATTGATTTTGAATTGAATCAAAATCATCAGTATATTTACTGCCGGCAATTTCATAAATCACTTGCTTACGATGAAAATCAATGACAAATACTTTTCTCTCAGGATGTCGATGTTTTATATGCGTCACTGTACCCCATTCTTGACGGCATTTTTTCGAACAATAAGGACACTTATAGCGCATTTTACCACATACAAAACGTTGATGATTCTCCATTGTATGTTGAAAATTAAATGTCATTCCACATTTATTGGGACATTGAAATCGTTTATTTGTCTTTTTTCCCTCATTTATTTCCTCCTCTGGTGTTGTGGGATCATTTTTTTTACCTGATAATTTGATACGACGACGCATTTCTTTATAGACAATTTGTTTAGTAAAAACATTGATGGCACAAATTTTACTGAGTTTATGATTAATTTCAATGTGTTTCTTAATTAGATTATATGTTCTTGTTCTGTATTTGCAATAGGGGCAAAGATAGCGTTGAACTTTTGTGCATGTTTTACGAATGTGTCGACTTATATTTGAGACATGATCAAATGTTATTCCACATTTATTTGGACACTCGTGTCTTTTGATACATTCTGCTTCGTTTGTTTCCAATGGTGGATCATTTGTTTCGCGTATTTTTTTGGGAGTTTCTTTTTTCTCTAAAATTTTCTTCAACCACGTGTCAATGACGTGTACTTTTTGCATTCGATGATGTTTACTGATGTGTCGCATAATACTGTAACTGTATTCTGAACGTGAATCACAATAAGCACACTTGTAACGAAATGTATGACGTGGATAGACTTTTCCACAATCGAAACGAATGTGTTTTTGTAATGCTGCTTTAACGTAAAAAAAATTACCACAACCATTTGGACATGCCAAACGTCTCTCAAATGTTGATTCAACTATTGTTGAATCTGATTTGATTTCCGGTTGAATAACGGATAAAACGTCTTCTTGATTTTCGGTAATAATTTCATCATCTGAAATAGCACCAACGTCAACGTAATTATCAAAATCGGTGCTTGTTTCTTGTTCAATTTCATCGGTGTCTTTAATTTCTTCAATATTATGGTTTTTATTTGTTAATTCTGTTGGTAGAGTTAGTTCTGTTGGTTTATTGGAATGTTTGTAGATAGATTCAAGGCGAGGAAGATTTAAAATTGGCGATCTTTTCGCAGTTAACATAATATTTGATCTGATCCAATTATTCTTCTCTTGAACATTCGAAGGCATTATTTTTTGCATTGATGTCACTTCAGTATTTTGAAATTCCTCAATTATTTCTTCTTTGTCTTCAATTTTTTCACCTTCAACAGCATTGATGTTATCAGCTTCTTCTAGGACAAAATAAAAAAAATATATTGTTAGTTTCTGGTAAACAAAATCATCACATCTCGCATGCAACTACACAAAATTTGTATAAATAGTAAATTTTGTCAAGTTTTTTGAAATTTTTACTATTGTTTTTGGTTATCTCAATTATTCTTGATTTTAAATTCCAAATTTATAAAACAAATACAAATTTTAAGTTTTAATTGATTTCCATAAGTATTTGGATGAAAAATTCAAAATTGAAACAAAGAATGTGAAATTGCAGAAGAAAAAAGACTACTTTTTTGAATTTTTTTTTTATCAAATATAATAATAATTTGGATAAGGAAATTCTCTATTGATACGAAATCATTGGAAACTACTTGAAAATTTATTACGTCAATGTCAATTATAATTTTCAGTGAATTTCCGAAGAGTCTGTATCGGTAGGGTTTGTTAAAGTTAAATTTTTTTATTTTTAATTTATTTTATGTTAAGTTTTGTCAATTATTTTTTTGTTATCTTTGAAATTATTTTTATTTATTTATTTATATTTTTTTTATATTACAAACTTGATTCTCATCATCATTTTAAATATTAACTTATATTTTAGACTGCTTCCATAATAGCTAAATCGCATCGTCTTGAAGACGATGTTTTTAGGACGAGACGATGCGCGCGCATCCATTGCCAACTGTCGACAAAAAATTTATTTCGCGTATTCCATAATTTCAGCTTGTAAATATTACCAAAATTATAAAAAAAATTTTTGTTAAAGAAAATAAATATTTTTTTCCTTGCAGGTAAATTTTTTTTTAATTTTCCGTACACACAGAAAATTAAAAGGTATTAAAATAAGCTGCAATACTTATTATTTTAATCCAATTTTGCTTATTTTAATACCAAAATGGATTAAAATAAGCAAAATTGGATTAAAATAATAAACGTTGCAGCTTATTTTAATGCCTTTTAATTTCCTGTGCATGTGTAAAAATGAATTTTTTGTCGACAGTTGGCAATGGATGCGCGCGCATCGTCTCGTCCTAAAAACATCGTCTTCAAGACGATGCGATTCAGCTATTGTAGAAGCAGTCTAAAATATAAGTTAATGTTTAAAATGATGATGAGATATTAAATTTTTTATTTGGAAAACACAATTTAATGTACTCTGGCTTTTTTTACAGTGTACTGAAATAAATAAACTCTTTGTTTCATGTACAAAAAAAAATTAAAATTCTATCAATAAGTAATCCGATACTAAATTTATTTGAGTACAATTTATAGAATCTTAATTTTAAATAATAATTAATAAAGTACAGTTTATACTTTTTTTTGAGTTTTTATTCGGTTGGATTTTCAGGTTATGTTTGACATGTTTAACATTTGCGTTTTTAAATAAAGTGATTATTAATAGTTTTTGGAGGTTATTTTGAATAAAAAAAACATACGGTTTACAGAACAATTAATTTAATAAGAAAATATACAATTATCGCTGAATATCGCTATAAGCGCGATCATATATAGAACTGACTTTTTTTAACCTTACGCGTCACTCGAAAGTTAAAGACAAATTATATATTAATATTATAAAGGTGAATTCATTTTTATTTTTATTAATAATTACTTTCGAAAAATTCTATTCCAACAATTATCATGTTTTTCGTTATATGAGTCGCCGGAAAGTAAAACCACACATAAAATTCTGACTCCCATTGAATTAACATGGCCGTCAGAATTTTATGTGTGGTTTTACTTTCCGGCGACTCATATATTTTTAAAATCAACATGAATTGTACAATAGAATTATATTTATTAATCGAAAGTAAAAATTATATAACAAATTGTGTATTTATAGTTATAAAATTTTCTTTATTTTTATATTTTTACTAATATTACAAATTGCTACATTAATTTTTGCACATAAACTATGGTATTTTAATACATGTATCGTGCACTGAAGAAAGAGACCTGCAAACGAATTATAGGTTATGTTTACGATAATTTTACCTTGATTGAAAGTTTCTTTTTATTTCTGTAAAATTAAAATCAATTTTCACTGAATATCAGTAATTTATTGTATTGAGAATTGATCCTTTTTGTGTATTTTCATTTCAAAACATAACCTATAATTTTTTGCTTCTTTCTTCAGAGCGCGTCATATAAATATACTTGAAGAAACATAATAAGATAGATATTATATAATAATAATAATAATAATATTAATAATAATAATAATTAAATGATAAATATATTATAGTGGATTTTTAAAAATATCAACAACATAAACTTCATTTCCTGGATGTTTCCTTCTTATATGTGCGCGAACATTTGAAACATGCTTAGTACGATAAACGCAATATGGACAATTAAATCTTGGCTCCATTCCACATTCAAATTTCGAATGATAATATAAATTATTTTTATATTTAAATGTACTGGGACAATTAGGACATGGGAAAATTACTCTATCACCCTGAAAAGCCATATTAGCGGTGTCTCGTTGACTCCATGCTCTTCCGGTTTGTAACTCCGTTAGTGGAATCAATTCCATTTCTAAAGCTAAAAAAAAAATATTCAGTTATCATTTTTTTTTTACTTATGATTAAAAATTCATATATTTGTTAGTGGATTTTTGTAAGTAATATAAATATATATATATAGAAACACAGAAATCATGCAATTGTCAGGAACAAGATAATAAAATCACATTCTTTATTTTTACTTCTTTTTTTTTTATTATATTCACCACATATATTTCTGTTAAATTAATATATAGAGAATTATATATATTTCCTTTTTTTTTTTGCCAACCTATACATTAAATAAAATTAAATAACATTGCTTTCTTTTCAGTGTCAACATTTAATTCTTGGTTTAAATAAATCAATTGTATAAATTTCAAGACCAGGATGTTTTGTTCTGATGTGTGAACGTGAACCACTTGAAAATCTCGCCTTATGATCACAATATGGACAGCAAAATCTTGGACCACGATTACATTCATATTTTAAATGATAGGTTAAATATTTTTTAAATTTAAATGAACTTGGACAATTTTGACAACGAAATTTCTTCTTCGTTGCTAATTCTTCTGGTGATAAAAAATAATAATTTTCTTCAAAATAATGCATATCTGTAACAAAAAAAACAGAATAAACACAATTTATTATTAGTTTAAAGAATTATAATTAATTTTTTTTTTTTTAATTCAATTAGAAATATTGTATACTCAAAAGAATTGAATAACATAGTAATTTTTATAAAAGAAAATTTTACTCTAGATTTTTTAAATAATATTTATTTCTCTTACAGAATTCTACTTTGGTCCTTAAAATTTAATTGACTATGTTTTTTTTTTTTTATTCGCTTATTTTAAAATCTTTGTACAGAAAATGAAATTATACATTTTTAAAAAAATTGATTTTGATTTTGTTGTTGGCAAATATCAATTGTTGTTAATAATTCGTCGGGATGATATTTACGAACATGTCTTCGTGCATTTGAAACATGACGTGCCTTATAAAAACAATAAGGACATGAAAATCGAGGTGATTGCATACATTCATATCTTTCATGATAAATTAGTCCACTTTTTCTTGTAAATGAACTGCTACAACGTGAACAGGGAAATTTTTTATTATCACCAGAATAACGAACAGGATAACATGGAATTAATTGCCCCTGTTGATCAACTGTAAAATCTGAAACAAAATTAACAAAATTAGTACAAATTTATTATACAGAAAATATAGAATTAAAAAACCATATATAAATTTTATTGCAAAATTTACAAAATCTTTGACGATAAATTGCAAATAGTTTTGAAATAAAAAAAAATAATTTAAATAAGCACAAAATTAATTATACAAAATAATTATATTTTATTTTGAAAAAAAATAATTCAAGGTTTCTATTAACAAATAAATTTGTTACAATGAAATATTTTTTATTATATTTGAAATACATTTTTGATTCTACAAAATCTATTGTAATGGGCGATTCTCCAAAAAGAGGTCATTTTCATGTCTTTGTGTTTATATAATCTAGACTTTTTAATAAATTTTGCTGTAGACAAAAATGTTATTTAAATGTCCCTTAACTGTGATACCTTATAAAAAAAAATATAATTTTTAAGGTGAAAAATAAAATTTAATAGCTGAAAATAGCATTTTGGTATGTCCTAACCTATAAGTACCAAAACTTTAAAGTGATTATCCCATAAAAATCATTAGTTAAAATTTTTAAATAAAATAATAATAAAATTTTTAATTTTAAAGTATTTGATTAGAAATCATTAATTTTTAGACGAATTTTCATTTTTCGAATTAAAATTTGTCAGAATTTCTTTTTTAAATAATTTTTAATTAACATAATTTTTTGGCACCGAATTTTTATTTAGTAGAATATTCTGAAAACGCCGAAGATTTTATTTGTCCGAACAAACAATCGACAGAAAGATTTCATAATTTTATAAATCAACCAATCACAATTTTTTATTAGTTGATTTTAAAAATCGCGCCGAAATCTTTCTGTTTTTATTTCTATTTCTTATTTTATTAATAATTATTAATCACTAATTAATCATTAAAAAGTATGAATTAACATTATGATTGACTTAAACTTCTTTTTTAATTTACGAAAACTTGAATTCGAATTTAATGCGAGATAGGATTATATTATACGGAAACTGAGTTAGCCTTTTATTATTTTGACAATTGAACTAGCTTCATATTGAACTGAGCTCAAGTTGGCATTTTATTATTCTGACAAATGAACGGGCATCTAATCAATGGGAGGCGTCGTGTTGAGTAAAAATTTGTTTAATAAGAAATTTTGTCAAATTTTAATTTGAAGAATGAAAATTTGTCTTAAAAATAATTAGGGTAAAATGGTACAGTGACCGAAACCCTGGTCATACTTTCAACTTTAAATGACATTTTATTGGTATTTATTAAAGATTTAAGTATAAAATAAATTTCAAATAAAAGATTTGGGATTAAAATTTATAGTACATAAGTTTAAAATTTAAAAAACACTTTGATAAGAGTTTATAATATTAATTTAAAATACTATTTAAGGAACATGATATTTATTAATATTATCACAAATTTTATTATTCAGATTTAATGTACAAAAAAAAGTTGCTTTTAAAATATAATTATTTAACAATTTCTTCATATTTATAAAAATTTGTAATCAATAAAGCAAAATTTTTTTAGGTTAGTTTTCTAGAATGTAAAATATTGAGGAAAATATAAACATATAAAATTATGTGTTAATTTGTATCAATTTCTAAATATTGTATATTAATGAATTTACTAGTGATATTTAATTCAGTATTATTATTTTTAAAGTTATTATTGTTTTTAATAGCAGGTGTCGTTCACTGTCAGGGTGTTGGTTACTATACTTTTTTCCCTATAGCAGACGAACTTCTCCACTCAACTCGCTATAAAGGCCTGAGCAGAATAGAAACGTAACCGCAAACGCAACCGGAATAATGAGTTAGAGAAGGATATACATATTGTTTGTCCTTCTCTAACTCATTTTGCCGGTTGCGTTTGCGATTACGATTACCTTTCTATTCTCCTCATGCCTTAACGCTCCATGAGTTTTTTCAAAAATACTCTTATATTTTCTAAACTTATGAATAAATCGATTTGGAAATTTTCAGAAAACCTTTAAATCTCTAAAGAAATAGAATTTCCATTTACCTTTATGAGAAAAAATTTCATTTTGAGAAAATGGGGGTTGTTAATTAAGGGTTGGGCGTTTTGTTTATGTTTTCTTTGGGGGACGAAGCCAAAAAAGGGCAATTGAAACTGGAAACGGAAGCCCTGGCACATTGGCGGATATAGATTTTATAGATTTAAGTTTTGCGATTAGGTTAAGGATTTATGTATTTTAGGTTAAGTTGTTGTATGTATTTGGGAGTTTCGAACCCTGCGTATGCAGGGAGAGTAAATAAATTGAATTTTGAGAAAATGATCAGTTTGTGGAAAATCACCCATATGTAAATAATAAATCATATAGTAATCTTAAAAATTTAGTAACACTTAACAGGTAAATGCATATACATATGTACTTATAAATTATTCAATTTCATAATTAAATTTTATTTTCATTAGAATAGACTAATTTTTATTAATAATGATAATTAATTAATTACCATATTTGAAAGCATTTATTAATTTATTTTTCAATTCAAATATTTTTACAATATTAAAAAAAATTATTATTATACTCTAGAATAAAATAAAATTATTGTTGCAATAAATCTAAAGCCCAAACTTCTTTGCCTTCATGTCTTCCTCTCACGTGTTTATATAAATTACTTCGAAGTTTTGAAAGTTTCGGACAATAGGGACATCGAAATCTCGGTGCCATTCCACATTCATAAATTGTATGCTCTCGTAATCCATTTTTTCTTCTAAAGCAATTTCCACATTTTGGACAGAAAAATCTTCCACCGCTTATAATTTCCTCTACTCTGAAATCTAAAATTTAATAAAAAAAAATTTATTGCAATTTGTTTATAATTGTTTATTAAAGGTTTTTTTCATCTTATTGTATTTTTTATTTATTTTTTGATTAGTAATTACAATTAGTATAAAATATAATCATAGAAATAATGAATATCATAAAAAGAAGACATGCTTTCGGGGAAAAAAGTATGATAAAGAAAAACAGATATTTCAGTCATTTTTATTTTATTCAATATATATATATATTTTTTTTTATATACATTTTTTTTTCCTACAAATTTTCAACATCTACAACAAAAACCTCAAAACCAATGTGCTTTCTTCGAATATGTTGTTGAACGTTCCAAATTTTTTTCGAAACCTGTTTACAATAAGGACATTTATAACGTGGTGGACGTCCGCATGCATGACGAATATGTGTCATTAAACTTTTCTTTTGGGCAAAAGCACTCGAACAATTGCCACAAGCATATTTTTTATTTTCACCTTTTGTTTTCTCACACTCGTCACCAGAATCTTGTACAATAATTGCATCCTCATAATCTTCTTCCACTTTCACAACTGAGAAAGAAGAAGACGATGACTCTGAAAAAAAAATAATAATTAATTTATATTAAAAGCAGATTTTTATACAATGTCATTTCTCAGAAGAAGAAAAAAACTCATCTTTTTTTTCAAAAAAAAAAAAAAAATTCTATTTTTCTTCTGACTGTGTATAAGAAACACAAGCATGCACTACGAAAAAGGGTTTTTTTTTTAGAAACATGAGTTTATTTACACAATTTCAAATAATTGATTTCACACAATTCACATAATAATTGATGTAAAAATAAATTCGATTTGTTAAAATGAAAAAAAAAGTTTATTTTAATTTATTTTTATACATAATGTACAATTTTTAATTAAATAAAATATGAGGACGTAGGATTTTCATTCAGAAATTTTTTGTTGCCTAGAACGTTTTTTCGCAATCTTTATGAATAAGAAAATCCTTATTTTTGTCTCTGCAGTACAAATAGATAAAAAAAAATATTATTAATGAAAATTGTTTGATTTTTTCTAATATTTTAAAAATGTAGTAAAATATAACGTAACTACAACGGAAATATTTATAAATTGAAATTAAGACTAAAAAGTGACTATTCTCAAAATCGAAGTGATCGATGTTTGAAATTTTTTTTTAGAATAAATTTTTGATAAATAAGAAACTTTTTCTCGTTTTAATGGGACGCATGATTATGTTCTAAAAATCATTAGTTAGAATTTTCATTTTATGGAATTTCATTTGTCATAATTATTTTTGAACCGAATTTTCATTTGTTCGAATTAGTATACACGGAGAGAAAATAAATATCAAATTTTATAAAAGCATTTTCAAATTTTGTAAATGTATTTTTAAGTCGTGGAAAATATTGTAAAAAACGAAATTTCCATATAAGAAATACTAATCTTTAATAAACTTTTATGAAATTTACTATAGTTTTAATAAAATTTGGTATCATTTAATAATTAATCAAATACGATCTATCAAAATTTTATTATAACTATAGTAAATTTCAAAAAAATTTAATAAAGATTAGTATTTTTTATATGGAAATTTCGTTTTTTACAATATTTTCCACGACTTAAAAATACATTAACAATATTTGAAAATAGGGCATTCCACGGGAGATTTTCATTGAAAATTTTTTTTTCCCCGAAACATTTTTTTTCGAAATCTATATGAAAAATAAGGATATACGTATTTTTTTATTTTTTTATTTAACAAAAATGAAGGAAGTTATGATTTTTTGAAATTTAACGTCAACGATGGAAGTGTGTTTTTGGGACATTTTTTAATCTATTGTACTAATAAATTAAAAATTATGCTATATATGAAATTTGTTCATTTTTTCTTAAATTTTTCAAATATCTGCTCAAAAATAACGTACCTATAAGAGAAGCAACAAAAAAGTTGAAATTAAACTTAAAAAGTGAGTTTTCTCAAAAGAGACACTTTCGATTTTTAATTTTTTTCCCTATTTGCGAAAGTGGTACTTTTAGTTTTTAAGTTACTATTTACAATTTTTAAGCTCGGCGCAAAAATTTTTAGTATGTTTTTATGAAAATTAAAAAAAAAAACAAATGAATATTAATGGAAAAAGGTTATATTTGTAGAAAAAATGCTTCAATTCTGTGAGCCGTACTAAAAAAAATTATAAATAGTAATTTAAAAACTAAAAATACCACTTTCAGAGATAGGGGAAAAAATTCTTCAATCAGCAGAGATTGTAATGCAAAAAAAAAATTAAAAATTTTTCATATAGATTTCGAAAAAAAATGTTTCGGGGAAAAAAAATTTTCAATGAAAATCTCCCGTGGAATGCCCCAAATGCTTTTATAAATTTTGATATTTATTTTCTTTCCGTGTATTTTGCAGAATTTTCATCAAAACAATTTTCTATATTACAGAATTTTTATATAACCGAAAATTCACTTTACACAATTTTTATTTCTTTGAATTTTTATTTGTCATAATTTTTATTTGCTCGAATTTTTATTTAACATAATAAGAATTTTAAAGAATTTTTTTTGGGTAGAATTTCATTTGCATAGAATTTTCATTTTATTCTTTCAGATGAATTTTCATTTGTTCGAATTATTATTTGGTACGTAAATATTGGTACGTACAAATTATTAATTCCATATAACTGATTTTTCATATTACAGAATTTTTACTTAAAAGAAAAATCATTTAACAGAATTTCCAATTGATAGAATTTTCATTTGTCCGAAATTGCAAATGAACGAAGGAACAATCGATTTTGGCGCGATTATTAAAATCAACCAATCATAATTTTATGGATAATTTGTGATTGGTTGATTTTAATAATCGCGCCAAAATCGATTGTTGCTTCGGTCATTTTCGGTTATATAAAATTCTATAATACAGAAAAAATCGGTTTGATGAAAATTCTGCAAAATACTAATTCGAAGAAATAAAAATTCGTCTCAAAAATAATTACGACAAAAGAAAATCTATATAATGAAAATTCTGACTAATGATTTTTATATGCGACCGTTTTATATGCGAAAAAAATTTTTTTTTATGAATGAAATTCTCACGTGAAATACCCCATGACTATACTTAGTGTGTAAAAACCTATGGTGAGAATAAATAATTTTAAAAATGGTTAATAAGAAAAATTGTGATTTAAAATTATTAGAAATGCTGTAAATAAAAATGAATTACTTTATTGTTAATTTTTTACATTAGGAAAATGTATTTTATTTTTTTATCCAACCGTCATTATAGTAAGTATACAATATTATAGTATGGAAATAATATTCAAAAACAGTTGCATACATGTCATACACTCAAATAGCATTTTTTTTTTTTCAATAACCCACTCAGTGTAAATTTTAGGCGTTCTGGGTTGCGAATGTGCAACTATACACATTGTTAAATTTATATATATATATAAATATACGTTGTGCGTCTATTTTAAATACATTATTTCGAAGTAAAAAAATTGATTTCAAAAATGCAAATAATTACTTTGAACCAAAATTTGTTGTTAAATAGGTTTAACAAAAATTAACAAAATCAAATTGTGGAGAATCTTTCAAAGGGAAAAATAAGTTTTTATTTTTATGAAAATTATAAATTCTCACTAAATTTAAAAAAAAACACATACATAAAATGTTAAATTTTATGTGTGATTAAAATAATTTTATTTTAATTTTCTATAATAAGAAATGTTTCCTCCAAATATAATGGCAAAATATTTGCTACTTTTTGGAATGTCAAAATATGAAAATCTTATGTAAATAGTTTTTTTTTTAAATTAGAATGAAATAACAAAAAAAATTGTATGTATAGTGTTTTGTGCAACTTTTTAAATTTCAATAATTTCACTTATCTTTTAAGCAGCAAATCCAAATTCGATAACACAAAGACGAAAGTAATCTTTAACTATTCACTTTTAATGTTCAAACAGAAAATTTTTTTTGATAAATTAAGAAACTCCGATGTTTTTTTAACAATTTATTTTGTACGTCAAACAACATTATTGTAATGGCACAAGCTGACTGAAGCGTTCTCGACAGATGGAACAAGCAGTAGAAAGTTGCGCGCGCAACTTCAGTCAGCTGTTTTGGGGCCTACGCACAATAGTCCTTGATAACTGTTCACGAAAAGGCCAACGCACGATAGCTTCGCGAAAGTCGTTCGTGATTCGTGAACGAGATGCATGATATAGAAAAGGATACATATATACCTCTGTCCTTTTCTAACTCATGTTTCACGTTCGCGAAAGCTATTCTGCTTAGGCCTATTGAGTTGCACGAGAGAGAAAAGTAAACAAATATATCTCTCTTCTTTTCTAACTCATGCATCTTTTTTGTGAACAGCTGACGCGAAGTTATTCTGCTTATACTTGGCTGAATAAAATATTTGAACGTATAAAATAAATTTAAAAAAAAAGTAAAAGTTTCTTAATGTAAAATAAATTTTCTTTATGTATATTTAAGAAAAGTGAGAAAACATTAAATAGTTTTTGTTAAATTTAAAAAATTCTACAAAACACAATAAATGAAAAATTCCCGAATTTTTTTTTTTTTATTATTAAAAATCGATTTTCTTACTTCGAAATATTGTATAAAAAACGTAAACTCGCACAGTTAATTTCTTATCTATATAAGGTTTTATTTAAAAAAAAAAAAAAATTTTACAAAATTTTTCATTCTTGATTCCCTTTTTTTTAGTGTTTCATATGCAAATGGGATTAATAATCCTCATCCTCTCGTATGGATATTATTTGCGTCCCTTGCGCTGCAGCCCTTGATCTACGTGAACGATAACCCTCCCAATCTTTAGCATTTGTGAGAATTATTCCCAATGCTGAATATAATTTAGCTTCGGTTACTTTACCACCACTTATTTTATCAAAATGATTTTTTAGTAGAACATCTGTAAAGAAAAAAATTATTTTCAAACAAAAAATTTCACAATCTTTTGGAAAAAAATATCGAAATGTTTGTCAAAAGGATGTAATTAAAAAATCCATTTTCACTTTATTTTATAAATGGATTTTAAGGCCGCACACTCACCTCTCGGCTATCTGCCTGCCTGCAGGAGTTGTCATGGCAACGTGTAGGAGTAACAGAGATAGTTAATTCAAATTTGAATTTTCTCTCTCTCTTACTCCTGCACGTTGCCATGACAACTCCTGCAGGCAGGCAGACAGCCGAGAGGTGAGTGTGCGGCCTAATAGAAAAAAGTACGTTTATTGAGAATTGGATGTAAATTTTTTTAAATTCAAAATGGCGGATTCAATATGGAAACTTTATGAAACCTTTTAAAATTTTTCTAGAACTTTCTAGAAGATTCATTAAAATTTATGGAAACTTCAAGAAGCAACACGGAAAGAAAAAGTTTTAAGAATATTTTAATTCTGTATGAAAAAAATCCCAATTGACTAATTTTGAGTGTTTGTTAGACTTTTAAAATTAATTTTAAGATTTTTAAAGACTTTTTCGATAAATATAAAATAAATTACTATATTTATCGAAAAAGTCTTTAAAAAACTTAAAATTAATTTTAAAAGTCTAACAAATACCTCAAAATTAGTCAATTAATATTTTTTTCAAACAGAATTAAAATATTCTTCAAAAATTTTTTTTTTGCCACATACATAAAACCTTCTAAAATTTTTATTGAACTTTCTAGGAATTTCATAGAAACTTTATGAAATTTTCTAAAATTTTTAAAGAACTTCCTAGAAACTTTATGGAAACTTTATAAAAATTTTATGAAACTATCTATAATTTTTATAGAACTTTTGAGAAACTCTATGGAAACTTTTGGAAAATAAAACCTAAAATCTTTATAGAACTTTCTAAAATTTTTATAGAACTTTCTAGGAATTTCATAGAAACTTTATGAAATTTTCTAAAATTTTTAAAGAACTTTCTTGAAACTTTATGGAAAGTTTATAAAAATTTTATGAAACTATCTATAATTTTTATAGAACTTTTGAGAAACTCTATATGGAAACTTTTGGAAATTTTAAAAAACCTTCTAAAATCTTTATAGAACTTTCTAAAAATTTTATGGAAACTTCTATAAACGTCATATGAAATCTTCCAAAATCTTTATAGAATTTTCTGTAGAATCTTTATAGAAATTTTTAGAATTTTTAATTTTTATGAAACTTTAAAATTTTTACAGAACTTTCAAGAAATTTTATAAAATTTTTGTAAAAACTTTATGAAACCTTCTAAAATTTTTACACAAATTTCTAAAAACTTTATGAAAACTTCAAAAATGAACGTTACTAAACTCTATTTTAGTAAAACTGATTTAATGAAAAAGAATTTTTTTTGGAATATTCTTTTACGAATTTTTTTTTTTTTATTGAATTTTTGAAACAGTTATACAAAATTTCCCTTATATTTACCACTTTATAGAAAAAAAATAATAAAAGCGTTTTATTTAAAAAACAAAAAAAAATTAAATGTTTTTTTAAAATTTTTGGCTGAAAAATCCGATTAATTTGTTTTTTTTAAATATAATATTTATTTAATAATAATACTAAAATATTAACTTACTTATTACACATTTGCAAAAAGTCGTCACTTTTAAAACGAGTTTATCCTTAATTGGTTTCATTGCAGTAAATGACAATGCAACATCTCTTGACATGTATTTTTTAATAATATTCAGTAAGCTTTTGGAGGCTATAAAATTCCCATCAAATAAATCAACCAATGATGCCATCTAGAAAAGTAAATTTAAATATTAAATAAAAAAATTTTTGCTTTTAAATTTTTTATAAAAACTAAAAATTAAAAACAAATATAAAATAAATAAATAAAAAAAAGAAATGCAATTTTTTTTATTTTAGAAGTAAAAACAAGAAACTATTAATTATAAATTTTTTCTAAAAAGTATTTATAGGTATATATCCTTATCTTATTAATTTCTTAAATCTGAAAGATTGTGTAAATCTATACAAAAACGCGATTGTAAAATGAAAAGTAGGAAAGTAATATCACAACAGCTGCGACATTGTGCTACCTGCATGCTTCTGCCACCTAACGGCGTCAGGACGTAATGAACCTGTCATTATATTACTTTCCTACTTTTCGTTTTAAAATCGCGTTTTAATATTGATTTGCACAATCTTTCGGATTTAAGAAATTTATAAGATAAGGATCTTTGATGTTTTGTCCGATTTTGAAAAAAGTGTCCGCGTTTCTAGAAAAAAGTATTTTAAATAAATCAATGTTTATCATTTTCACGTTCAGTGCCGTTTTTATAGGGCGATAATTAAATGCCAAAGAATTTCAGAGACCATTCGACACTCTTAATATTAATTTTACTATTGTAAAAATGTTATAATTTCAACTATTTATGCATTTTTAGAATACTTACGAATTTTTCTCTGACGCTGGGATTTACAGTCAAAATCATATCAAACTGTTCGAATTCACTTAGACTTCTAAATGGTAAGTTAAGAGCATTTTCTTGCATAAAAGTGTCCAACGTTTCTGACTGAATTACACCAGACTTTTCCAATTGAGCGGAAAGATGTCTTTGATGTGCAAGAACTTCATCTAATTGTGCAGACATTTTTCCCATTTCTTGCCTCACGTACTGTTGAAATTCTGAAAATTCAAACAAAAAAAAATTAATATTAAAAATTTATTATTTATTTATTAAAATTGATTCTGTTAATATTGAATATAATTTTATTAAAAATCTTTTTTTTTTTTTAATATATTAATGAACAAAAAAAAAAATTACCTGATGAAATAGTAATCTTTTCCGATTTCTTAATGTCACTTTTTAACGAGCCAGTGTTGCCTTTAGTGAAAAATGAGAGAACATCAATTGACATGGGATCAATAAATTCCATATCATGACCAGTTGTTGGATTTCCACCTAAAAAAAGTAAAGAAAAATTTTCATTAGAACAATGAAAAAAAAAATGTGGATTAAATTTAATATAGTGTGATGAAATATCTCTCAAACATAATAATATATATATCACTACCAATGAAAATGACAAAGAAAAAAGATTGAAACATGCAGAATTTATAAAACTGAAATTGTAAAAAAAAATTGAATGATGGAAATTAACAATTAATATTTAAAAGGTCGACGACATAAACAATTAATACAAAACTTATAGTATATCTATATTTTTTAAAATATTATTTATTTTACTAATATGCAGAGATCTACAAAATTATTATTTAATCCATGAAAAACAAAATATGGAGTTATAATAAAATTCTATCGAATAATACATATCACGTTATTCAACATTCAGTCTCCAATTTTAAATAAAAATTTCTATTATCACAAAAAAAAAATTTTTTTCTCGAAAAAAAAAAGAAAAATAGTTTCATAATTTTATTGTGTAAATTTTTCGTTTTTTTAAAATGATAACAAATAATTAAATATAATTATTAAAAGTTTCCTACATATTTCAATTAATTATTTAATTTATAAAGTTTCTGAAAATTAAATCTATTATTAAATTATATAATTAATCGATGAGGAACAAAATATTACTTTAAATTTGTTCAATTATGATAGAAAATAATAATTTTTTTAAGAAACATTTTTAATGAAAAAAATATTTTCCAAAATTGGAAATTATATTTTATACACCCAGGGAAAAAATATATTTCTCTCTTTCGAAGCTAATTACTTATTTATTTGTTTCAATTAAAAATTTTGTTTGGATTAAATAAAAATATTATTTGTGCTAAAACAAATTTTTTTTTAATTTTTTAATTCATTGAATTTACTTCAAACTTGTTACTCGAGGGTTTTAGCGGACACTTATTACGAATAAGGTGTGGGGTTTTCAAAAATTTAATATAGCAAATTAAATGTAGTAAAAAAAACACTGAAAACCCCCGAGAAACAATTTTCAAGCAAATCCAAACGAATTTTATAGATTCGACCTCCATGACAGCGTTTACCGTTGTGTTTTTCTGTGTAAATATATATTTTTATTTTTTAATTCAAATAAATTATTTATTTGAAAAAAAATTTCTCTGGGTGTAACAAAAATATTTGGTGAATGATTTATAAATATTTCATTTCTAATGTAAATATGTATACACCCAATTGCATAAATGCTGTTTTTCTGGTCTGACTCCTTTTTTAAAAGTCATGAGTTTGGTTTCCATTGTCCTCATATGCCACAATCACCACTGGCCATTTGTCATAATTCTCGTCAACTACCGCACCCTGCTCTAGTAAAAATTTAGTAACTTTATAGTAACTTTTAATTTTAACTATAAAGTTACTAAATTTTCACTAGAGCAGGGTGCATTAGTTGACGAGAATTATGACAAATGACGAGTGGGAACTTTGGCGAGTGGGGACAATGGAAACTAAACATGACACTTCCATAATAATATTATTAGTCTATGGTTAGGGCCAATGCACAATAGCTTCGCGACTGAGAAATATATATATATTCTTTTCTATTTCATGAACAACGATCAAAATTCAAAGTTCATAAGTGAACAAAAACATAACCTCAAATTAAAAGCAAAATATTGCTTTTATAAAGATATAAAGATAAGTTAAGAGTATCGAACGATCTTTGAAATTATTTGGCAAGGAGAAATCTTTAATTATCACACTATAAAAATGGTACTAAAAGTGAAAATGAGAAATATTGATTTTAAAATACTTTTTATCGAAACACGGACACTTTTTACAAAATTTGCCAAAACACCAAGGATCTTTATTTTATAAATTTCCAAAATCCGAAAGTTTGTGCGAATCCATACAAAAACGCGATTGCATAACGAAAAGTAGAAAAGTAATATAATAACAGCTGCGACTTTGTGCTCCCTGACATCTGACGGCGTCAGGACGTAATGAACCTCTCATTATATTACTTTCCTACTTTTCGTTTTAAAATCGCGTTTTTGTATGGATTTGCAAATCTTTTGGATTTAGGAAATTAATAAGATAAGGATCCTTGGTATTTTGTCCGATTTTGTAAAAAGTGTCCGCGTTTCGAGAAAAAAGTATTTTAAAAACAATGTTTATCATTTTCACGTTTAGTACCATTTTTATAGGGACATAATTTGTGATTGCCAATGTTTTTAGAGGTTAAAGATATTTGTTTACATTTGAACAGTACAATACTCGATCATTATGTCCTTGTCTTTATTGCGGCTTTTACAAGAAACTTTTGGTCACGTTATCTGACCCACATACCCCCTAAAATTCCCTGAAACTTGATAGAACTTAACATGGCGAGGTTAGGAAACTTTAGTGGCAAGGTTCATACAAGTTTGTGTCGATGTTTAAATGTCCACATGAAAAGAATATTCACACGAAACTTTGAGGAAATATTACACATAAATATTCACGTGCAATGTTCAGTCAATATTGAAATTACATTTTCGTCTAGTTATAAAAATTTCATTTACTAATATAATAAGTATAGGTGAATATTGACACAACATTAACTGAACATTGCACGTGAATGTTTATAGTGTAATATTTCATCAAAGTTTCGTGTTAATATTCTTTTCATGTGCACATTTAAACATCGACACAAACTTGTATGAACCTTGCCACTGAAGTTTCCAAACCTTGCCGTGTGAGGCTCTGTCAAGTTTCAGGAAATTTAGGGTGCTGTGTGGGAACTTTCATTTCATGAATTAATTTCATTTTCAGATCCCAATGGGGTTGATTCCGTTTTCCTCACTCGCCATTTGTCATAATTGTCGTCAACTACTGCACCCTGCTGTAGTAAAAATTTAGTGACTTTATTGTTAAAATTAAAAGTTACTAAATTTTCACTAGAGCAGGGTGCGGTAGTTGACGAGAATTATGAAAAATGGGCCAACGCAGAATGAAATCTCTAATCATAAATCTTAAACATTTACATGAGAGAGAAAAGGACAAAAGATATTTCTATCCTTTTCTCTCTCATGTAAAAGCTTAAGATTTACATGAAACCGGAAGGACACCATTTATTCAATTGGGTGTGTATATATTATATAATTGCAGAGATTTAAGATTTATACATATTATATATATTATACATATATCACATATATTTAACAGCAACGTAGTAATCTTCTATGTTTTCTTAAACTACTGCTATGTAAAAATGTTTTTCCACAATCGAGACATTTTTGTGTTCTACCACAATCGTGTCTAACGTGAAATATTAAATGCGAATGTTTTGCATAAGAAGCGCCACATTGATCGCATGAAAATGGACGTGAATTTTTCATTTGTCGACAAGTTGCTCTTGGATTCCAATTGCATGTTGTTTTCTCATGATTTTTTAAAAATCCCACAGTTGTGAAACTTTTGCAACAATATTTGCAAGGATGCTTGCGTTTTGAATCAGATACATTACGTTTAGTATCGCATAATTTGGCTGCAAACAGGTCAAAATCTTCGCCTAAATCCACTTCAAGGACTGGAAAAAAAAGAAAAATTTTAAGTTACTATAAAAAATTTTCTTTTTCTTTTTTTTTTTAGTGAAAAACATCAATCTAGAATGACGAAAAAAGCTAGCTATATTAACAAATAGATATATAGTACATAAAAATAAATATATTTAACTGTGACAAGCTCTGAAGAAAGGGATCTAAACAAAAAATGCTAGGTTATGTTTATGATAGTTTGTAGTAAAAATACAGAAAAGGGAAAAACAACTGATTTTTCATTTGCATCGAAAATAAAAATTTTTATTTTACATAAGGAACTTTTAATCAAGGTACGAATGGGTATGAGTATAATAAAACTATCATAAACATAACCTATCATTTTGCATTAGGTCCCTTTCTTTAGATTACGTCACAAAGAAATTCGTTCATTATTATTTTTCATTTATTTTGGATATAATAATTTCTATAATATATTTTAAAAAGAAATAACAATTTTTTATTTTCAACTTTTGATTTTATACAACAATTTATTATTATTATAATTCTCATTTGTTACAAAGCTAAATTTATATTTATTTATTTCAAAAATAAATTTCATTTAATTCAAATAAAAATTTTATTTACGTGAAATAAATTTTTATTTACGCCAAACAAACGATTTATTTGAAACAAATAAATAATTTATAGCTCTCTGAGATAAAAATATTTTTCTGTTTAATTTAAATATACATATATATATACATTATTGAATAATTTTCAATAGTTAGTAAAAGAAAAAAATTTTCTTAAATTTTGTAAATATTTAAATTTTTATTATATTATTCTCTATTTATATTTTGCATTTTTATTCCAAAGGATTTCGCAAACGCGCTGAACAATTGGAAATTCTATGTTTTCGTAGGCTATTAATTTGTAAAAATGTTCGTCCACAATCGTCGCACTTGTGAATATTTCCACAATCAAATTTACAATGTGACGTTAAACTTCCGAGTTTTGAATAACTTGCACCACACGAACTGCATACATAAGGTCTATGTTGGCCGTATTTCATTGATTTTGGATTCCAATAGCATGAATTATTTTGATGTTTCGTTAAAAAGCCAAATTGTGTGAAATTTTTATTACAATATTGACATATAAATGCTCTATTATCCTTAGCATTTTCCAATGTTTGAGAATTTTTTAAAATTTTCTCCTCTCCTGAAACAAAACAGACAAACTATTAATAATATAAATAGATTAAGTAGTATTAATAGGATGAAAAAAATCCCTAATCAACACAAATTCAAGAAAAAAATTGCATTCATTGTTAGGAATTTTTATTATTAAAAAAAAAAAATTAAATTACTTTTTCAATAGTAAAAAAGAAAGGAAAAGAAAAATAATAACGGTTGGTTTCCATTGTTCCCACTCGCCAATTGTCATAAATCTCTTTAACTACCGCACCCTGCTCTAGTGAAACTTTAGTAACTTTATAGTAACTTTTAATTTTAACAATAAAGTCACTAAATTTTCACTAGGTAGTTGGCGAGAATTATGGAGCATTTACATCTTTGGTAAAACAAATTTTTATTTTGCATTTTCCGAAATACACAAATCTGATTGGTAGTTCACAATCTGATTGATAATGGACAACCAATCAGATTTGTGTATTTCGGAAAATGAAAAATAAAAATTTTTTTTACCAAAGATGTAAATGCTCCATTATGTTATGACAAATGGCGAGTGGGGACAATGGAAACCAACCAACTTCAGATGAATTTTAAGGCCAATGCACAATAAATTATCGCGAACGTAATGCATGAGTTAGAAAAAGACAGAGATATATTTGTATTCTTTTCTATCTCTTGCAACTCGTTTACGAACGGTTGGTTTCCATTGTCCCCATTCGCCATGTGTCATAATTTTCGTCAACTACCGCACCCTGCTCTAGTGAAAATTTAGAAACTTTTAATTTTAAAAATAAAGTCACTAAATTTTCACAAAAGCAAGGTGCGGTAGTTGACAAGAATTATGACAAATGGCAAGTGGGGACAATGGAAACCAATGAAACGACTTTCGCGAATTTATTGTGCATTGACCTTTAAGGAGGTTCAATTCATTGACATAACCTAAAATTAAAAAATTGTTTTTAACAACTGACAACTATATCAACTAATTTCAAACGAAATAGACTTTTTTTGATAATAATTTAACAAGATTCACCTCAGCATTACGTAGATTAATACTAAATTCTAACTAAATTGCGACAACCTAGTTATAATTATATATAAACTAACTATTTTAGCACCAAACTGCTTTATCCTTTAGGCTGCAGTCCCATGGCAGCGTTTTGCGTTGCGTTTTCTCACTAGACCCTGAGTGTAAACATAGCAAACATATATCTGCATCTCTTTTACACTCATGGTTTAGTGACAAAACGCAACGCAAAACGCTGCCATGGGACTGCAGCCTTAATAGTATATAATTTCGTTTACCTATTAAAGTATGAAATAATGCTTTTTTAGTTTAAAGTAAGTCCATACTAAATAAGTATAATGGTTATACTCTTATAGTAATAGTGACGTACTTTAAAAGCATAAAATTGATGACCGCGAAGTACGATATATAGTCTACCTAAAATAGTAAATGTGCTTTTATACCGCAAATTTCGATCAGATGAACATTATTTCTGGAACGTGAAAAGTCATTTTCACGGCGGGTATTTTTAAATTGTTTTAAACAAAAAATTTTTTTTTAAGAAGTATAATATTAAATAATTGTTTTAATATGTAAGAACACTTTAAAATAATGATAGAAAGATGAATTGATTGAAAAATTTAGCAAATTTTGCTTTAAAACGTTTTCTGATACAAGAAAGTATAAAATGACGATGTTTGTGAAATGGTTTGTACAGTGCTTCTTCCTTGTGAGTGCCTCTCAAAGTTTTGTTTATGTTATGTCGGTTCTTTTTAACTTGTAATAAATAATGAGTGCTGAAAATAAATCGGTAACTTGAAATGTTTATCAAATAAATTTAAATTCAACTAATTGTTTCGAATAACTGAAAGAAACTTAATATACAGAAAGTATTTGAGAGATGCGTGGAAAATTGATTTATAACCTCAAATTCATACACATACTTTTTGTTTTTTTAAATATCAAGTTTTATAATTACTTATGATTTTCATAAGTAATTATAATTAATTTTCAAATCAAGCTGTTGAATTTAAAATTACTTAATAAACATTTCAACTTACCGATTTATTTTCAGTACTCATTATTTATTGCAAGTTAAAAAGAACCGTGATAATATAAACAAAACTCTGAGAGGCACTCACAAGGAAGAAGCACTGTACAAACCATTTCACAAACATCGTCATTTTATACTTTCTTGTAGCAGGAAACGTTTTAAAGCAAAATTTGCTAAATTTTTCAATCAAATCATCTTTCTATCACTATTTTAAAGTGTTCTTACATATTAAAACAATTATTTAATATTATATTTCTTAAAAAAACATTTTTGTTTAAAACAATTCAAAAATACTCGCCGTGAAAATGACTTTTCACGCATTTTCACAGTCCAGAAATAATGTTCATCTGATCGAAATTTGAGGTATAAAAGCACCTTAAGAGCTTCTTCCTTTTTGGTGGATAAATTCTTGCAACCTGCGTTTTGGCCTATATCGATATATCGATGGTTGGAAAGGGAGGGAGGCGTGGCCAAAACGCAGATTACAAGAATTTATCCACCAAAAAGGAACAAGCTCTTGCTATTTTAGGTAGACTATATGTCGTACTTCGCGGGCATCAATTTTATGCTTTTAAAGTACGTCACTATTACTATAAGAGTATAAAGGCGCTTGTATACCTCACCAATCCCGAGTATACTTATGTCGTGTACCATTGGAGTAAAAGAAACAAAAGATATTTCCGTCTCTTTTACTCCAATGGTACACGACGCAAGTATACTCGGAATCGGTGAGGTATACAAGCGCCTTAACCATTATATGCTGCAATACAGTAACTGCCTATAACGGCGCATGAGTTACTAACCTACTGGACAACTTGATATTAAACAGCCAACAGCTTTCCTATTGAACAACAACCTTGCTATATAACTATTCTGTTTGGATGAATCATCTCTACGCAACTACGTATATTTACCGAAATATTATTTAGTACTGGCTATTTGTTTCTACAAGAGGCCATTTAAACAAGAAGAAGAAGAAGATAACCATTATACTTGTTTAGTATGGACTTACTTTAAACTAAAAAAGCATTATTTCATACTTTAATAGGTAAACGAAATTGTATACTAATAAAGGATAAAGTAGTTTGGTGCTAAAATAGTTAGTTTGTTTTTTCCGTGTATAACCAAAAAAAAAATGTGAAAATATTTATAAGCGTATAAAAGTTTCTTTATTAACGTTTATACTGATTTAATACAAGAAAATCGTAACTATATCATTTAGTTACAATGTAGAAACAGTAATTTACTATAATTTTGTATAACATATAATAATATTTATTTATATTAAATATTTCGTGTTATATTTTATAATTTTTCTTTTTTTTATATCGTCTTATCAACATAATATTAAGTATATTTGGTATAAGTGTTTTTTTTTTTTTTTTTTGGTTTTCAATTAAGATATTTATTTTTTTTCATACGACAACGTGGAATGTGTTTTCTTAAACTGCTGTAATGTAAAAATGTGTCATTACATAAATGACAAATTTGAATTTGTCCACATTCACGACGAATATGAAAATTGAGACCCGATTTTGTTGCATAACGTGTTCCACATTGAAGACATGCAAATGGTTTATTTATTCGTGCTTGAAAATCTTTTGATTCAGGATTTGATGAACACGTTTCTCTTTGATGTTTTCTCAAATATTGCGATGTTATATATCCTTTACCACAATATTCACATGTATGTTTACGTGCACATTCTACTTGAATTGAATCATAATAGTCTGAAACAAAACAAATCGATTTTTTTACGAATTAAATATTTGAATCAAAATTTATATTTATTTTTATACTTGAAAAAAGAAAATTAACATTTAAATAATAATTATAATGATAATAATAATAATAATATTAATAACAACAATAATAATAATTAAATTAAAATAATGTAATAGTCATTTTTGAGAATAAAACGTTTTAATAATTATTTTATACATTCATTAGATATATTTACATAATCTTTTGTATTTTCGATATTAAATTTTATAGGGTCAGTTGGGGTAAATAGAAACAAGGGGTAAATCGAAACAGTAGTTATTTAAATAAAAAATTTTAAAAATAAATACGGCTTCAAACCTTGTTTGGGGGTGATCTATCTAAGGTTCAAGGTTTGAGGCCGTATTTATTTTTAAATTTTTTTTATTTAACTGAAATAACTACTGTTTCGATTTACCACTTGTTTCTATTTACCCCAACTGACCCTAATGAAGATATACAATAATTTATTTTAATTTCTATTTTCTTTTTTTTTTTTTATTAATTACTATGTTATTAAAAATATTTGTAAATTTCGTTATTAATTATTTATATTCATTTATTTATTATTAATTTGTAATTTTGTATTAATATAATAAATAAAAAGTGATGTTTTTGAAGCATATTTAATAAAAAAAAATTGTAATAACTGAGTCAAATTTATTATTATTTTTTTCGTTCATATATATAATTATAATATAAATGAGAATAAATCTCTCAGAATTTTTTTTTTTTAATATATAAAATATATTTTTAATAATTATTAATAAAATGAAATAATTTAATATGGATTGTCCATATATTTTAAGTCGACAACATAAACATCAAGACCAGAATGAAGTTTTCGCACATGTGGATAGACATCTGATTTTCTTTTCGATCTATATTGACAATATGGACATTGAAAAGTTGGAGGAAGTCCACATTCGAAATTAATATGACGTTTTAGATGACCCTTATGCTTATAACAACGGCCACATTGTTTACAATAATGTCGTTTTTCACTACTCCTTGTAAATTCTGAAACAATATTTAGTCAGTCATTAGGAAAATCAGGAAAAATTAATTATAATTATTATTCATGGCATTCAATTAAAAAAAGGAATTTTTAAAAATAAATAATAATGAAAATAATAAGAATACTAATAATTTAGAATTCTGCAAAAAAAAATATAATTTTATTCATTTAAAAAATTAAAATCTATTTTTTTAGAAACTAAAAAAATTTGCAAATAGAAGAAGCAGTTTTTTTTTATTTATAATTTGGTTCTTTTAACATTCTTTAATTTTTTTTTATATAAACGTCATATTATATTGTACATGATTATAATAAAGTAATTTATTACAAATTTTATATAATATTAAAATATATGATACAATATAATATATTGTAAATAATATATAATGTAATTTATAATTATGCATAATTTTTTTATAGAATAATTTTTCACAGTTTTTTTTTCCTTAAAAAACTAAGTCTACTTAGAAGTACATCGAGATTTTGTTTTATTTTTAAAAATAAAATTTCCTTGAATAATGAAAATAAAATATATATTTTGAGAAATAAAGAATAATATTTAATTATTAATTTTGGCAATAATTTTCACATAGTATTTTTGATTATTAACATTGTCACTCTCAACGAGAGAGTAAAAAAACTTCAGCTCTAATTTCAAAATTGGAGTACGCAAATATTTCTTTGAAAAATAAAAAAGTAATCTTTGTGATCATGATATTTTTAATAAAATCGAAATAAATATAAGATCACATAATCAAATAATATTGAATATAAATCAAACATTCGAATTTTTAATAATTTTTTTTTTTTCGATAATTCGAACTTTTGTGCTCTCTAAATCTGAATTAGTAAAAATGTTTACTAATTTAAATTAGTGACTCACTTTTTGCTTTAGAATTAGTTAAAAGTTACTAATAATTAGTAAAATTTTACTAATTGAGAAGCAAAAAGTGACTTACTATAATTGAAATTAGTGAATATTTTTACTAATTCAGATTTAGAGAGTGTGAAATGTCGATTTTCTGATAATTCGAATTTGTAAAAATTGTCTGTAGATTAAGTTTTTAAATCAACGTAATAAACATTTTGACCTTGATGTACGTTTCTAATGTGTCGATAAATTTGCGATGATTGCTTCCCACGTAAATTACAATAAGGACAAGCAAATCTCGGCGCATAGCCACATTCATATTTTAAATGTCGATTTCGATTGTGTTTCAATGTAAATCCACGTTGGCACTTGGGACAATGATGTAATTTCTTCTCTTTCTTTTTTTCTTGGTTTTTTCGATCGACAAATTCAAATTGCGCCACATCTAAAGGATCTAAAACATAAATTGATGAGAAATAAAAATTTTCAAAAAAATGAAAAATTCAATTTTTCTGCATATATTTTACTCGTATATATAGTTATAATAAAAATTATAAATTAATAAATTCCAAATTATTTATAACTTAATTTCTTTTTTAAAAATACATAAAGAATTTTAAATTGTATTTGTTTTAAAATAATAAATTTTAAATTATATTTTTTTGCAAAAATTATATATTTTTTTATTCATACCATTTTTTGATTGTGTTGATGTTCTCAATGATCCACTGTCAAGTTGATGATCTTGATTTAAAGAAGGTTTCCAGTCATTTGAGTCTAAAACAAAATAAAAAAAAAATTAATTAATACAATTCTAATAGAAAATAATTAGAAAAAAAGTTGTCCTAAACATACCTTTATTTCCAAAAATATAGAAATATTCAATATATTACAATATTATAATATATTATCAAAATTATATATTATAATATTCAAATATATAAATTTAATTTTAAATTAAAAAAAAAAATGTTTTATTGATTTACAAAAATTGTAATAGCACAATTGTGTAGAAAAAACTTTTTTTTTATTTGTTAATACTCGTAAAATGAAATTTCAATTTACATATATTGTTATTGTTAAAACGTAACAATTATAAATGTACTTTAAAACGATAGTATATGAAAAAAAAACAATTTATCTGAAATATTAAAAACATTATCTAGATTATCCAAAAAAAAGTAATCTCCATTATAAACGGATGAGAAGAGAAATTTTCAAGTAAAATATAACATTACTTTTTTATGAATGAAGAGTTGTATTAATTACAACTTTAAGAAATATTTGGCTATATGGAACGCATGAATATTCCCTTTATTAGACTTCACGGAATTTTTGTAGTGTCAGATTAAAAATTATCGAATTTACATTTAGTAAAATTTTAAAAAAGAGATTTTACAATGAGCTCGATTTTAATAAAAAAATTTTATTTAACAAAATTCTGATTTTGTAGAATTTTTATTTAACTGAACTTAGATAAAGCAGATTTTCTAATATATCGAATTTTCAAATAACACAATTTCAATTTAACAAAATTGATATCTTGAAAAATTTTCATAAAAAAGAATTTTTATTTATCAGAATTGTTCTTTTATCGAATTTCTATTTATCCGAATATTCACTTAAAAAATATTTTTATTAACAGAATTTCCAACTAAAAGAATTTCTATATAACAAAATTCTTATTTAACAAAAGTTTTATTCAAAAAATTCCTATACAATCTAATTTTTATTTAAAATAACAGAAATTCTTTATAGCTTAAAAATTTATAGCTAAGAAGAATTTCTGTTAAATGACAATTCTAAAAATAAATTCGAATAAATAATAATAAATAAATTCGATTGTATAGGAATTTTTTGAATAAAACTTTGGTTAAATGATAATTTTGTTATATATAGAAATTATTTTAATTGGAAATTCTATTAATTTAAATACTTTTAAGTGAATATTCGAATAAAATAGAAATTCGACAAATAATCAATTCTGATAAATAAAATTTCTTTTTTATGAAAATTTTTCTACATATAAATTTTGTTAAATTGAAATTATGTTATTTGAAAATTTGATATATTAGAAAATCTGCTTTATCTAAGTTCAGTTAAATAGAAATTCTATACAAAATCAGAATTTTGTTTAATAGAAATTTTTTATTATTAAAATTAGGCTCATTATAAAATCTCTTTTTTAAAATTCTACTGAATGTAAATTCGATAATTTTTAATTTAAAACCACAAAAATTCCGTCAAGTCTGTAATGAAGGGAATATTCATGCGTCCCAAAGATTTTTTGACGATTACATATATATTTTTCACATTTTCTATTTATAAAAGTATAATAGTCACAATATGTCGAATAAATATAATTTTATTATTGCTAAGGGGTCGTCCATAAACCACGTAGCACTTCAAGGGAGAGGGGGAGGGGAGTCGAGTTATTGTCTACGATAAGAGGAGAAAATGGCGCTAATACATATGTAACAGCGTGCTACATGGGATGAGGGGGGGGGGGGTTTAAAATTTCCAAAAAATGGGGCTACGTAGTTTATGGACGACCACCTAAAATGAACAATTAAAACAATTTAACTTTGCAACGTTTTTCATGATAATTAACACTGCTGATGTGGGCAAAATATTTTCCACATTTTCTACATTGTCCAACTTTACCGCACTCACGACGAACATGAAAAACTAATCTCTTCTCATGTGTATAAGATGCACCACAATTACTACAAGCATATGGTTTCTTGAGAAGTGGATTTGTCTCATGTTTTTTTTTATGCTTTGCCAAATAACCAATGTGATTATATAATTTTCCACAATATTCACATGTGAATTGCATTTTATTTAAATCCACTTTCGTATTTGGAACACCTGAAATAGAAATAGATATAAGGAAAAAAATAAACTCGGGAAATTAATTAACTTAAGAACTATGAATAGTTTAATTAATTATAAACAGTAAAAATATTTTTTATTTTATTTTTATTATAAAGGTAAATTTAATAAATAATATTGCGCCTGGTTATATAACTGAATTTTGAGTAATCAATTTATATTCACAAATAGCGATGAGGGTTAAATGAGAATTTTTAGCAATAGTAGTGAAATATATTTATGTGTCGTGCCTTGAATAAAAAGATCTAAGAAGCGAAAAAATTATAGGTTATGTTTTCAAAGTTTCACATAACCTACAATTTGTTTTCTTCTTACTCTCTAAATTTGAATTAGTGAGAATTTGTTCACTAATTTAAATTAGTGAAAATTTCTACTAATTTAAATCAGTGAATACAAATTCTCATTAATTAAAATTTAAAGAATAGGTTTCTTTCTTTAGAGCGCGCCACATTAAAAAATTCTTACAAAGAAAAAAATGTGATTTATAAAGTAAATTAAACATTTTATTTCTTTCACACTGCTACGTATATATAGTAATTACAAAACTTATTATAATATAAATATAATGTAATATTTTGTATATAATATAGTTTTAATTTCGTATCATCGTGTTAAATATATTTCAAAGTGAAGATAATTTATAATCATTTTTTAAACGATGATTATTATTATACGTTCAATGTGATTTCGATATATCAATAAAAGAACATTATGCATTGAAAACCTTGTTCTACAATCAATATACAATATACTACTAATAAAACTACAAAAATATAAATTAAAGCAAATTACAAAAAAAAATCGAAATTATTAATTTGTATTAAAAATAACTTCAATTTCGCCCTTTAATGTTTTTGAACTTGCACTTAATTTATCGTCTGCATCTTCAATGAGAAAACCAACATGTTGTATAAAAACCCACAAATGAGTAGCGTCCAATGGATATGAATAATTGAGAACATAATAAATTTTTAAAGACAAATCTATTGCGTGCATTGGACTTTCAACACAATATTTATAGCCATTAGATTGACTTGAATCAATGTACACATATGAGGCAACAATTTTTTTAAAAGTACCAACAAATATTGGCAAAACCTGAACTGACAATCCACGTTTTTTAAGATCTTCTCTTCTTCTTTTTATTGCTCTATCCATGTCCGCTTTATTCTATAAGAAATCATTTTTTTTTTTACTTTATTTTGATATTCAACAGTATTTAATAGACGCATGTCTAAAATTAATTAAAATTTTTTATTTGATAAAATTTTCTTTTAGTCGAATTTTCATTTGTTGAAATTATTTTAACAAATTAATTTTAGTCATTATTCATGCGTTTTGTACTGTATAATAGTTTAAGGGTATGTGGGAACCTCCCACGTGACCAAGTATGGGAAAATGTGTTTTGGTAGTATACACTTCACTCTAAAATGAGAAAAGATTTTTGTCTACAATTTTGAGGGATGATAGATTAGGGTACAAGGAATCTCGCTGTTCTCCGCAAAATACATAATTTTGCTTTAA